CTAAAGCATCACCAATTTGATTCACATTTAATATTTATTATTCAACTTGTTCTTCCAATTTTTTGTGTTCCTTAAGTAGCTGCTCTTTCTTTCTATCAGTTTCAGCAGTTGAAATACTAAATTAAAGCTATTCTAATCTACTTATTTAGCTAGCTAAATCTGATTAAATCTCACTTTGTACTTCTGGCCAATTCTTAGAGAATCCTTAATACATCTGTTATACTATTTGTTTGTTTTTAAGTGTTACTAATATTTTCAAATTCGTTTCCTTGGCTGCAATTAGGATTAATATTTTTTGTATAGATTATTTATTTTATTCTTGCAATTGATTTTCTAATTGAATACATTAAAATAAGAATCCTTCTTTTACTCTCCAAGAATTACCTTGAATAAATTCAAGTATAGACGCTGTTATGCTTTATTTACATTATTTTAAATTAGTTTGAACTTAATTCTAAACAGGTGAAAATATGAAATTCAATTCATCTTTGAGAAATCGGTCTAATTCTTTATGGTTTTAAGTAATAGAATATAATTACTCTGAATAACTTTTACAAAATGCCTCATAATTAAGGCTTTTTATATTAGATATGAAGAGTTGAAATTTTTATAATATTTTAGAGATTTTATCTTCGCATTAAGTATGTATTGTATTATTTTAAACTGTAAATCTCATTAAATCCACCAAATTTTACAATGTGTCTACTTCAGAAAATTCAATTGATTATTACACTTACAAAACTTAATTTTTGAAATTATTGGTGAATTCTAACAATTTAGCTTAATTTGGCTTTCTTTCATCTATGCTTTCACTCATTTCAGTAATCAATTCTTGTTTCCAAGATTGTTTCAAATTTTTAAACAAATTTTCAATTTTATCAATGAACTCTAAAGTACATGTTTTTAGAGCTTCAATGGTTGAATCCAATTAATTTTTTTATCTTGTTCTAGCATGCACTAAGAACTCATTAAATTTATTTAATTCATTAACTAATTAAGTTCTGTAGTCGCTATTATTTATTATTAGCAATTCTTATTAAATGGCTTAGACAGAAATTTCAAATTCCTTTACTTTTTCTACGTATTCAATATTGCTAAATTATTATATCTTATCTTTAGATGCTATCAATAGATCAATTTGAGTTTAAAGTTTTATTTAGTTTGATTTAAAATTTTATAATATCTTGTTGTCTTTTCTGCTAACGAATTCTACTAACATTTCCATTTTCTTTATGGAATCTAAATTAAAGCTAAATATTTAATTTATTGAAATAAGAGAAAAGTTAAATATAAAGCAAAAATAGTTAAGTTTTCTAATTTGATATTCCTTCATTTAATTAGATAGGATCTCATTTTGATTATCAAGTAATTGAATCAATTATTGATGCTGATTGATTTAATACTGAAAATACAGATTGAAATCAATTTTTAAATCAATTAGGAATTCAATTTTTTATTTCTTTTAAATTTTTTCAAAATCTTCTAAAGAAAAATTATCAAAGAGCAATGCTTTTAATTCAAAGAATTATTCATATTACATTTAAAGTATTGAATAGATAGAATGGAGATATTCGAAATTAGCATTCTACCTATTAATAAATTCTTCAATTAGATTATCTGATATAGATTTCATTTCATCCTCTTAAGTTTATTTTGTTATGATAACTTATTTATTGATTATAATGTGTTCTGCTGTAAACAATGATGAAAGTAGAGACACTTATTGATTCCATATTTAACAAAATTAAAGTGCAAAAATCAGATAATTCAACTACGTTTAAAAGGGTTTTTCTTAAATTTTTGATAAGGCAAAGCAGTCTTCTGGCAACTTCTTTCCAAATTGCTTTTAGTAATTAATTTGTTATTCTTAAACTATATTTATTTGTTTTAACCAATTTACAAGCTTATCATAAATATCAATTTTCTTATCAAATTACTTTTTGCTCTATATCTTAGAATAATTATATAGAAAAGTCTAAAAACAATTATGATATATTGTTGTTTGCTATTTGTTAAGTTCATCTGATTTTATTAAAAGTGGAGAGATTATTTCAATAATATTATTTATATAATTCCTTGAAATCTAAAATTTAATCACATCATTGAGCAAAGATTGATATTGTTCTTAAATTAATATTAAATGATATTGGAAATCTGTAAAATCCATTGTTTTAGGTTCTATTTAATAAAAACTAGCTAAATATGCTGAAAATTTATTTAAAAATTCATTGAAATTGTAAGCAATTTTATCAAAAGGTATTTGTCTTAATGCTTATATCATCTTAAAATAATCTTGGTTTGATTCATTATCTAACTTTATTTAATCTTTTCCTGATTCTAAGGTATAGTAACCAATGAATTTAGGTATGACTTAATTTCCATTCATAAAAAAGTTTTAGAGATTGTAATACTGTCTAGAAATGCTTTATAATTTAATGCCAATATTTGATGTTTAATTCTTTGCAATAATCTCAGCAATTTCAAAATCTTTATGGATTACATTAATCAAATTATCTGATTAGGCTTGTTCCCATGTCATCGCTTAATTTGAACCTTATTATAAACTTAAAAACTTGACTTTAGTAATTTGTGGTTTGCATGCCATTAGTTCACTTGCCATCTTAATCCAAGAATATTAAATAGCCCAATCACTCCCTTATTTAATAATTTTATTGTAATTATCATTAATTTTGTCTTCTATTTCATTAAACAATACACCAGCTTTAATACTCATCAAGATATTCCATTTTAATTATTCTAAAAATAGGCACTTCTGAAATTGTTCCATTGATTTCTTCTTTTGATATTGTTAATATAAAAATAACGCCCCTTTTGAAATTGAACTAGCTAAATCAGGAGATGGTTTTAAATTAACAGCTGAGTTTACAAGTTCTTTAAGAATAGCAATAGCAGAATCATTTTTTTGTTGTGACTCCTCTTAGGTTGGTATATACTTAATACAGGCTTAGATCAAGGTTAGCTCATAAATTAACCCATTATAAAATAAAGATGTTTCACCCTCCAAATTAACATAATTGGTAATATTGACCGTTAACTATGTCAATCTATCTATCTGCTATTACTGAGTTCTTTCATTTGAATTAGAGTAAAAAATAAATATTAATCTGGAGAATGAGTTGCAAATTTTTAATACTTTTAAAGCGATCGACCTGTCCCATTAGATTGTTGTTGATGCCAATTCTAAGAAACATTAGAGTGTCTTTTCGATAATTTATTTGTGTCTCTTGACCAAGTCAATCTGAAATTGGAAATAACAAAATAATTGTTCGAGTTCCAAAAACCAAGCAATGTTCCTATTCAACACGCTTTTGCCTTCTTCGGTGCTCATAATCTCTTTTATATGTTCAATTTGCTCTAGTCTTTTATTTAAGTTAACTAAAAAAGCATTTAAAAGTGTTGAATGTAATTAAGCCTCAATTTAAATGTTCTAGGGTACTCCCTGACTATTACTAGTAGAAGAAAAGGCAGATCCTCCTCCTCTTAAAGATTATTGAAAATATCTCAACTTAAGCATAAATAAATAAAATAAAATTTGTCAAATTTAATTAGAGAAGGTAATAATTAATTATTTCAGATTTGAAATCAAATTTTGACGAATTTTATTTAGCTTTATCTGTTTTAATTAGAGGATACTATTTCAAAATCAATTATTAAATTGTTGATTCTATTATGTAACAAGTAATTAAAAAGGAAGTAATTAATTTTTTTCATAAATTCCATAATTTTTTTCCCTACCTTAACATGTGTTGATTATGTATGCTACTAATTAAGAAGAAAACTTTGATTCTAAATTTCTAATAATAAAAAGACTATCCTAACTTGTGTTCTTATTCAAATTTATGTATATTATGATATAATTAATGAATAAATACAAAAAGCTTATCAGTCTTCTTTTATTCAAAGAAACAATACTATAATTTTGAAGAGCTGTTAGAAGTAGGAAGTTAAATAATGTGTTTTAGCTTAAAAACTAGACTTATGGAAAAAAAACTGTAATAAATAGTGTGATTTAAATAAGGGATTTATTTAATTTTAAAGTTCATAAAATGGCGTTATTCATATATTTTATTTTCTTTGTTTATCCTGAGAAGTAATAGATAAATTGTTTTGCACTTCTACAAGATTTGTGAGCTTGTAATGTTTGAATAGTTTTCTGATAAAATACATTTTTACATTCTATTGTTGCTTCTTGCAAAGAACTAAATTGCGAATAATCAAGGATCAATATAAAATATATTTTATAAAAAATGCATTTAGCAACATATACTAACAGATGATTAATCAAAGCTAGAGAATGATGAATACATTATCAAGCAATATCCTATTCTATACAATACAAATTATAGTTAGACGAGAAACTCAAAATAGTTATTCTTGTAATAAAGATATAGTCGATTAACTGTTAATAGTTGAATTAGCACAAGAAGAAGCATTTTTCAATAGAAAATTACTCTACCAATCTTTCATTAATGTAAGATTCATAGATATTTTATAATTTAAATTGTGTAAGTGAAATTTCCTCTAAATTTTACAATAAATATTTCTTAAAGTCCTTAAGACAGAATGAGGATTTTTTAGATTCTAAATTACTTTCTTATTTCTAATTTATCAAAGATAATATATACTTTATTAAAAAATGGATGAAAACTATTTCAATTAATTTTTAATAGATACCAAACCCTATTATAAGAAGCCAATTAAGTTAAATGTATTCTAAACATAAAACTTATATCATAATATTTGTCTTATAGCTAAATGAAGAATTTGCCTGTTTGTCAAATCTACCTTTTAGAGAATAAAAAATTGCATTTGATTAGACTATGATAGAAAGTTGCAGATTATACCAATGGCTATTTATTCTAACTGATAATAAGAATTGAAACTTATATTTAATTAACATATATATTTTTAAAAAATTTTATTAATAGAAATAGCATTGATTCATATATCAAAAGCAGAGCATTATTAATTAATAATAAATGATCTCTATGTAAAAAGTGAATTAAATAAAACCAACAGATTAGTTTCTCGAAGAACAACTATTTATTGAAGAAACCCAATCTAATAATAAGAATTTAATAAACACTAAAAAAATCTAAGGATTATAGTTACCAATTAAAAAATAAAAAGGTTAGGAAAGGAATTTGAAGAACTTTCCAAAATTGATTGGAAATAATCTGTGCAAATATGCCACATATAATTCCTCAAAACATCCCAAAGGGATATAAGAAATGATCAAAAAAAAGACGGCACATCAATAAGTAGGTTTCAAGATTGCAGATTTGAGACAGGTTTGCCTATCAGATGGAGAATCATAGAAATTATTTCAAATTTATTTGAAAAATTAATTGCTATTAGATTTGATTTATAGTCCTAAAATTAATGATCCTTTGGCTTATATAACTGGGATATGTAACTATTATGCAGCTAGTTTTGTACCATAGAAAATGGTTGGAAGCTACATCATTAAATGAAATAATCTTAAAATATTATTTTTTGTTTTTCAATATTTAATAGAATTACACGTTTTTTTTAACCATTGTTCAATCAGATAATTTGAATTAATTATCTATTAATGAACTAATCACTTTTAGCACTTTTCGAAGAGCATTCTTATTATGATGATTAGATAGGAGATTATCAGGAAGATTTTGAATAATCCTTTTTCAATCAAGGTCAACACTTACCAACTAACGTGACCAAGGCTGTGACCATCAACATTAAACAAGAGGACATCAATTACAAGAATTTTCCAAAGATGATTGGGAACAACATTGTTAAATGGATTAAAAAAACCAAATACAATAAAAGATATGAAAGTATTCCAAAAGGGTTTAAAAGGTTAATAGAATTTAGACAAAAAGACAAATAATCAAAAATTAAAATTAAAGACTTAAGAGATTCCATAAAAGATGATTCTGAATCTAAAGAGCTATTTTAAGAATACATTGCTGATCAGTTATTCTTAGATTTAATGTTCAGCAACAAAGTTGCTGATCCATTCCCATATATCCCTGGAATCTGTAATTATTATTCTGCTGCATAAGAACCAGAAAAAATGGTAAGTAACTATATAATGAGAAAAGAATTCGTTAATTAAAAAGTGGAAATATGATACTAATTAAATATTACTTTTTTTTTGAATGTTTCTTTTTTAATTATAAATATTTATTATTTATGAATCCGTATTGTTCTATGCATAAAGAAGATATTATAAACTTTTGCGTAGATCCCAATTGTCAAACTAGATGCATATGCAAAATATGTAAACACGAACATGAGACAGTTCCTATATCATATCTCGTGGATAATGTTTTTGTAAAAGAAACTCTTAGTATTGTAACCCTATTCAAAGCTATCATACAAAAGATGGTTCATTCTATTGAAAATGACTTAACAACCTAACTATAGGAAATAAAGTATGAGAAACCTCCTAATGAAATTTCACAATTAAGTGCTTTCCTCAAGAAAAAGTATTAGATTTTTTAGGTTCTCAGGGATTCCATCTCATCAAAATTACAAAGAGTAATTGATGCTATCAAATCGCCTGTTGAGTTTTCAAAACCTCAATTTCCTTCATCTTTAAATAGTCTTCCTTTTCTAGATAAAGATGCAAATAAATAATCACCATAAACCCTAAAGAAATTAAAGTCAGAAGAATACATAAGAGTTGCAAGTCCTGACAAGTTTGAAAACGCACTTATGTTAGACAAACTAGAAATCTAAAGACTTAAAACATTTAATGAGGAAAATTGGCCATGGAGACTAGAATAAGGCGCGTAATTTGTGACCATCTTCACAGCATTTAGAAACTTCAAATTGCTAGGTTTTAAATAGCCTATACTATTTTGTTCAAATGTGCATAATCATTAAAAAAAACCTATTAATTTTAACTTTGCCCTCTATCATAAAAAGAACTTATTGAAAAAGGCCATATACATGGAAAGTAGAACTTTAAAGCATTATAATGAAAAAGTGATTGATAGGTGTTATGATATAGTTTTAAAGATTCCTCAAAAAATTTAAGCTGGAAAGGAGTACTCTTTGGTGATATGGAGTAGTTCTGGATTTTATAGTCATTATTATAGTTTTCCTGCTTCTCCGAATGATTTCATAGAATTTTAATAATAAGATTTCAACGATCATCCAAAGATCAAGAGATCTGAACTTGTTCACAAGGTTATTTCTACCTATAGAGCAGGCTTGATCCCAGCTGTGTATATTGATCCTAGAGAAGAAAAAGATAAATGAGATTTACATTGTTCATACATATGTATTCACATTCATGTATTTTCTTTTATATTTATCATCAATAAGATTGATATATTTATGTTATATTATATGTGTTATTGATTTGAATCATGCAAATGTCTTTTTGGTCATTATATTATAGAAATCTTCGAATGTCACTTAAGCATCCCCATCAGAATCAGCTCTGTCAATCATCTCTTATAATTCGGAGTCATCCATTGTTTCTCCTAATTCTTTTGCTACTTTTCTGAGATCCTTCAAAGTGATAACACCAGCTCTTTCTGAATCAAAAAGATTGAAGACTTTCTAATGAAAATTATTATTATTTTAGATACTTGAATGTCAGCTTTAGAATCTCTTTCACTAATTCTTGCTGTCATTAATTTCAAAAATTCAGCAAAATCGATTTGACCACTTCCATCTGTATCCAAATCGCTAATCATTTAATAGATTGTTTGATTTTTGGCTTCGAATCCCAATGATGTCATAGCAGCCTTTAATTCCTTTGGGTCAATAGATTAAGTACTAAGATTATCTAAATAATACATACCCATCTGTATCAAATAAGTCAAAAGCCTCCTTAATTTCCAAAACCTCTTCTTCTGTCAATCCTGGTTTCACAAACTCAGCAGGGTTGAATTTTCCTGCTTAATTTTTTTGAGTTGGTGGAGCTTATTGTTATTATGGTGGTGGTTATTGACCTCTTCTTGCCATTATTAAAATAAAAAATAATTAATAACAAAAAGATATTAATCCCCCTTATATATTATCAAAAAAGAACAATATCACAATGTATTTGATTACACTTTATTTTTGATTCGACATATTAGTCACAAAATTATTGTATATCATATTTGTTATTTATTTTGAGTTTAAGTACATGGAGGAGCTTAGAGCTTTCAGTAAAATTCTACGCTTCAATTAATATATTAAACGAATTGCAATATGCCATAATATAATATTTGATTAAATCAAAAATTATTAGGATGAAAGCATTTCAAGAAGTAAGAAACCTGAGCAAGTTAATCAATAATCATATATATTTTGTATCTTATTTTGTTCTTTGCTTTTTTTGTAAATTTCTACAGAATTTATCAATTTGATAAATACTATATTTAATATAAAGGGTCGCTTCTAGATGCTAATGGATTATAGAATTAAAAATATATTTTGAGAGTTCATATGTTTAATAATTAATCTTTTACCTATTTTTAGAAAATAAAAATTACTATTTTAATAAAATTAATTGAAAACTTTTGTTTTTATCTTAATATTCAAAGAATTGATCATCATTCTCATTCTGAAAAATAACAGATTTTAATTCTAGCATACATATGTTTATTTCAATGACTTATGAAAAGTGCCATAATATTTTTATGAATATTATTAATATTAAAGGTTACATTATTAATCAAAGCCACTTTCATGATTAGATATATTAATTTACAAGCTATATATTCTTTAATGTCTTTATTGATTTGAACTTTGATGAAATTATTGCTTGATTCTTTGTCAAGCCATATGTTTTTATTTAATTTTATTGGGCATTTTCTATTCACATGCGATTTAGTTCGTAATCTTGCTATGTCAATCATTGTACCATTTTACCCATAATTTGTTACAGTAAATAGATTATAGTGATTAAATTTAAGTTTTCTGGTGTAAATCTAAGAACTTTCTGAAAATATCATAGGTATTGTATTTGCAGCTAATCCTTTGGGACAATTTATTCTTCCCTTGATTTTAGGAAAAGTAATAACCAATGATAAAAATATGCTAAACCATAGGATAATAGATAGAAAATAATGGTTATTGGCATATTCTTATAAGGTGTAGGCTTGTTCTTTTTTGGTTTGTTATACTATTTTGATCCTTATTGGGTAATTCTAATAGGAAGTTTTACTGCTAGATTGATTGGTGGAATAGTATATAAACGCTATATTTAAGATATATATTTATTTCCTATAACTTTTTCTAAATCTTTAGTGATATTACTTTTCTATTTATCTAAAATTTTAAAAGAATTAGTATTGGCTCATTAAATATTTGAGATAGATATATTATTAGAGTTTTCAAATTTTTTGTTAATATAATTTTATTTGATCCAACTCATATTCTCAAATCTTTATTTTGGAAGATAATATATTGTATTTTTAAATGTACAAAAGCCAAAAACCTAAAAGGCCAAAAGAAACAGAAAATCTAAGTTTTTTGCATATTAATTGAAATTTTTAATAAAGGTATAAAAAATAAAATAAAACTTAGGTAATTTATTTCTATAATAATATTCTAGACTTGGAATTAGATTCAATAATAAACACATAATAAACGTTTTGATATATAATGAAATATCAAATAAAGTGCATCAATAAAAATTGATTAACACTATCGTGGCATTAAAGATGTGTCTTATTTATTTTTCTTGAAAGAGAAGCTTGCCAGAACAAAGGCAAACAAAATTAAAGTATGAAAATATAATTTTGTTTTAGATATTTAATAGTACATTCTAAACTAATCACAAAATTAATTATTAATGATATGAAACAACCTATTTAGGTAAATCATTCATCAAATGCTTTTTAAGTATGCATGAAGCAAGATTTTCCTGATACTAATAGAAGCTGAAGTTATTTCTAATTGGTGGATCTTAAGAGTCTATAAAATGAGTAATCTATTTAATCTCCTTAAAATCATTATCTCCAACTCCAACATATATCAAAGAATAGGGTAACTTCGAACCTAGCATATAATAATCTACTATACCACTTAAAATTAGATTCTACACTTATTTTAAATCTGTTATTTGTTCCTATCCTAAAATCACAGCGATTGTATAAATTAGTTTGGTTGCATTATTTTCAGCTATTGTTTAAACATATTTAATAAAGTCTTCAAGTTAGAGATCCCCTTTAAAAACTATTTCTCGAAGTCTATTTTAATAAGTTTTGACAGCCTCTTGATAGCCAATTACTTATGGGTTTTAGAAGTTTCCTGTTAAAGGGAAAAGAGTTTGATACCCATTGCCATTATAATTAGAAAATTGAGGCTCAGCTCCCATTCCATACAGAGCCAGTAATTTTTTAATGTTATAGCCTTCTAAGACTTTAGCAATATCATTTAATGCTTGTTGATAAATATTGTTCTTTTCAATATAGGTGTGTAAAGAATCAGGAAATTAAGGCACGCCATTGTGAGAAGAGTAATCAATTCCAATGATAATATTAAAAGTAGTTCCTTAATTTATGAAATCATCAAAATTAGGTTTATGTATCCTTTTTTTATTTACAATTTTAATTATTCCTGCTGGTCCTCCTTTTGGTTAGATTAATTAAAATGAATCAATATTTTTATTAAATATCTCATCTATTGTTGTCTCAAATGATCCAACTATCTAATTATACTTGCCTTTTTCATGTTTATCAACGCATTCAACTTTAAACTTTTTATTTTCATCGTTGAAACACAATCTTTAGAGAGAAACTTCGAATTCTCTCCATTAAGGATTGAGATTATCTTTTAGATATTCAGTTTAGTATACATGACACCATACTCCCTCTGTAAACAAATAAAACTTAAGGAATGGATCAGTCTTACCAAATATCCCATCCATCTTTTTAAGATTAATTCCAGAAAATTACCATTAAACAAAATGGTTAGATTCTTTAAATTTTACAGCCTTACAAATTAATATTCCTGCTTCTTTCTCAAATTTTTTGATTTAGAGAGAGATTAAAGAATTTTTCTATTACATAATGTCCTTTATAGTCGTTTGCGCATCTCCCATAAATTCTCTTCCCATTCTGTTTTAATCAAATATCTAAAATCTTAATATCTATGTCAGATCTGGCTAATATTCCACACTAAATGTTTATTCCCAATTAGGATCCAAATTACAATCAGCCACTTCAGTTTTCCCCAGAAACACTTCTTGTTACCCGGGCAGTAAATAATAGAGTTCCAAATACGGATCACTTTTTGAGAAGAATTCGAGATTAGGTAATTACCTTGCAGCCAAAAATAACTCAATATTAATTCTTTCATCTGGGTTATAAGTTTATTGCATAATAATTATAATAAGTTATACAACAATTAATAAATATATTAGTTTAGTAACTTCATTCATAAGGAATGTGTAATTACATTGAGATGTTCATTAAATATAATAATCACTTTTTTTGTTAATTAAATTATTAATTTTTATTATTTCTTAAAGAAGCTAAAGCTGCCTGTAATGTCACAACATAGTAACCACTCGTTGAATTGAGCATTCCATTGGTTATTAATTTTTCTATGTAAGTAAGGTGAATATCAATATCATATATTTAAGATTTTATCAAAATGTATCTGATAATTGGCAAAAGATCATCAGCTTACATAAGCAGACTAGATCCTTTTTTTTCATTTGCTTCCCTAACCTACTACTGAATTTGTTAGGAAAAATTAATTATTACTTTGACCTTTGAGGAAGGGCCTTGTTTTTTTGATAATTTCTTCAAAGTTTATATTGCCTCACCATAAGGGTTTGAGGATGATGTCAATTAAAAGTCTTTTGGTACTTCCATATCGATTATACTAATATCTTTCTTTTGCTTAAACACTTGTTCAGTCTGATTTTAAATTTAACTCAGCTCTTTTAACAAAGAATTATAAATTACTCTATAAATTCCTTCATTTGACATCACATAATTTACAATAAAATTAATCATTGTCTCTTCATTTAATAAAACTGCATGACTTTAATATTTCTTTTTCAAATTTATCATATCATAATAAATTACAATAGTATCATAAAGTGTTCTACAAAATAAAGTTAATTGTTCATGTAACTAATTAAATGTACTATCTTAATGGTGTTATTTTAAAGAATTTCTGAATTGAATTATCATTATTCCTAATTCATTAGGCTAATCTAAATGTTCTTGTATTTTATCAGTAATTTGTACAAAAAAGTACATCTGATCTTCAAAATTTACTTAAGATGCCATTCCAACATTAGATGTTTTCTCATAATAAATATAAGATGGTGTAATTGACTAAATACTTAAATTAATAGAAGCCCTGCTCGGTTTGATATAATATTCAACTAGATCGTCTTCTGTAAATCCTGTTCTTTTAATTATTGTTTAGATATTTCTATTTTCTCTTGCAGCTTATCTAGATTTGATAGACTTTTAAATTTCTGAAATTGATGACTCTTCATAACTCTAAGCAAAGGAATGTAGTTATTTCTAATACTTATTTGAAATCTTTAAATCTTTAATTTAAATCAAAATAGGCTCAGCCCAACACATTTCTTTCTTCTTATCCTAACAAGTTGTTTCAAGTTACTATTTCCAATGAACATTGTCAGCGTCCTTTTTATTTTAATATAAATACTCGTTCGTAGCAAAATACATTACCCATCTTTAATTTATATATATAATAATAATAATACTACCGTGTTAAGGAGAAGAGAAAACATAAATTATTTAATCATCATATAATATTAAATTTAATTTATATATATCAAATACCCCCCCTCTCAATAAATTAATCTTGAATATATCTTATTGTTGTCAAATCAGCAATGATGATTTTATTAATTTCAAACAATTTAAATTATTCTGGTTGGTTCCCTGACTTAACATTAAAATTAATTAATTTTAGTATCAAAGCCTTTTCTGACTAAATTAGCAGTTGTTCTAACAATTAGCTAACTTCTCTATTTAAATTAAATTAAATTTGTAGAATATGGTTAATTTCAAGAGGAAGTAAAATTATTATTCTTTAAAATGGGGGTTTTGTTATTCTTTTATCTGTTTTACTAACCATTTATTTAATATATAATGCTAATAATAGTTAACTTTGTCACTTTACTTTTCATTCTATAATTGACATACATTAGTAATTATTATTCTTTAAGATCCAATTATAACCATAAGGTCATTTTATTATAGTGTTAATTATATTTTATTAATAATTTATGATTCTTATTATATATATAATATCTATCATGATGATCTAAAATTAATTACAATTTTTAAATTTAATAAGGTTGCATTATTTAAATCTTGGTTTCCAAAATCAAAGCTTGTTCAAAAATATAAAAGACTTTTGTGATCTTTAATATATTAATTAATTAACTCCTTGGTAAACAAGTTTAATTAACAATAAATAAATTTATTTTAATTATTCATAATTTATTTCAAATCTTAAGTTTAAATACTTACATTTTCTAATAATATAATTTTATAAATGATAAAGTTGGGATATTAAGAATATTCTTTAAGAGGAGGAGGATCTGGCTCTTCTTCTAATCATTCAAAAGAAATACCTGAATATGTAATAAAAGAAGCATAATTGCACTAAACACTTTTAAATGCTTTTTTAGTCAACTTAAATAAAAGACTAGAGCAAATTGAACATGTAAAAGTGATCTTAAGCACCGAAGAAGGAAAAAGCATGTTGGATAGGACCATAGGTTGGTTTTTGGAACTTGAACAATTATTTTGTTATTTCCAATTTTAGATCGACTTGGTCAGGAGACACAAATAAATCATAGAAAAGACACTCTAATATTTCTTAGAATTGGCATCAACAACAATATTATGGGATAGATTGATTGCTTTAAAAATTTTAAAAATTTGTAACTCTTTTAGCCGATTATTATTTATTTATTACTCTAATTAAAATGAAAAAACTTAATAAAAGTAGATTTTAAAATGGAAATAGTTACTTTCACACATAATCAATCAAGTTAATTTGGAAGGGGAAGTATCATTATTTTATAATGGGTTGATTTATGAGCTAACCCTAATTAAAGCCTGTATTAAGTATATACCAACCTAAGAAGAGGCACAATAAAAAAATGATTCTGCTATTGCTATTCTTAAAGAACTTGTAAACTCAGCTGTTAATTTAAAACCATCTCCTGAATTATTAAGTTCAATTTCAAAAGGGGCGTTGTTTTTATATCAGCAATACCAGAAGAAGAAATCAATGGAACAATTTCAGAAGTGCCTATTTTTAGAATAATTAAAATGGAATATCTTGATGAGTATTAAAGCTGGTGTATTGTTTAATGAAATAGAAGACAAAATTAATGATAATTACAATAAAATTATTAAATAAGGAAGTGATTGGGCTATTTAATATTCTTGGATTAAGATGGCAAGTGAACTAATGGCATGCAAACCATAAATAACTAAAGTCAAGTTTTTAAGTTTATAATAAGGATCAAATTAAGTAATGACATGGGAATAAGCCTAATAAGACAATTTGATTAATGTTATCCATAAAGATTTTGAAATTGCTGAGATTATTGCAAAGAATTAAACATCAAATATTGGCATTAAATTATAAAGCATTTCTAGACAGTATTACAATCTCTAAAACTTTTTTATGAATGGAAATCAAGTCATACCTAAATTCATTGGTTACTATACCTTAGAATCAGGAAAAGATTAATTAAATTTAGATAATGAATCAAACCAAGATTATTTTAAGATGATATAAGCATTAAGGCAAGTACCTTTCGATAAAATTGCTTACAATTTCAACGAATTTTTAAATAAATTTTCAGCATATTTAATCAGCTATTATCAAATAGAACCTAAAACAATGGATTTTACAGATTTCCAATATCATTTAATATTAATTTAGGAACAATGCCAATCTTTGCTCAATGATGTTATTAAATTTTAGATTTCAAGGGATTATATAGACAAAATTATTGAACTAGTGTCTCCTCTTTTGGATGACCTTAAAAAATAAAAGACAATAGTAAATCAAAACTGTTTTTAAACATTTCTATATAACTATTCTAAAGCACAGATCAACAAACAATTTGATAAAAAAAGAGATATTTATGACAAGCTTATAAATTGGTTGGAATCAAAAAATTTAGTTTTAGAATAAAAAATTATTTACTAGTAGCATTTTGGAAAAAAGATACCTGAAGATTGTTTTCTTCTGTCGAAAATCCAAGAAAAACCCTTTTAAACATAGCTGAATTATCTGATTTTTGCACTTCAATTTTGTTAACTATGGAATCAATAGATTACAGATCTTTCATCTTTGTTGATAGCCGAAAACATTATGATGAATTAATAAGTTATCATTACAAAATAAACATAAGAGGAAGAAATCAAATCTATAGCAGATAATCTGATAGACGAATATATTAATCGATAGAATAATAATTTTGAATAACTTCATTCTACTTATTCAATTCTTTAAATGTAGTACGAATAATTCGTTGAACTAAAAACATTACTCTTTGATAAATTCTTTTTAGAGGAGTTTGCAAAAATTAAACAGAAATAGTAAATTGAATTCAGAATTGATTAAAAATTTGATTTATAACTATTTTTTCAGTATTAAGTCAATCAGCATCATTAATTGATTTAATTACTTGATAAGGAAAATGAGATCTTATCTAATTTAATGAAGGAATATCAAGCTAAAAAGCTTAATTATGCCTGCTAATATTTTTGTTCTTCATTGAAATTTTCTCTTCCCTTAATAAACTAAATATATAATTTTAATTTAGATTTGATAAAAAAACTGGAAATATTAGTTGAATTTGTTAGCATAAAGGACAATAAAGTATTATAGAATTTTAAACCTAACTAAATAAAACTTTAATCTCAATTTGATCTATTGATAACATCCAAAGATAAGATAGACAAATTTACCAATATTGAATATATAGAGAAAGTTAAAGGAATTTGAAATTTCTGTCTTAGCCATTTAGCAAGAATTACTAATAATAAATAATAGCGACTACAGAACTTAATTAGTTAATGAATTAAATAGATTTTATGAGTTTTTAGTGCATGGCTAGAACAAAATAAATTAATCAATTCGACTCAACTATCTAAGACTTGTTAAAAAATTTAACCTCAACATTTATCAACGATATTGAAAATTTGTTTAAAAATTTGAAATCATATTGGAAACAAGAATAGACTGTTGAATTGAATGAATGTATTGATGAAAGAAAGCCAAAATAGCCTAAATTGCTAGAATTTACCAATAATGTTAAAAATTAAATTATGCAGGTGTAATAATTAGTTGAATTTTCTGAAATAGACACATTACAAAATCTAATAGATTTAATGAAATTTACAGATTCAAATAATTAGGTAATATAGGAGTAATGTGAAGTTTAAATTGCTAAATTATTAAAAAAATTTGAAGAATTCATTAAAAATCAAAAGAGTCTACAATATTAAACCATCCCCAAAGACTATTCAGACTATTTAACCCTTATTAACTAAAACCATAAAGAATTAGACCGATTTCTCAAAGATGAATTAAATTTCATATTTTCACCTGTTTAGAATTAAGTTCAAACTAATTTAAAATAATGTAAATAAAGCATAACATCGTCTATACTTGAATTTATTCAAGGTAATTCTTGGAGAGTAAAAGAAGGATTCTTATTTTAATGTATCTAATTAGAAAATCAATTGCAAGAATAAAATAAATAATCTATACAAAAAATATTAATCCTAATTGCAGCCAAGGAAACAAATTTGAAAATATTAGTAACACTTAAAAACAAACAAATAGTATAACAGATGTATTAAGGATTTTCTAAGAATTGGCCAGAAGTACAAAGTGAGATAAAATCAGATTTAGCTAGCTAAATAAGTAGATTAGAATAGCTTTAATTTAGTATTTCAACTGCTGAAACTGATAGAAAGAGGGAGCAACTACTTAAGGAACACAAAAAATTGGAAGAATAAGTTGAATAATAAATATTAAATGTGAATCAAATTGGTGATGCTTTAGGTATCACTATCAATTTCTTAAGAGAAATTAAATAAGATCTAAATAAGATTCAATATAAATTAGATCAAATGCTTAATAAGATAGATGAAGTAGTTCAAGATATTAAATAATTGATTGGAAAGACACCTAAATAATTATTAGAAATAAGAATGTAATTTGTTTTATAATAAAAAATTGCAAATGATTTCAATAATGTGTATGTAAACCTAAGAACTAAGGAGTTAAAAGAGAATTTTAAAGACGAAGATGACGAGACTACTCTTTTTAATGATGTTTCTTAGAATAAAGGTGAAATTGATGAATTTTTATAATAACCAAAAGATTCTCTCCTTATTCATGGACCAGCAGGTTCAGGTAAAAGTGTAGCTGCTAAAAAAATAGAAGAATACATCTGGTTATAATATTAATAGTTGAATTTAGATGAATGGTCAAAGGATTCAGAACAGATACCAGTTGTTCCTATATTCATTCAATTAGCAAGTTTAAAAGATCCTTATTTTAAAGCCATTGAGGAATCTTTAGCTTCAACGAACTATAATTTTGATTGGAGATAAATACAAGCTTTCTAAACTTAGGTTGAAGAAGGTAAAGTTGCAATCGTTTTCATTCTTGATAGTTTTGATGAATTAAGTAATAATTAAATAAATCTAATTTAAAATAATAAATTGAAGAATTGGAGGTAATAGTTATTAAACTTAAGCGATTTAGCCTAGGGTCAATAAAGAATATATAGTCTTAATTATCCAAAAGTAATTACTACAACTAGATCAGAAGTCTTTGAGTTGAATAGTACAAATTATAGATAATGGTTTAGTAGTGAATCACTATTGGATTTTACGAAATATAAAGAAATAAGAATTCTCAGTTTTGATGATAATTAAAAATAAGACTACTTAAAATAATATTCGTATACTTAAATAAAAAAGACTTTGCTTGATTATTTTGAAAAGTACTCCATTATTTAAAAAAGAGGAAGAAACCTTATAAATGAAGTTGAAAAAATTTGGAATAATATAGTTGAAAAATTGCAACGATTTCATCATCATCAATAATAATATGATTTATACTTAAACGATAAAGAAATCAATATCATAACTTCTATTTTGAAAAGTGAGTTTAAGTCATAAAATCAATAAGAACAATTTGTAATTTTAGAAGGATAATTAAGAAATATTTAAACTCCTTAATTCTATAATCACAATATAATTGATTTTAATTTGGAGTAACTTCTCAATACACCATTTATGATGAAAATAGTCATTGATGTGTTACCCTAAATGAACTCTTAGAAATAATAAAAACACCTTAATTATTTCATTTCTAATTATACACTTTAAATGTATGAAAAATATGTTAAAAAGAAAGATTATAAAGATATTCGAAAGTATTACGAGAAAATCTCTCAAAAATAATATGAGGAAGACTAAGCTGATAATTTAAATATCCAAGAGTAAATATCGGAATAACCAGAATCAATGGAGAGTGATTCAGAAAATAATACTTCTCAAGATGATGAGATGGATGATAGAAATTAATAAAGCAAAAAAATGAATTTTCTACCAAAAAGTGAAATTTAGTAAAGCTCAAATTAATAAAGCAGAAAGCTGAATTTTCTACCTAAGACTCAAATTTAGTAACCTACCTAATAGTTCTAAAAAAAAGATCATTCAATGTAATATTAAAAGTCCTAACAAGCTGAATACTCAATGCCTAAAAGCACTAGCCAGCTGTAATACATAAATTCTTAAACAAGAAACATTAGTAGTAATAGAAGTCCTAAAGTTACTTCTTTGCATTCCTAAAAATTTCAGAAAAAAGCAGCTCCTGATCTTCCATCAGATGTTAGTTCCAAAAAGACTGCAGAGGCAAATAATAAAACATCGTATGTAGATTAACCTCAAAGTGCTTTTGGTTAGCGTTCTCAATCAGCAAATGCAATGTCATTAAAAGATCTTAAAATGAAGAATAATTTATAAATAAGGATTAAAGAGAATTTAAGAGAAGAAGGAAAATTAATATTTTAAAAGCATTAATACTTCTCTCAGCAAGATTACGATTAATATGGAGATGATAAATAGATTTTGTTAAGATGTTATAAATCTTTTAGATTAACATAGTTCGATTTTTATGAATAGTTCTTGGAGAATTATATTTAAAACTAAATTTAAAAATTGTCAAATCTTTAGCAAATAAAGTTTTAAAGTGATTTCATAGATAAAGTTAATGATTATTCAATACTATTAGTATCTTATTTGATGCAATATTAATTAACTTCGATGGAAACTTAGAAAACATCTAATATGTCAGGAATATGGAACTAAAAAATCAAACATCATTCTGCTGATCCAAGATTTCAAGAATTGTTTAATTATAATTCTGAAGAGAGTTCATTAATAAAAAAATGTCTTCCTTTGAAATAAACCGGATCTATTCTAAGTTTTGAGCATAAATCAATTCAAGAATTTATATATGCAAAATTTATCATAACTAATCTTTACTGGATTCTTTCACTTATAAATTCATTCAATGAAAATAAATTTAATATAGAGAAAAAAAAAGAATTTATTTTCAACTGCATAAGAATATTTCTTTAAGCATAAGGTTAAGGGGGAGAAAAGTTTAAGCAACTTTTTAAATAAAACTATAAGTAATAGTAATAAGGAAATTCAGATTACTATTATACTTAATCAGATTAATTAATAAATATCATAATTGATTCCCCATTAAATCAAATTATTATGGCAAATCAATTTTATATGGGAGTAATACGATTTATAATAGAATATGTATAGGATAATCAAGAATTAAGGTCAGTTTTACATTTTTTAATATCAATCTCAAAAATATCACAATAGTTTATAAATATTAGTTCAAATTCGTTTTAATTGCTTGCTTATATGCAGGAGTTATTCTATGAAAAGCATTTTTAAGAAATTTAGATAAAAGACATTAAGCTATTAGGATTAAAGTGTATAGGATGTGATTTTAGTAGGTCAACATTTGAGAATGTGACTTTGATGGGGACAAACTTAAATTATTGTAAAATTGAAGATGTTTATTGGAAAGGCATAATCTCATAGGATTTACCAACTTTGTCTTTTGATATTGGTCCTATATTAAAATCATCGTTTTCTTGTGATGGTAACTACATAGCCTCCCTTGGTCTAAATAAATAGTTGGTTGTGTATCAGATAAATGCTGAATAAATAGTAACAAAGGTAGAGTTTGAAAAAGAAGTATTTGATTTTTGTTGGTCTAATACCAAATCTATGCTTGTCTATTTCATTGAAGAAACTTTAAATATCTTTAACTTTCATGAGTAACCATAATAAAATTGTGAAAATTAAGTTTAAAGAAATTCAAATGAAGAAATTTACTAACATGATAAATATAAACATAAAATAGGGGACACTGTTAGTTTAGTAAGATTTTCAAATTAAGACAGCTATTTATCAGTAGGGTGTTAAAAAGGGAAAATAATTATTTATAAAGTTATTAATAAAACACAGTAAAAATTTATAGAAATCGAACGAAAAAGTAGAATAACAGCATTAGACTTTTCTCCAGATGAAGATAACCTGATTGCTTGTGATCAAACTTCAATATTTCTACGTAAGATATAAGAAGAGTAAACTAAAACAATTAAAACCTTATCATAAAACTCTTAAGTAACAAGTATTGTTTTTAGTCCCGATGGGCAACTGTTTGCATATGCTACAACGAATGAGATGATTATCATATATAGCTTAGTAAAGTAAAAGGATTAGGCTAAATTAAGTGGTCATTAAAAAGCTGTTAGATGTATATGCTTTTCTAGCGAAGGGAATATATTGATAAGTGCAGGAGATGATAAAAGTGTTAGGATTTGGGATTATATGAAAGGAATCTAAATTGGAGAAAATTTGCATGGTCATTCTGATGGTATTAATAGCGTCGAATTTTCAAAAACAGATGGAATGATTATTTTGTCTGCAGGAAAGGATGGACTTGTTAAATAGTGGTATCATTCTGATAACTATCGTGTTAGTGAATATCTGCCTGGGCATGATGGCAGCATTTTATTTATGATTATATCTTAGGATTCCTAAAGAATAATTACAAAGGGTAAAGATAAGAAAATAATATAATGGAATATTAATACAGCATCCATAGTTAATCGAATAATTACTTTATAGAGTTGTTAAGAATGTTCAATTAATAAATTATGTTCTGCCTGTTAATTGAGTCCTATTATTAGTGTTAATGATGATCAATATATTATCACAGGTGGATTTGGTCACTCAATTTCAATTTATGATAGCTACACTGGTAAATAAACTTTTCATACACTATCATGTCTAAAACCCAAAGGAGAAGTCACTCTTTTAGTATATTCTCAAAAAAATCATTTCATATGTTCAGGAACTTTGAATGGAGAAATTAAAATATGGGACAGTCTTAATGGTAAATAATATAGTTAAAGAATCACTCTAGATTCTTAAATATTGACTTTGTTTTTTGATCTAGACTAAAATTTAGTAGTTTTAAATTAATCTGGAAAATACACTAACGTTAAACTTGGTTCAGGGGATATAAAAATATAATCCTTCTAATATTAATTAATGGATGAAGCATCAGAAATGTAACAGATAAATTAATTGATTGTTGATGAGATTGCTGATTTATAAATTGATATATCCACATAGAATTCTTCATAAAGATCCAATAATAAAGTCTCATGTTTATCACTCACATCAGATTATTCTCATTTAGCGATTGCAACTAAAGCCTCAAATGTCTACATTTTAAAGACTAAGGAATTGTCAAAGATATTTTCCACATATTCATATTAGGGTGTAATTACTTCAATGTATTTTAATAAAAATGGTTTAGTTTTAGTCCTATCCTTTGAAGATCTTTCCATAAAGGTTTGGGATATATCCAAAAATATTCATGGAAGTAAAACTGATTGTCACTAAGCTCTAATCAATTGTTTAGGAGTATCTTCTGATAATAAATTTATTGTATCTACATCTTAAGATAAATGTATTAAGATTTGGTAGTTGTAAAATCTAAGTGATGATGGAATCATTTCTAAAAATATTAATGGGTTGAAGAATAAAATACAACTATAAAAACTATACTTCAAAAAAGCTTTTGAATAATTCAATCCTGAGCCAAAAAATAAAAAAGACTTTAATTTGGAGGTAGCAACAAATTTCGAAAAAGAATGGCGTTTGGCAAAAGTAAAATAGAAGGATATTTTTGAGGAAGCGGAAGAGATAGCTAATCAGCTAACTGAGTTAAGAAGAGCCGACGTGTGTGCTACATTAAGAACATAAAAAACTTTAAAGGATGAAATTACCTAAAAGGAAAGGGAAATCGAAAAATTATTGCAAGAGAGTAGTGAAAATATTTCAGTATTTAATTAAAAAGTCATCTCCCATTTTAAGGATATATCGAAGGTGATTAATAAGTTTTAAGAATATATATTAATGAAAGAAAAGCTACTTTAAGAATTTTAAGTAACAGTGACATAAAAAAATGAAGAGAGAAAATAAGAGTAATAACATGTTTCAGAAATTCAAGTTAATTCATAAAATTAAATTACCTTCTCTGAAATATTATGTATAAGTAAGACCCCTTAAAATTAAAAGTTTATTGGAACAATTTTTGAAAATTCAGACATTAAAAATAAGACTCATCATGATTTATTTAAACTTTGGTAATAGACACAAGAAAAGCAAAATAAATATTGAAGAGGATTTAAATGATATATCTAAAATTTATTAATCAGTATATTTTTTATTGAATTATATTGTTTAATTTTAAAATATATATTCAAAATACAAACATTTATTACATACAATTATTTATTAAAAATGTCAAATAATATTATTCTTTCTGTTTTTTGCTTTCTAAACTTTGGGTTGAACCAGTTTGATTTCATTACAGACTCAGAATATATTTCTAAGAATATGATTGTATAAACATATGGAAATGAAATAAACACATATTTTCTTTATATTGTTATCATGCAAAGTAATTTTTAATCTTTCTATGTCAATCATTATATTAAGATGACATATATTTTACTTATAAAAATTTAGTTTCAGATGAATAATATTTAATAGTTTATTTTAACTTTTATTTTAGTATAAAAAAAAGAAGCTTGCCAAAATCGTAAGCAACTCTTGAATTAGGAATTGGGATTAATTTACACTGAGAGTTCTTAATAGAAAATAGAGATTATTGTAATTATTTAAGGAGTTTTTTATAAGTTAAGTACTCCATTTAATATTAATTATCATTATATTTATTAGCGCATATCCCTTTTGGAATATTCTTCTTTTAGTAAGTCTTATAATTTATCGATTTCTTCTTTAGAAAAGGATACTTGGGCTTCCTCGGTATCATCCTTCACAAGTTTCCATTCAAATTAGAGCTTCTTATCAAAGTCATTATTTTCACAAACGACTTGATTTTCTATAGAATCTGCAATATATTTCTAATTAACTCGAACCAATTTAAATAAGTGCCAATAGTAGTTCATGTCATTTCCTGTTTGCAATTTCATGTACAATTCTACTTGAAGTAATTAAGGTTGTGATTAGTTAAATGAATACAGCAATTAAATCAATTAAGTGAAGATATCCTAATCAATGTATTGCTAATGTTCAATTAAATTCATTAACAGTTCTAGAATTTCATCGAAAATGTTATCAGCAATGCAATAACCACATTATTCAAATTAGTTCATTATCATTTGATTATCCTTGAAATAATTTTTAATTTCAATTATCTCTTTTTGCATAGTGATTTGATGGGCAACAAATGGTCTTTTCATCTAAAGACTAATCAAAGAACTGTTGCTCGATGAAGTGTGCAATACAACAATTTATTCTTTCATAAATTCATTTACTTATTTAATTAGAAATGCTTCATAGATTCTAATTGCTAATGATAGACTCAATAAGCGATTTTAGAGAAATTAAAAATTTAATTTATAATTCTAGATTTTCTCACATAATGATTTTATTTTATTTATTTCCTCAAACATTAAATCTAAATAAGATAATGCTTATTTTTGCAATTGATACCCAATATATTTTAATTATAAATCCTTAAATACTTCATTTGTACTATCATCTTTATCATTAAAAATCTCTTCATCCTAAATATCTTCACTTACTTTATGATGTGCGACAGGTGTAATTTCACTGACATTTTCTTAAATATCTTATTTAATGCTTTAAATATAATCAGCCTTGACTTCTCCTTGTAACCAACTATGTTCAAAGAAATCTCTAAAGCTGATTCTTCTCTTGAAATCCTATTGTAACATTTGTAATAGCAATTCCTTTAATTTTGGTGTGATAGATGAATCAGGAAATTGCAAGTCTCCTTTATTGATGATTGCAATTAAATCATTGATATTACCTCCTTTAGGTGGGATAAAAGGAGATTTGCCATAAATCATCTGATAAATGATCACCCCAACAGACCATACATCACATTTTTCATTATATTGCTTTCTTTGCAGAATCTCTGGAGCCATAGTCAATGGAGTACCGCAATAAGATGTTAAATATTGATCATCCTCCATATACTTTGCAAATCCAAAATCTGCCAACTTAATCTTTATTATTTTAAAACCAAAAACTTACTTAAAAATTCTTCGATACTAGTATGTTCGCTAATTTTAAATCTCTGTGTACGATTCTCAATTTGTACATCTATTACAATGCTAGTGCCAATTGTTGAACTATCCTTCTTACTTCCTCCTCTGGCAATTTCCCATTTGGAGAATATTTCCTAATTTGATTCAAGGAAACGTGTACCTTATATATGCATCCAAATCCCCATTCTCACAATATTCAAAAACTAGATAGTAATGATTTTATGTCCTCTTGAAATCTATCAATTTAATAATGTTTGGATGGTCTAATTATCTTAAAATTTCGATTTCCTTTTCAATCATTGACATACTCTCATTTCTGACATTTTATTTAGAAATCATTTTTATTGCCACATCTTCTTGTCTTCCATCCATCTTCCCTCGAAATACTCTGGCAAATGACCCTAAAATCTCAAAAAATTGTACCTGAACCAATCTCCCTTATGAGACTGTAGGGTCCAACTTTTTTTAAATAAGATGCTGGTTTCATTAAATTATTAATTATAAATGTATTATTCATTTCAATTCTTAGATTAAGTAATCCCTTTTTGCTTCAGCTCATCCAAAACTCTCTCAAAATAAGTAGGATCTGGATACCCATAATTTTATGGACCACCATTTAAGTTGGTTTTATGATGAATTCCATTCCACACTATACAATTCTCAACTCCTGTTGTCAATGAAGTCCCTACCGTAAATACTAATCTTTAATCAAATGCTTTTCTCAACAAACCTAACACTAACTTACCTTCCTCATTTTCAGGTAAAAAAGCAAACCTTGTTGTTCCTGAGAAAGATCTTCCATTTCTCTATCCTTATTTAAAACTGTATTTAATTTAAAGAGTGTTGCAATTATACCCTTCACATTTTTTTTTTATAGTAACGACTTCCATTATCCCATCAGGTTGATCCCCTTTTGGTAGACCGTTTATTTAATTACATATAGGACATTTAAGAAAGGTTGTTTACAATAAAGGTTATAAACAAACATAATGAAATTGATGAGAACAGCTCAATGATATTACATATTTATCCTATTGGTTGCTCTCAACAAAACATGAGTCATAACAGATAGGGCATAAAGTGATACTACCATCTTCCGACAGCGAAGGTTAGTCCACAATATTCATTTTAAATTTACTCATATCTTGTTTCATTTAATTGTATAGATCTTGTTTCACATTATATTTGAATATTCTTGGTTTCAGTTTATTATTGACACCATCCTATTTCTTAAATTATTATTATTAATCTTCAAAATATTATTATTGCTATTATTTTTATTGTTACTGTTGTTATTAGTATTAAAACTATTACTATTATTAGATTTATTGATCTTCCTATTACTTGGATTGACACTTATATTATTATTATTACTATTGGAATAGTTATTATTATTATTATTATTGGTATTGTAGTTATTATTATTATTATTGGTATTGTTGTTATTATTATTATTACTATTAGGATTAGTATTAGTATTATTATTATTAGTCTTATTACTATTATTATTATTGTTATTACTATTATTAGTCTTATTATTATTATATTTATTATTATTATTGTTAGTGTTATTACTATTAGTATTATTGTTATTATTGTTAATATTACTATTATTATTATGGTTGCTCTTATTGTTATTATTATTGAATTTTACTAATAGAAGAAATGCAAGAATACATTATTTCATTATTATTATCATCAGATTAATTAAGAGAATTAGTATTATGGCTTGGTTGTTAATAGATTTATGATATTTAACCATTTTTTTCTAACTAAGATATCTTAATTTATGAGTTTTTTTATTCTATTAAATCATTTTTCTGTTCCTTGATATGGTGAGGTTATTCTAATTATTAATTATTTTATGTCTAATTCTATTAAAAATTCGATTCTTCTATTTTAGGCTATTCTTTAACTGGGAGTTTTACATTTTATTAGTGTATAATTTCACTATGACAAATTTCTTGAATGTCACTGAATTGTTAATTTTTATTTAAGCCTTTATTTATAATTTCTAGATTATATGAGTATAAAATTTCAAATTCTCTAGTTTAATTAGCTTACTTATTTTATTAGGATACAGTTTGCTATCTCATTTATAAATACTATTTTTCAATAGTTTCTTCGTATTCCAAGATTTGAAGAATATTTTGAACCTTATTACTTATTTCATTAATATGAGATTCAATTTAAGGGTTTTTCCATAGGCTCAAATCACTCAATCTTCTTGATATAATATCTATCTTTTGATTAACTTCACTCAAAATTAGCTTGCCATTTTTCATTTTATGATGTATAAATTTTCGGTATATTTATTATTATATAATGGCTTTTGTATTTTAGGCAGAAAGAAATATGGTTATTAAACCTTCGGGTGCTCCTCCAAATGTAAAATGGATTCAATATAATTAGGTTGGCCCTGGTAGCTACCTTTCTCACGATTAATTAAAAATAAAGTAGGGGAATGCTCCATTCGATACACAAGTTACAAGAAATCAACCAATTAAACAAGACAATTCTCCTGGACCTGGGAGTTATAACATCTCAAATGAGGCGTAAGGGTACAATTACTTAATATTTCTGCCATAGATAAAATATTGTGCTGGAATCATCTCAATCTGATGTGAAAGTGGTTGAGAAACCTCAACCTCAATCTGTGTTTGCATCTCAAACCAAGCGATTCCATCCTCCCAAAACTATGATTTCACCTGGGTATTCAATTATTCTAAATGAAATTAAGTCCTGGGGCATATGATACAACTAACTGTGGAACTAGAGTTATTCAGTAGTAGTATACATCATAACATTACATCGAAACAGTAATGAAATTGAATAAATATCAATCAATTCCTTCTATCCCTTCTTCAAATTAGGTGTATGGATACACAGAAAAAGGAAGTAATATAAATAAATCTAAGAGAGTTTAGTCCATGATTTAGAGGTAAACAAGATTCCATTTCAAACATTTTCTGGTCTTAAATAAGACTCAGTTGGTCCAGGTCAATATGATGTTAAGGATGCATTTGAATATAACAAATATAAAGGAAGTTTTTGGCATAAATCTAAGGCCCCAAGATTAGCACCCACAATCTCAAAAGAAAAGGAACTAATGGTTGGACCTGGAACCTATGATCCAAATGCAATTGTCGTTCCATTACACAAATTAAACCCATCTGGAAATTTTCAATCTAAATCTCAAAGGATGTTTGATTCGACTAAAGAAGAAAAGTAAAAGTAATTCATGAAAATATTCTTTGATAAACAAAAGGATCGCCTTTCAAAGAATCCGACCAATTACTTTGAAGATGACGAATATGTATTTTGTGATGTATTCATTATTATTTATAAACCAAAGGATACAACCCCAGGTCCAGGCCAATACTTGGGTAATGTCTCAAATCAATCAGCCATTTCTACCAATACTTAATCTACAACGAAAATGGGAAAAAACTGTTTCGGTTCTAAAAGCAGGAGATTTTAAGAAAAAAAAATGCCATGTTATGTTGGTCCTGGAGATTATGAGTTGGAAACAGATATAATAAAGGAGGGCGTATCATAAAAGTAACCACCATTTCAATCAACTAATTTACGTTTCGAAGCTAAGGGTTAAGAGAAACGTCCAGGACCATAAACTTATAATCCAAAAATTACTGTACTTTTGATCATAATATAGTTAGTTGGAAGATAAATTGATTAAGAAAATAGAAAGAGCTCCAGTTGGTAATTTTGGATCGAACTAATAAAGATTTAAATAATAAGAAAACGAAATGCCAGGTCCAGGAAGTTATGATTAAAATGGAAAGAAGGTTAAAGGAATTGCATCTGTCTTTACTTCCAAAACTAAAAGAGCAGATGCAGCCTCGGTTCCTAAAGATAATTATCCAGCTCCAGGGGCATATGATGTCAAAAATTACACTATTGAATAAACAACAAAAATTGAGAAGGAAGAGGATCCAGATTTGGCCATCTTTAAACCAGCGTTTGGATCATCATTACCTCGATTCTAGCATAAAGAAAAGAAGGCTATGGATTAGCAAGATGATGAACAAGAAGATGAATAAATTAGAATGCACAATAGTTCATCCTTGTTTTAGAAAAAAAAGAATCCTCACCCTCCTTTTAATATTAGAGTAATATCTCTATATCTAAGATTAGGAAAATAGATTTAATTATGATAAAAAGAAAGAAGATTAATTACTTGGTCCAGGGGAGTACTTTGATCCAAAAGAAAATGCTTGGAACAAATCTACTTTTAATATATTATTCTAAGAAATATGATACAATTTTATAATATTCATTATTAAACCATAATTAAATTCAATTTAGTCTAATTCTTTCTAATGGAAATGAGGATATTATAAGATTAAATCTTATAATTTTATTTTGATTTATGAGCATTTCTAATGTTAAAAATATGATATTCACAAAGAGATTAGTCTAAATATACCTAAACTCTTTGAAAATTATTATGATGCTCTTAATCATAGAAAACAAACCAACCTTTTTTTTCAGAATTAAAAACTTAATTAAATATATTTAAAATTCAACACAATATAAAATAAATTATATTGAGGTAATGTAAAATGATTTGTAAAATCATAACAATTCGTAAATATATCAGATTCTCATATTTTTCTAAAGAATTTCAAATCAGACTTAGTATGCTAATGAAGTATAGATGATAGCTTCAGCGAGTCAGTAATTTTAAATTGTTTAGAAATGGATACAGTGGTTTTACATTTATTGGATGGACTATTTAATATTGTTTGGAATATACCTGTTTACATTGACTAACTAAATTTTTAAAGGAGATAACAATTTAGATAGTGGATTTTCTTTGACTACTCGTTAAGTGAATGATCCAAAGTGATTAAACCCCTTTTAAGTAGGAAGTTATTTAGGGTTGGTTTTTAATGAAGATTAGATATGAGGAGGTTGGTAGTATTGTGAAAGCTGTTTACTCGTTTTAGCAGTGTTTATGCTAGTTGTTTAAGTTTATTATTAAGTAATCATCTTTCTTGATAAGACCTATTTAATGGTTCGTGATGATAATCCAATTGGAAATTTAAGGATTAGAGAATTGGGAACCTAGGATTGTTTTTGCTTCCTTTTGGAGATGTGTTTTAAAAAACTGTCTAGTTGTTCTTGTTCTCTATTTGATTGCATTAATTGTAGATCTTCAACATTTAATTTAATTGAGTTAAGTTTAGTTTTAATTTTATCGATGGTGTTTGAAGTTTCGGTTATATTATTCAAAATATTGCTATATTTTTTACCTGATCTTTAAGTAATACTCAAATCAGATATATCACCAACAATTTTTTTTTGAGGTTGATCAGGATGTATTTTATTTTGATAATCTATCATTCGCTTAATCTTAACATATTCTACTTGCCTTCTCTTGTCATGATAACTAAATAATGATTCCTATACTGTACTTGCTCATAATTTCAGCGATCTTTGGAAGAAAACACCTTGGAATGTCATTGTGAAATTTGTAATAGTGAACCAAGGAAGTGATTTTGTTTACAATTTCATCTACTATATATTTAAGTATTACTTATAGGATAAGTTCTTCTCAATTATTCTGCTTCTTGATTTAAGTTTAAGATGTAATGAAAGTTGATAACTTAAGTTGATCTTGCATTTTCCATGAAGTCATTCAAAGATTTAGAATAGTAGTAATTATCTGCTTAAGAATGATTGCGTAGTAATATTAGTTATGTTAACTTAGTGTTACTCATTTATATATAATTAATACAAAAAAATAAATGGGTAATGTTATTAATATTTACTCCTTTAAGATGATAAACATCATAAATGATTTAGGTTGAATCATAATTATCACTTTTATTCTTAGATTAAATGACACATTAAGAACAACAACATTTTACAAAGAAATAGTTATAAATATTTTCATAAGGACAAAACAGTTATAAACAAGTTATTTACAGTTTTTAAATCTTTATTATTAAGAATAACAACTAAAAATAGCTCCTTATTATGACATAGATTCTATATTTCAATTTTTATATTTATTTAAAATTTTCATATTCTTTTTATTAATCAATCTTAAATATCTCAATGATAATTTAACATTAAAATAGGTTCAAACAGAGAGTAATTAGAAATTCTAAGTTTTAATCTGAATTCATCAACTAAGTATAATCATAGGCTTATCATCATAATAAGATTCTTATTTTTGACATAACATTTATTGAGATTTTTTAATTCAATTGTAATTAAATAGTTGAATAATCTCACCTATTATGTACTTATGATTTCAAGTTTTTCTCCCTATTATTAAATTTCCTTTCAAAATGAATTTCATTATCTAAATTTTTCCATAATTATAAAATTGAATGAATATTATAGAATCTAATTGATTTTCCTCCAAAAATTAATCTTATACTATGCTAAAATATTTACGAATATTAAACAGATTATTGTAAACAAAAGGATAATATTAAATAATAAGATTACAACAGAAATTTTAACTGTTATTATATTATCAAGTCTAATCAAAATGCACTATCCCATTCTGCATCTTTAGCACTTGCCAATACTTTCTTTTATCCCTGTGTATCTTTTTAAATTTAGTCATGAACTGAGATTCCACGTTATAAGACACTTTGAATCTATGCTGGAGTCATAATTTTATCCTTTCCGGGCAATAAGGGAGCCTTTAGTTATTTGACCAATAATTTTTCCTATAAATAGGAGTAATATTTACCCAATCAAAATCTTTGAACCAAGCATGAGATTTCAAAGTATTGTAAGAACCTCCCAACCTAACTTCAGGGATCTTATTCATCAATTACTCTATGAAGGTTTTTGCAGATTTATCAGACATAAAATGAGGATAGCTGATTGGCTTTTTAATGATTTCCTTGTAGATTTCAAATGGATCTTCTGCTTCTTCTCCAAAAGGCAAACCACCACATATAAATTCATAAAGGCAGACTCCCACACTCCATAAATCTGCAAAGTAACCATAACCTTTTCCTGAGATGACTTCTGGTGCCATATAATGAGGTGTTCCTATGATTGTGAAAGTCTTTGTAGATTCTAAAATAGTTGTGAGCATTATTGTTTACATTGATTCTTAAATGACTTAGCTGTACCCATGTCAATTAACTTCAGGAATCCCTTATCATCAACCATAATGTTTTCTGGTTTAATGTCTCTATAAACAATGCTGTGTTATGTATGCAAGTATTCCATTTGCAACAACATTTGTGCAGCGTAGAATTGTGCATCATATTTGCTCAATAATCCTAATAAATAATAATTTTAGTAACATTACCAATAACTCTGATGGCATCGAACAATTCCATTCCTGGAATATACTCAGTCAAGAAATAAATATTTTCGTTGTCTTTATAAGACCTGTAAAACTTAAGAATGAATGGGTGATCCATCAATTCTAGAACAGCCTTCTCTTATTAAATGTGTTTTTGGATTCCAAATTATTATACATGTGCTCTTGTAACATATTTGAGAGCAAACAAAGTCTCCAAGTCTTTAAATTTGCATAAATAAACAGAACCAAATTAACCAGAACCTAATTTATTTAGATATATCAAATTCTTGAATGGTTGACTTTTGATCTATTCTTCAAATGCATTTGCTTTTTCAGATTACTAAGCTTTGCCTTACTGAATCTTCTCAACACTGCCTTGAGCATTTCTGAATGATTCATAATCTATAATGGCAACATGTCCTTCCACTTCAACTGTGTATGTTTTCACATGAGAAGTGCATTAGAGTTTATCCTGTAATGTGTCTTCGACTAGGATTGATCCCTTGAGAGCCTTGGCTTTGTTCTCATCTACTGCATCAACATCAAGAAGGATGACAAGTTGTCCAACTTTGTCTCCCTTCGTAATTACTTTAGAATTAGCAGCGAATTTCTTAATTTACACTCCCTCTAGCAACTTATCTTGATATGTAGATTGAGTCTTGCTGAATAACTTAGATGAATTCAAAGCCCATTTGCATATATTTTTGTATATGATAGATTGTACTTAATCACCTAAGATCTATTAGATCATATCTTTTCCTAAAGCCAACACTTTTGTGTCTTTTTGGACTGCTTTAATGGTCATCATTCTCACCTAATTCTCATGCTTGAGTGCTGACTCCCCAAAAGAATCACTAGGATTCAAGACTGCAATTTATTAGCCATCCTTATTAAAAACACCGCATTAGCCTTCCACGATGATGTAAAAAGAACTTGCCTAATCACCTTCATTTACTATGACTTCTCCTTAATTAAATTTTTGGGATATAAGTACACCTGCTACAGCATCCTTCTACTCTCTTGTTAATTAATCTATTTATGTATTTGATATAATTACTAAAAAATTTAACACTCTCTAAATATTTTCGATTTTTCTCTTACTCACTTCTCATAATTGTCTCTACACTCTTCCTAAAGGTATGTCTGTCGATTCCCCATAGAAAGCATTCTTCCACAGCCATACATGTAGCAGAACGAGGAGCATTATATAACAATGCCAACTCACCAAACCCAAATCCGGATGTTAATTCTTTACGTGGTACATTATCCACCAAGACATTTATTTTTCCCTTTTCGAGAATGAAGAATGAGCTTGCTCCATCACCTTATTTGATGATGCTTTCTCCTACTTGCAATTTGCAATAGAACATACTGTGTGCCAATTGTGTTCTAGGGTTAACATAATATATTACAATTATGTGTCAGTCATTGAGCTAAATACAAAATGGCTTTAAAAGCATTTAATGATGAATTTGATATCGTCAAGACTTTAGGTTTTTTGTTCTGGATGAAAGGTTTCAAATATCTGAGCTACTCCACTCTCCTGAGTGGGTCTGATTCCAATATTACGTTTGGACACTCTTCGAATCAAAGAAGCTGGTGGTTATCCCTAGAGTTGTTGTTACTAAACACTTTTGTCAATTCCGAATTCTTAAACCGAAGACTTTTATATCCAGTGGTTTTGATCCATAAATTTAATATAAAAAAGTAAATGCTAATATCTATTTATGAACTAGATATTTGTATGACTTTAATAATCTCAGTTAATTTCTGAATCATATTTCAACCAATTATATCCTTTTTTTTATATTCCAGTTACCATTTACTGTTTTCGCTCAGAATCAGACGTTATTGTAATAGAAATTCCAAATATATTGATACTATTATAACATCAAATGTTAAATAAATTATTAAATCAAACTACCCATTTCCTCTATTTCCCTTAAGTTTTATTGGCATCTGGAGCCACAGAATTAAATTTCAGACTCGATCTAACTACAGTTGATTCAGCCTTGCGTTTCAAGGCCTTCTTTAAATTGTCTAAAGTGCTCTTTATTTTTGCAACCATTTTTAAAGGTGGAACGAATTTTAGTTTAGCATTCCTCCTCAATTTCAAGAAATTTAATACATATTAAAATGGATAGAGCATGAATTTCCTCATCCTATCCAAAATGTTTGTTTGCCATCCGAAAATATCCTCCTTCATTAATAAAATGACATCCTCAGCATTTTGCTTGTTGAAGTAATAATCAAATTAAGACTTTGTTTCAAAATCATCAAATTTTTATTAGTTGAACTACCAATAAAGTGGTTCAAATTGTTGCAAGGCTTTTTTAGCTATAACATCATTCTCATTCAATTCTAGAAGTGTTTGCAATTGATGGTATAAATTAGTTATGTTATCGGTCATATTATCATTGAAATCTTGAGTAGCCTAAGCTCTCTTCTCTACCAATTTCTGATAATCAATCTCCTCCTACTTCTCTGTTGATTCCTCACTTCCACTACTACTCTCGGAACTGTCACTCTCTTTAATCTCGTCAACCAAGGGAATCTCTATTTTATTTTTAGGTGTGTTGTTCCTCCCAAAACCCAAAGAGATACCTGCAGTTAAAATAGATTGTTTCCTATTCTAGAGAGCTAAGTTTAAGTTTTAACGAGAGTCTGCCTTACTCTAAAATTGAGGATCCTAAACGATTCTACTTTTTCTTGTTTGTTTAATGTGTTGTGCTTAAAAAATAGGGGAATTTTGTGGAATCTTAATTCCAGGGGAAGCAGCATCATCAACTGATGAATTTGTATCAGATCCATATTCAAAATTCAATTGGATTTTAGATTACATAGCAATTGCCTATTAATTTTCATTTTGAAACACAGATGCATACTGACTTGCTAAATCTTTATCGGCCCAAGTGACCCAATCTGAAATTATCTTATTTTATCGAGGATACTTTTTATTTTACCTTTAATTCTCAGTCATACAATATTTCTTTATTACTGCTTCTCTATTCGGGACATATTGAACCTAAGGACATCTATTCAGTGGATGTTTAAAATTCTAGCAAGCTGGACAAAATACTCCATTTTCCAATGTTGGTGGAGCATAACTTAAGGTTATGTTATCTTTCAATTAACAATATTTCTAAAAGTCTTCAGGGAAGTCCTTTAATGTTTCAATGAAATCTGATTTGGATAGTACCAATAAACTTGCATATCCTATGGCTTTAAAGAGATCAACTTATGGATTATTGGTTATGAAATTATTCACACAAAAAAATTGACCTTGATTGATGACGGCATTCATCTTAGATCTTTGTTTTCTCTCTGGATGTTGATAGACGATGAAACCTTATTCAACAAAACACAGATGTTATTAATTCCCAAACTCCGTTGAAAATGTATTCTAAGGAGGAATAATCTTTCGCTTGATGGATTTGAAGAGAGCATTTCTCAACTCCTCACTAAAATATTTCTATAGAAATTCCGACTTCTCAATGTACACCTTATGAGCCTACTTATCTAGTTCTTCTTTCAATTCATCTGACAATTGCTCTAATAAGGTCTATTCAATTTCAAGATCAACTTCATCGTCTTCTTTCCATCTAAAGGTTAAGTATTCTTTAACCCTAAATTAGAATTTATCCATATTTATACTGATGTTATAGACTATAGGGTATCTTTCTCTAATTCATGTATTTATTTATGACTCTCATCCTTCGATTCCTTTCAACTTGATTCTATGTAATATCGTCAATAATGCTGCCTATGAAATTTACACTGTAAGACACCCACAAGCCTAAACAGATATTTAAATGATTACATGCTCCTAACACAAACACCATAGTGACTATCTTCTCAATTGCATTCTTTGGTACCATGTCACCGTAACCGATTGTTAACATCGTCACAACTGCAAAGTAAAGTGCTTCCAGATACTGTTCTTCCCAATTCTTATCCTCCAGATCATTAAATCTAATCCACGAATCTTCAATGCTGATACTACTGAAGTAGAACCAGATGCAACTGAACAAATGCAGAATGTACAGAAGGGTTAAGATGAATTTCAGCAATCCAAAAATACCTCTTTGTGGTCTTGTTAAATACGAAATTTGATCGCTATTGGCAAATGTCTCATACACGTATTTATGTTAGGCTAAGATTAAAAGCAAAAACAGGTTGGCTTTGGTTTTCATGTCGGGAATGATCATAAATATTATCAAGATTAAAGAAGTCGAAAAGTCAGCAAGAAACTCCTTTTTTAATTGATGTATAACCAACTCCCATTTATCTTTGATTGCTATCCCATTTCTGTAAGTGAGAGTGTTGATTCTTATGAGAAAGTCCAATTGCAGTATCATTAGAATGACATAGGTGATTGAAATGAGATTATTAAAGAGAATTTCAGGTTTGAAGGCGATCTCAAGAGGAACCAAGATGAGAAGGATGATCCTAAAAATGGATGTAAAGAAGTCCCAGTACATTTTGAATAAGGATTCCGGTTAAATTATGGGGATTTTATGGATTATTGTATTGATGCAATGAACTATTGGTTTTCTAAGTCTTTTCAAATCCTCCTTCACTTACTCTAGAGTAGTGCTGTCCCTTACCTCTGCATCTCTTTCGAATAGAGTTTTCATTCTCTTCAGATTAATTCCAGATTAACTTACTCGCTTCGAATAAGTAAATAAATTTTGCCTAAGAGAATAAAGGATTTTTCATACGCATCTGATGCCTTGTCCCCAATTAGATTAAAATGAGCCTCATTCAAAGAGCCCAATCGTTTGCGATTGAGTGACAACTTCTCTACAAACCTCCCAATGTAAAAAAAAGACATAAAACTTGTTTATGCATTCGTCTAACTTTTTCTTTTGCTTGAATCTCTCCTTTATAAAACAGCTAATTTAGGGGTTTGAACATTCGAAGCCAGAATGTTCTCGTCTGAATTCGAGTGAATAGAATTCGGACTATGCAAATATTTGGCTTCTAAACCTTTGGCACTCAATGTTGTACTAACAAGGTGAGGTAATAACTGATATTCCTTCCTTGAATCCCTCAGACATTGGCTCAAATATTATTGTTCAAAGTCTTCATTTTACACTGCCTTTCAATTCCACATCTTATTCTAAATCAAAGCCATTCTAAAGATTAAACATTTAAATAAATAATTCAGTTTCGAAAAAACAAACATTATTAAATTTACTAATATAATAATCATTCCAATTCTTTATATTTTAATACTCTTTCAAAATATCAAATCCAATCTAATCGAATCTAATCAAATACAAAAATCCATTTTACCTTTATAATTTAAATATATCCAAATCAACTCAAACCAAATTCAATTAAACTAATAATAAACAGTTTTAATATAATAAACAAAATACTATAAATAGTACTGAATGTATTATATTCAACAAGGAAGTGAGATCCAAAATTAAGATACATAAACATTTCACCAGTCGTACCTGACAACAGATCTCCAGTGTATAATAATATTCACTGTAATGGTGCTTGTATTGTCTAATGATAATTTTCAATATATATTAATTAATAATATATATATTATCCGTTAAATTAATGAATTCTCCAAGAGCAGAGACCCTTGATCAAGAACTCAGTGAAGCTATTAATAAAATATACAATGGTTGCTAGAAAATCAATGCAAAACATCTGAAGATTAGAATATTGTAATGGCTGGATAAAGTGAGAACTCCAACTCATAATTTTATTTGGAAATAGAATTCTTTGTTATATGCGCGTGTTCTTCTGGAAATGACTCTGGAACAACAATTAGATAAGCCATTTCGAGGTGTCCCTCCAGACGGTCCATTGCCTCGATTGGATAAATTTGATGTCGTAATATGATCAATCTTATTCCAAAAGCCTCAACATATATGGTAGAAAATCAAATAAATAAATATCCAACAACCCATGTCCCCTAGAAAACCTTTAGGCATGCTCTCCAATAGAAATTTCACTCCCAAATTAAAAACCGAACCCATTCAATACAAATCAAATAAATTTCATAATAGCTAAAAGTCCCAAAAGTGGGATTAGATCAAAGAAACCTTGGAGGGTGCAAATAGGAATATGCGAGAGTTCAAGCAATTCCTAGAAAACATCCAAACTGAAAAACTATTTGTGTGATTATTATCAATAATGACTAATTATATAAACAGAAGCATATTGTGACATTTCGAATGTGTCTATGGGAATATGCGATTTGATTATAAAATATATTATATATTTTTAACAACTTTTTCAAAGTGAATAATGCCTCCATTTACACCAGATGCGCGTAATTTGGGAGGTAGGAACATGATATCTTAATAAATTTGGAATCACTTACAATAGTTAAAGGAAATATCATAACAAATACCACAGATTTTAGTATCACCACGGAAACTTCCGAATTCGCCTAAGCAAAGTATCGAAACTATAAATTACAAGAGAGTCAATAGAAAATAAGATTACTTACTCTATCCAACTTACTTGTTTAGACGTAAAACTGTGTCTGAAAGTTTCACTTCATTGAGTCCCAAAAACATTCGAGATGAAACACAATTACTGTTCTAAGAACCTCTTCTAAGAAGACAGAAAAACCTGAAATCTCCTCAAAAGATCTTTCCATTCAGCACCATCTAGTTGGGGGCTCTGCAGAAAATCAAGGCGAATGAAATTAAAATGAATAAGAAGAATGACGACATGTGAGTTTAATGTGTCTATAAATTATAGTCCATGGTGCGAGGTAGAGATGGCAGTCAAAGAATTCAGCAGCAAATATGAGGAGTTGTTGAATGACATCTAACAGGTAATCTCGGAATTCGGAATCTACAGTGCTTCTGATTATCAAGTCCTGATCCACATGATTTTGAGACTCAAACCCCAGATACCCAAGATGGACTTACTAAATATTTTTAATGAATCGATTATTAAGCAATAATTATAACTGTCTTGAAAAATTTAATTAATGGGAACATGTCAATATAATAATTGCAAGTCCTACATAGACATCAGCACTCTCAACACCACCGTCAACATCATCGATCAATTAAACAACGACTTCATGGTTGTGCATGAAGATTATGAGCATCCCCTATATGGATAAGTCAATATACTAGAATATAAGGAGCCCAAATAATATGATTTTAAATTAGTACATAAACTTATAACCTTTGCAGAAGAAGAGGACTTCCAATAGGCACTCTAGTATTACTAAGCTAAATTTTACGGGTTCAATCATCCGAATCTCCTCATCATCCACGGTATCAACATTTGCCATTATTTTAAGCAATGCAGTATAAGCAAATCGATTAGTTTTTCACCACCGAATACAAATTATCACTCTTCCTAGACTATTACGAAACTACCCTAGCTCAAGAATTGATCTACAGAAAAAAAATCTACTTTGAAGAAACAGAAATCTTGTTTTTTCTAGACTCTCTCATAGGATCATAAGCGTTTCTCCAATCCAAAGGCTACGCATTGCCCTCTCTGAAATTTGACAAAGTCTATCTCTCCAACCTTCTAAATGGAGCAATCGGACTCAAAGTTCAAAGTCCCCTCTTCCACAACTAGGAGGATGCTCAATTCAATCAATTATTCCACAAAATCATAAATGGAGAAGAAGTGCACTTGCATGAATACCCTTTCATTACGCCTGAACAATGGTTGATGATCCAAAACAAGCAACTAGAACCCTACAATGAATTCAAAAGCAATGTCTTTATCTTAGGTTTAGTAATACAATTAATTTTATACCTTAGATGACACTCGAACTCTGCTCAGCCAAACAAAGCATCACACTCTATTCAGATTACATGATTGATCCAAACACCTTAACTGAGCAAATCAATAAGGTAAGTGATAGATATGGGGAAGCCCTGCCCCTGATCTTGGAAGCAATGCTCCATTATGATCCAAAAGACCGACGAGACTTTCTGTAATTAAATGAACTACTAGATGCATCCCAACTAAAAGGCAAGAGGTTGGCCTAAATCTGGACATCCGATGACTACCAATATAGTTTGACTGAGAAGAAGGTACATCTTATCATATTATGGGATAAAGGTGCACTTTTCAACCAAACAACATTCATTGATACATCCAGAAGTCTAATCTTAGTTGTCCAATTAATCTCTCTTACAAAAAGGATCGCATCTATCCATTCGTCAAGTCATATCCAAAAACTCTAAGGAGTCGAAGGCATCTAGTGTATTTATGATCAGTTTTATTATGTTTAGTCCTTCATTCAGAAGAAGGAATCCTACTCACCCCAAATTTAAAAAAAGAATTTGTTCAAGAAATTCGAGACCGAGTAGGCCTCGAAAGGGGGAAGCAAAAAGCTAATTACCCAAGATGGCTTTGGAGTGGAAACAACTCCTAATGGACTTACGTATGAGGGTTTATTTGTTGCCGGCAAGAAACAAGGCATGGGTAAATTAATTAGTGACGATAATGAAATAATCTATGAAGGATATTTCCATGAGAATTAGTAAATTTAATATAAATTATCAGAAAAGATTTCATCGTACTGGAATTTTAAAAAACTAAAATGCTCAAGGTTTTTAGGAGGCTTTTAATTATAAGGACTTCAATCAACTAGGCGAGAAATGGGCACGGTATGACGGTGATTTCAACCTTGGTTAATAAGAGGGATATGGATAATTAGTTTTAGCAAATGCAGAGAGATACACAGGTTTGTTTAAGAGTGGGAAGGTACATGGGGCAGGAGTGTTTTAAACTCTGGATGGCAAACAAATCAAGGGAGTATGGGTTAATAACGTGTTATAAGAATCATGAGTAAATTTCGAAAATAATTATAATAACAAAAATAAAAGTAGTTTATTTTGTTCAGGTGTTTGGATTAAACATTTTTGCATACACATTTTGTTCTTTTTGTTGCATAGCACCTCTACGATGAGGAGTCTTTACTTGAACCTATGTACTATTTTGAGATTGGAAATCAATCAATTTAGATAGTTTAAATATCAATTGCAATTCAGGACCTAATTTTTCAATCAATTATTTGCTGACATTATTTTTCTTATTCTGCACCTCATCCTCACTCTATCGAAGAACATCATCATACGACTTGTCAATATAAATTAAACAAATTACATTATATATTTTGGCATACAATAGATAATTGTCCTAATTGGCACTCCCTCTCTTAAGTTTGAATATGTCTCCACCTCCAGTTTCCTCATCTTGATCCTTCTCCTTCAATTTCAGAGTCAGAATATCTCGAGTTGGTTAGGTCGTCCTGTCATCTAGTGTGATTTGGGGTTTCGGAGTAAAACCAAACATCAATTATTGATGATAAGATAACACTACTTCTTTCAATTTAATCATCTCATTCATGTTTTAAACAATGTTATAAATGTCTATTTATTCAGCTGCTTACTGCATGCCTTTATTAATCAATCTTATTTTGGGCTATTTTGAAAATAATCTGTTACAAGTGATCACATTCACCAAGATTTTAAATGATAAATAGATAGGCTTAGCTCTACTTATTATCGATTTAATTTGTTTCTCAAAATATTCCAGACCAGATTTGCAATTCAATTATATTGCTAACATCTATTGATCTTAAATAATCCGAAAACTCTCCTTTTTTTGTTGGGTTTATAGATTATTTTGTTTAAACACAGTTAAGTATTAGACAACAGCCTTGAATCTTTTGACTCCGGTTAATTTCTTTATAACTTGATTGTTCTCCTTTTGATGTATCAGTGTTTGATGAACTGTTTGAGGTTTATCCTCCTCATCTGAATTATTGACTGATGAACCAGGTTCCTTTTACTATCTTTGTTATTGCTATAAGGCTAAATTTATCAATTCCAATTTCTCTTATTATTATCTCAATTTTTCAGTGTTGTCTAATGAAAATTCATAGACTCTATTAGCCAATTCGATCATCACTTAAATATAGAGGGTTATCGATTACTTTATAATTTATTGTATAGAGTTACGACAATTCCAACGAAGAAGAATAGGATTTATTGGATTCCTCCCAAATTGGATAGCATTTCATCAAATTTCATATAATTTCTTGTGATTGTGGTCTTGAAGGGACTTCGTTTGAAATTGATCTAAACGTATTAATCAGATGCTTGATTTCCGAGTTCAGACACAACCTTAGTTTCTAATTATTCAATTGCAAATGTGTCAGTTACATAGGTTTCACTTAAATCTTAACTTTCAAAATTACCTCAACGGTATCAAACTGTTATCCTAAACTATGTGGTAATGTTTTAGGTAGACATCTATTGTTCTTCCGATTTTATTGGGAATGAAAGTGTATTGCAATGAGTCATCCAAATAGAGCTACTTATAGTTGTCATCCGATTTATATGGGTTGATAATAGAGTTGATGTTATAGATTTGAAATTTAAAGCTTCCATGTAATGCCAGAAATTCATCCAGTTGTTTCTGGTTGGCACACTCGTACCCCCTATTCAAAGCTTCTTGGGCATTGCATTTGCTTATAATAATTTATATATACGAAAAGTCCTCACCTAGATGTTTATAACTAAATTTTACTTATGTGCGTACCTCCCAACTTGAAATTTGCTTCCTCCCTAATATAATCATTTCATTTACACTGGACAGAGATAATCTGATAAAGAGGACGAGTTGAAGTACAGTTAGGAAAAGTCACTCCCTTCTCTCTAAAAGTACTTTTCGAATCGGTCTTATGTACATTCCACTAGAGGGATTTCTTTAGACAAAGACTCCTGAGAACCATTCTGATACCTATAATTTTATCTAAAAATTAGGAGAACTTTGTTATACTTCTAGACTAGAGAGATGTTGAAAAAGGGATTGTGAATAAAGTCCTCCTGTTATATTGCAATAGCAAATAGCAATTGTTTATCTGTTATTGTAGTATCCGAGATTTTGGGGTCATACTCAGTGATGGATACAGCATTCAATTGTTCCTTATTGAGAAGCGAATTAAAGTTAGCTGAAAACTGCCATATCATCACTCCAATCACAATAATGGACATCAAACCTCCCAAACCTGTTCTATAAGTGGATTGCTAGTTCATTCTCAATGTGATTTGGTAACCAAATATGTCAACTCTCCTTAATTCTAAATAATTTAATTATCATACCATTAAGAAATTTTTCCATCTATAATTAATATTAATTAGATTATTAAATTAAAGCTCATACTAAAACAAAGGAAATTAACGCATTAATCTAGAGAGTCATAATGCATTAATTAATAATATCTACATTTAATAAATAAAAATATAAATTAAATATTAACAACGAGATCTTCAACTGTGTCCCACTCTCTCCTAATAGCACTTGGGTCACTAGACAACATTATTATTTTGAAAGAGATCTTTCTATTTAGTACTTAGATTTTGGCACTGCCAAATAATTAAACTTAAATTAATACTTCCATTAAACAATATAAATGTCTTTTCAAAATTTATCGCATTTTATATTATAAAATAAATTCAAATAATATCTTATCATTCAGATGATAATCAATCCATCATATACACCTCAACTTTTTGCCGTTGGTCTGCAAACTATTAAATACTTCCAACTCATTCATTATTCTCAGATGATCACTAAAGTACTTCGCGTCTTGCTGAATCTGTTGTTTTATTGTCTAAAATTTATTACTGCGAACCATGAAATTGATCTCATCCACCAATTGATTTCTATGCAATGAGATAAGTTTCAGATCCTATAACAAAATGTCTTCCCATAAAACTGTTGCTGCCGGTTTCACATAATCGTAATGAATAGTGGGCAGATAAGTGAACGTCACCTTGTTTTCATTTTCTATTAATTTTATGTTAAATTGGTATCTCTTTGACAAGTGCTCTCTTATCTGAGGACAATAGAAGAACTATCCTTACAGAGTAGTGCTCTTCATAAATTACTGCAATTTCCCATCTTCATAATAGATGAATTCAAATATATACGGAAATGGCTGCTCCTAAGCCAAAATATCAATCAGAAATATCTTAACTAGTGAAGGCTTTGCTAAAAAGGAGTATTGGGACTTATCATACGAAGTCTACTAAAACTAAAAGTGTTTCTCCTTCTTCAATAAAAAGTCGAATTTCACTAGGGGGATTACTGCTTTAGTGAAGTCTTCATTCTGCAGTTTGATTTCCAAATGTCTTATACAACAGGCTATTATGATGTCCTTTTACTATTTTTAGAACTGCAGATTCTAAACCTTATCTATGTCCCCATCATATTTATTTACATACTCTTGATACAATTCATAGATTTCTTATTTATTTTATATGAACCTTAAATCATTGAATATAATCCTGATCTTGTTCTTGTAAACTTGAAAATTATTGGCTAGGAATTTCAATTGAGATTCTATGAAGTAATCTTCCTTTGTATCTGAAAAGAGTCTTTCTTTCTTGTCACTCATGAATTAATCATATTGTTCCTAAAGGTATTGAGGTATATTGGATTGCATTTCAAAAGGGATAATCTGATTTTACTCGCACCACTACTTTACAGCTGGAATTCGATAAACGAATCTTAAGAATGTAATCTTCTATCTTAATCTAATGACATTGCTGTGATCCTTATCTTACTTCAATTTATCCAATCTACCTGTTATTTTTGTATGATACAACATCTCTGATAGTTCAATTTGTTTCACCCAACAATATGAGAGCAGGATCCTTTATAGATAATACAATCCATTTGCCTTATTCGCAGATAGTTTGATGTTTTCAAGGCCATTACAAAACTCTTGCAATTTCTATAAGATTTTAGTTGACTGTTAAGTGAATTTGTCATTCTTCTCAAATTTCTCTCCTTACTTATCCAGCAATTTTATTAGTTGAGTCTTCTTCAATCTAAAAAATATTTCATTTAATTCGTTCTTTAACTCCTGTCTCTGTTGCCAAATGATTGTCAATAATTACTGGAGAATCTCCTTCAGTTTACATTCTTAAGGCAACTCCTTATTCCATTGAGACTCTTTGATATCATTCAACATGAGGTACCAATTGACACCATCCAATAAAGCATCCTCAACCATCAAAGTCAGTTTGTATTGCTTATCCCTTACATTTTAACTCTTTATGAAGTTTATAATAAATGGAATCCCTTTGGAGATTCTTATTATGCAGAGCAATTTCTTCTTTACTTCTATTAGTATTTCTCTATTCTTTTCAACCTCCTCGTCCTCCTTAACCTTGTAATATCTGATCCTCTCCTACAATTAAGAACGAGGTTCTGTCTTTTTCTTTATTTTCAAACAAATTCTCTGTGCTTTGCTATAAAAAGAATTTATTAACTCTTTGGTCTCCTGAAATTCAGAGGACACTTGCAAGATTTCGTTTGATTATTCACAGTATTTCTTCAGATCATCAAAGATTTAAGTAGTGAACAACTCAGTATTCGTAATGGCTAATTTCTGATTCTGAAACCAAGTTTAAATTTATTGCAAATTGGATACTCTGTCATTGATTGGCAATTCATGAAACGATGTGGATTCGTCTTCATCCATGGTTTCTATTAATAAAATTGAAAATCATTACATACCTAATTTTTACATTTATCATCCCAATGAATACAATGATTATTATAATTAAACTTATAAGTAATTATATTTAATAATGATAATAATAGATTAAATAAAATAAATACATGGAATATTATGATTACTATTATTAATCCACTAATCAAATTCTTATATTTTTAAATGATAACAACAGTATTAAATTTATAAATGATATTGTAAAATAATAATCATTAAATTACTTACCACTCATCTTGTTCATGTTTAATAATATCTTCACAAGTAATGATTTCAGTCTAACCATCCTTAATCGATTCAGGTGATTGAAGGAATTAATCAATCAGATTAGCCAAGTCTATTTAGTATAATCAATCACATATTACTTTGTTTCTTCTCCTTCTCTTATTCTTCGTTTACTGTCAATAACACTTCACTTATAGCTGTGTTTAAGGTCTCATTGAAATTAATCAAAAAGCTTTGTTATTTCTTAGAATACTTCTGCACACCCTCTCAATTATTGTACTTAATCACATTTCTCTAAATATGTAGACACCTTTCCCAAAGCCAAAGAGCCAATTACTCCACCAAACTAATCATTATATTAATATCAATACCAGCCACTTTAATGACACGTTAGGTATTATGACATTCCATGGCAATGCAGACTTTCCAACTAAGGCATGATAGATTACCAAGGCTGCTCCATATGACAAATTAGATTCGGATAACCCATTTGAATATAAGTACTTACCAAATTTCTCAGCTCCCTAGGCTAACAATCTTATTAAAATATGTTTTGAATAAGTCTAATTTTCAATTCAGTGTATACCTTAAAATCAAAATCATCAGCTGGTGAGAGAATTCCCTTAATTTCAGCTGTCAATTGAGCCTCTTTGACCTTTCCTGATGGAACCCAAAGGTCATATAATTAAACTCTTGTAATATTGTCGACTACTATTTCAATTTATAGATTCCACTAAGCTATAGAACTTGCCAAATCATTTAAGGCTCCCAAAGTGGAGTTATCCAATTTCAATTTCTCAACGTCCAAATCTTAAGGGATTCCATAATGTCTAACCAATATCAAATTCTAATATGGTTTTATGATCTGCTCTGAAAATAAACTCAATATTTCAATATCGACCAATTAGATGAATTTATAGATTGCCATCTTCCTCTAATTTAAATCAGTTACTTTTGCTGCCTAAAATTTTTAAATCACATTATACAAAGTAATTTTAAAAAGCTTGCTTTCTCAAAGGCTAAAAAAAGGATGACAGGAAGGGAGGCGATTGAAGACTGAGATCAACAGTATTTGTTTTACTTGTTATGAATTATCGAATTTCCTCTAAATCATTAAATTGAGGGTATAAACTAGAGAATTAACTTTGCATAATTTTAAAAAATATTATTTTCATAAATATTATAATTTTTACTATTTAAAGTCATTCTTATAATACTATTAGCTCCTTCATCTCTGTCCCCTTAAGTGTCGTCCCTTTCTCTCATAATTGGAATATAATTTTTATAATTCCTCTTCCACCTCCTGCTTTTTAGAAATCCTTTCCACTTTAGCATTCTACACTTCCTCTTCTACTTGACTTTCCTTGTCTTAATTATTGGTGTGCAACAATATATTATAAACTATATCCTCCTTGTTTGTTGCCCAATCCAAATAAATTCTCTCGAAATCATAAGAGTTTAATTTATCAGATTTTTAATTATTAATGTTCTTAAGTCTCTCCCTCTTTAACTTCAATTCTTTCTTAATTCTATCAATCACTTCCTACTTTCTCTTATCCATATCCTTCTCATAATCACTAATTGCAGCAGAATTACTTGCTTAATCCTTGCATTCTCTTTCAAATTCTTTCTTATTTTGAACTTCCTTTTAGACTTCAGTGTTAGCTTTTTAAGACTCTTGATAAGTATGCACATCCTCAGCTTCATATTCCTCATCTTCATCTTCTGTTTCTTCCCAATCTCTATTGAACACCCTATTTGCATATCTCAATTCTTCCATATTCTCTATAATTTTTTAAGTGATTTAACTATCATAATCTATTACATCCCTTTCCCTTTAATTTTTGAAATCAAATTCATTTATTAAATCATTTATCATTTTGTTAAATTCATCTTCCTTACTCCTTTGATATTAATCTCGAATCTAAGTATTCTTAACCTAATCCAGATTATCCTCTTCAAATCTTCTTTATTATTTATTAGAATCTATTTTCAAAGAGTATTCCTTATTATCCTCAATGCGTTTCCAAATTCTTTAACCTTTATCGGGTTAAGCCTAAATTTAATTTTGAGTCTTCTTATCAAATTGTACATTCTCCATGCCATCCTAAAGATCTTCCAAATTTTCAATGACTTCTGCCTCTGATTCAGCTGCAATCCTCAAAAAGTCATCATCAGTCAATCCCACTTAATCATTGATACTCTCATTTGTTATCATATTATCCAAACTAACGCTAACCTCCTTTTTAATTACTGAATTCTTCTTTATATCAACAACTTCCTTAAACTCATTAGATTTATCTATTTAAAATTATCCAACCTCATTATCTAAATCTAATGATTATTTAGAATCATCTTAAACTTAATTATCCTCAGAATCGATACTCTATTAAACTTGATTATCCTCAGAATCCTGACTCGATAATTCTTAATCATTATTATTATCTATTGAAATATTAATCTCATTCTCTTTAGAGGATTCTCCTTCATATTATTACTCAGTTTAACTTTCAATTTGATTATCATCTACTAGTTGGTCTTCATCTTGATTCTCCTTTTAAATAATCAGTTATTCAGGATTATTTACTACAAGAATTTATCCTTCTTATTCATTTGTTGATTCAATTGCTGAATTTAAGTCATCTTACTATTAGGTCTATTCCCCCAATTCATTCTCTAAATCATCCAAAAAATAGTCATCCTCCAAATTATTAGCAATAATTGGATCATTATTTGTTGATATTGTTATGTATTATAATGAATCATTACTGCTCTCCTCTTCTAAATGTTCACCTTCACCATTGCCATTAGAACTTTAAGTTGTATCTAAACTCAATTAATCAAGTTCTCTAGCTAATTCATCTAATTCAGACTAGAAATCTTCAAATGATCCTCCATCAATATCTAAATTCTAGGTAGCTATTACATCAACCGTATCCTAATTCAATTCCTAATTAACTTCGATTATAGTATCCTATTAAGTAATTTCACTTATTTCTTATTAAGGTTAGGTATCTTATATTTCATTTTCTGGATCATTTACTATGGTATTTTCTGAATCCTCAACTATTATAGGTATTAAATCTGAATTATCATCTGCAAATATACTAAGATCCACAACATCAACTTCAGGTTAAACTTTAATTAACTCTCCAATCAATTTCTAATCTGCTTCATTAGAATTAATACTTTGATCTTTCAATGGTTATTCATTTCTCTTTGAATTCTATTGTTTCTTATTGTTAGATAAAACATTAGTAGATTATTTTTGACTTTTTTCATTTGTTTTTTTAGCTGTTTTTCCATCGTTTTTTTAGTCAATAGTTGATTTATTTAATTCTTAACGTTTATTTTCCTATTATGAATGGATTGTATCAAGTTCTTCCCCTTCACATTACTCAATTTAATCCTAATCTTAATCATTCTCTGAAATTAATTCATCCTCTAGACTCTCTGATTTTATAGAATCATTATTATCTAATATTCCAAACACTTTAGGAGTCGCTTTAATTTCTTCGTCTATTTTAATGATAATAACATCCTCATTTTGTGATTTAGTCTCTTCTCTTTGGGATACAGGTTCTTCTTGAATAGATTCTATCTTTATATCTTAAATGGTTATTTCATTCTCATCATTATTTTCAATCACTTAATTTTCTTATGTAATTTTTGTCGGCATCTTATCATTTTATATTGGTTTAAGCTCTTCTTATTTTACAGAATTCTCCCCTTTCAAATTATTTTCTTATGCAATTTCTGTATCCTACATTACTTTCTTGCTAACCTTGATTGAAATCCTCTGCTATTCATCCCTCTGTTCTTGTGATAATTCCGATTCATTTTATTCAGATGATTCCTTTAAGAGTTCCTCTTCTTAAATTTCTACTATTAATGACTTGGATGAATAAACTTTTACTGATTTTTTTGGTGGTTCAATCAAAAAGACGTTATTCGCTTCATTTCTAGGCTGAATAGTATTCATTAATACTTATCATCACTAACTTAACTTTGATTATCAATCCATTCATTTTGTATTGTTTGATGCTTAATTTCTGTATTTCCAATTTAGGCAATTAGATTAATTGGTAGCATTCCATTAGTTTAAAAAACCTCATTACTAAATGTAGTTACTGCTAAAACCAATAGCAGCAACTAAATGCTATCAAATTATAACATTATTAATATATTAATTATAAAAACGGATTCAGACCAACAACATGATCTAACCTTTCTGATAAACAAATTCAAGAGCCTAAACCTTCAATTTATTATTGATTGTAAACTCAATACACTAATTTAATAATAATATTAATCTAAATTTTTACAATTATCATATCATATACAAAATTACTATTATTATAGCTTACTTTGAAACGTCGTCTCCAATGATTCTTAGTTATCCTTAAGTCCTCATCCAAAACTAGTAGAATCTTAATAAATATATAAAATATATCCTCATTTTTATCTCACCCTTTTTTTCTTCTCTTTTTTTTCATTTTGTTTAGCATTCTGTTCACAAAATTCTGATTCCTCATCTTCAATAACTCTAAGCCTTTTTTGCTTTTAATCTCTGTTCTCATATATACGTTTAGATGAAACATATGCAGGTTCAATTGATTTCCTCATTGGAGATTATTTAGAAGATGGTGATTTATTTTCTCTAATATTTAATTTTACTATTCTTCTTGGAGGTTTAGTCTTCTTTACATTAATTTAATCATCCATATTTTCAATTTCCTAATTATTAATTTTTTTATGACTTTTATTAGCATTTACTTTACTATTCTTAATAGTTTCTTAATTGCAACTATCCTTCAAAGCTTTTTTTTATTTAGAGAGAGCAAGTTAATTTTAATGTTCTTTCTCTATTTCATTCAAATATTACTGATATTCCTATCTTCGTTTTTCTTTTCTTTTTTAATTAATTTATTGTTTCTTCTTAATCTCATCATTAGTTTCCAATCTACTCAGTGGACACTCCTTTATTTTTGGATTCTTAAGTTTCTTATGATCTTTGATTTCTTAATTATTATTATTATTAGTCTTTTAATCAAGTTCATTTGATTCAATTTATTTTGACTCCTCAATCTGTTATTAATTAGTTTATTAAGATTTCAACTCCCTATCCTTTTTATCTATCCTTTTTTATCTCTCTTATGTAATTTTGAATATTTAGATAGAATCAGCATCTAAAAGATCCTCATCCTTCTTTTCCTCATCTCTCTCTTAATAACTAACTTTATTTTTGGTTCTTTTTGCCTCTTATTAATGTCCTAAATCTTTTTATTAAAAGTCCTGTTATTCTATTATATCTTATTATTCTATTTAATATAACTATTATTATTTCTCCTATTTTTACGACTGTTATTTCTCCAAATCAACATTCATTTAATTATCTTAATCTTTCTTCTTTCTATCCTTATTTTTAATAATTTTCTTTTCCTTCCCCTTTTTATCCTAATTAATTGGAGGTTTTGGGTTTTCGATTTCATTATTAACTTATTTTAAAATATCTTTTTGTAAAATTTCATTAGCATCCTTTTATTCATTAACATAAGGAATAGTGACTATATCAAACATTGCTTATTTGGTTATTACCACTGATCTCATATTGGTCTTATGCTATTACATAAACAATTGATCTGATAATCTCTTTTCAAAGTTGAAGATCTCACTTTCCCCTTTGCTTATTAGAGCTATCTCCGAGTATCTTAGCCATTTAATAGAGTCCTTTTACTTTTATCTTAATTGACATCTATATAGAATTAAGCCTTAATTTATTTATTTTTTTGTTAAGATTTTATAAACTTGGCGTTATTCTAATAGTTTTTACTTCTCTTTCTCTTGCTATTACTTTTCATGTCTAATCTATCTAGCTTATTGTGCCTCTTGTAGTTATTACTATTTCATAGCTTATTCTGTTAATTTTTCTTCCTTTTGCACTCCCTTTTAACTTTTCTTTTACTATTCTGAATCTTTCTCCTTTTCATCTTTCTTCTGTGGTTAAGATTCTTTGTGATGTTCACCTTTTTAATCTAAACGATGTCTTTGGATTTATAATGGTAATGTTTTCTATTTTTCAACAGCACCAACCTTCTTGTCTTTTATTTTTGATAATCCAATTAATAAACTATTGATGCACTCTAGACCTTCTAAATATTCATCTTATTCAATAGGTTTGGTCTAATCATCAATAATTAACTCTTATTTTTTATACAAATCTTCCCTACCCTTTAATCTCAAATATATCAATGAATTTTTGGGATTATAAAATTTCTATTTATACTTTTACTTTGTTTTATCCTCAACATTTCTATTTTTTGATTGATCTATTACCTCCTCCACTCTCCATTATTCCTTTTAAACCTTTGTAATCTTTTTTTATTATTATTACTTTCTAGTTATCAAATCTTATTTCAATTATTCTTTCCTCTATTCCAATTTCAATTACTCCTATTCCATATCTATCTCTTCAATAACATTTTGATCTTCAAAATATTATTCAATATATTAGGGTTCTTCAACTACTATAGTTGGTGGACTAGGATCTCTCGGTATCTCTATAGCAACTTGTGATTTGTCACTCTCTTCCAAATCCTGTTCTGATAATTCATCAAAGTTGACCTACCATTGTTGTTTTTGGATATCCTACTTTCTTCTTATTACGGGTTCTTCCTCCTCTTGGATCAAGATGGATGGAATTTCGACAGTCTCTTTTTTCACTTGTAAATTGGGAATCTATAATTCTATTCGATTAGGAGTAGGAGTTGATTAATTAATTTATTATTGGTGATTCGACTGTTTAGAACTCTCTGATTCATTATCTGAGATGTCTTCGATATCTGAGAAGTCCAGAACATAGTGACTCTATTATTTGTTATGTTTCATTTTTAATATTTTACTTTATACCAAATTATGATAAATTACATAAGAAAAAGAAAAGAATGATTTTTTAATTTCAAAAAAAAACATTCATAAACCAAATTTAATTTACTACAAAAATCGATCTATTAATTGATGGATACTGATCTTGTATTATAATTTAATTTTGTTTAATAAAATAAATTAAACTTTCAATTTTATTACTAATCACTATGTTTTTCAAAATCTACATTCATACTTGTATTCTATAATAATACAAATTAATCCAATCTAAAGTTACCTGAATAAATAAGCTATGTTGGAGTGAATAAGAAATCTCAAGTAAAATGGTATTGAAATGATTAGATGACATCTGATTCCAGTTCCATGTCTATGTGTTATTCAAATTATCAGAACACTGAATTAGAAAGTGTGGTGGTGAAGCTATTGGAATAGACATCAGATGAACAGAAAAACTATTACAAAGATTTAATAGCCGATTTAGAATATAAATGAATAGACTTGATAAGGAGTATTAATGACAAGGAATATGCAATCCAGAAATTAGAGAGGGATAATTAGTAAAATTAGTTGAAATTTCACTCCTTCAGAATAGAATTTAAAATTACATCAACAATTGGAGAGTGTTCGAACTTGCTTAACAAAATAACAGCTAAGGCTGAATCCATCAAAGAAAACAATAATAACCTGAGAGAAGTCAATTATGCATTGTCTAAATCTATTAATCTAGCATTTGAAAAGAGAAATCTTTAAAATGAGAAACAGTTTTACACAGTAAACTAATTATTAGTGTATGAAAGGTAAATGCATTTAAACTTAGAGTAGATTTTGTATATAATGAATTTATTGATAAGACTGATCACAATTTAGAACTCAACAGAGATGTCTAAAATTATAGTAGAAAATTGGAATCCTTGCATCAAGAATTGTATGGTAATTATGGATTAGGTTACTGATTCTCCGTAGAACCATAATAACTCAAATATTTAAGCAAAAATCAAAGGTTGATGGAGATAATGGTCAAATGATTTAAAGAATTATTTGAGAAGGAAAAGAATGACAACATTCAAATTAGAAAACTATACAATTAACTAATATCAAAGTACGAATCCATTTTAGATACAAATGAATTGCTCATAAAATCCAATTAGCTTAAAGATGAAAGAAATAAGAATTAGCAAATTGAATTGCAATATTATAAGAAAAGTCAGAATTTAATGGAACATTGAGAAAAAGAAAAGTAACATTTAATTCCATTTTTCTAAATTAATGGTAAGGCATTTCAGTCAAACTCATTAGTCATAGGTGTAAAAAAAAATATAATCCAATTCATAATAATCTCCTCAATTATAACTCAGCAACCAAGTGTCAATGAATGCGATGACAAAATCTGTTGCAAAGAAGTCCAATCATCTGATCATCACTAATAATTAACAAAAAGCCACAAAATGGCATTCACTAAAAGCCTAATCTTCCATTGCTTGAAATTGACTAATCCTCTACTGAAGAACAAGCACAATACATTTTTTAGACAACCAGAGTTGATATTCAATAATAATAATAGTAAGGATAAATTCTTCAGTACTATGACATGACCAAATAGGAATGCATCTCAATTCTATTATCTATGTTTAATGATTTTTAAGAGACTAGATGTAATAATCTATCACTATTTGTAGTTCAGCGATGTCAAAAAGATTCAATAAATGAGTTATTAGGAGAACTTATAGTAATCCTTTCTTATACTTTTCTAATACAATAATATAACACTTAATCAACCAAAAAATAATCTGTTGTGGCCATCGTAATTTTTGATATTAATTTAGACTAAAAACGAAATTCAGTTGCTATTAGCTGAACTAAAGACCAAAAATAACTTTTAAATGATCAAGAAGAAGCAGCAAATAAACTTTTTAGTTAGTTTTGATGTTTCTAGAATAGATATGAAACATAATAGAAGAGAGTTCTTAGATAATGAACTGAGTTTTATTTGTAATTTTGAATAATAGGAATGAATTATAAATAAAAATAATTTAATATCAATAGAAAGATGTCTAAATAAAATGTGAAGACAACCTCATCAACTCTTGCAGAATCGGCTTATACTACTGAAATGCAGTTATGCCAATATAACTTCAGTTTGAAAGTTGCTTAGAAAACATTACAAGTATAAATAGAAATTACTCCTGATTCTCTAATGATGGAAGCCATAGAAACAGCTATTGATTATTTTACTCAAATATACTATGATTAAGATATAAATGAAAATGCCGAGATATACGAAGTATTCTCTGCAGACCAATAAGGGAATCCTTTGAAAACAAAGTTCAAGACAGAATAATTACTTTAAGAAATAGAATGCAAGTCCTTTGCTTTAGTTTTAAAAAAGAAAGGAACTCTCTTATCTATTTTGAAACAGCCAATCTTGAGAGAAACAACATCATAAGGTACTAAAGAATTGCCTAAGTTCAGATATGACACTACTATCACCAAATGATTACTAAAACCTATATAATTTTATTTAAAACCATTCATGATAAATTTATTCTTATATTATAAAATAAAGGCTTAATTTACTTCTTTGCTATTCCTATAGACCAAGTTAAAATTAAGAAGAAGTCAAATTTAATAAGGTTTAAATAAATAAATGACATTATTCCTCACTTTTAAGTTTTAATACGACTTTATTATTCAAGAAAATTTTTCAATTCTGATGGCATAAGTAAGTTCTCAGCTTCATGCTTAGGCAATATTTCCTTGATTATTGAAGCAGCGGATGCAAACTTTTAATCCAAAGACTTTTTCTTTTTAAGCAAAACCAATTGTTATTGTTCAACATATTATTCATAATATATTGGATCTTTAAACAAAGAAGCTGCCTGCTTTGCCTTTTCCCATAATGAATTTTCTGATTCCTTTTGTGTCAATTAAGACTTCAGTTTCCATGTATCAGAAGTTAGGCTGGATTATTGTGACTTTGCATCCTTATTGTTATTTTATTTAATCTATGTATTTAGTTTGATCCTTTGAGCATGAGCTCTATTGAATTCAACATCCTCCAAATTCAATTATAATTTATCTTTGAGTATTAAGGATTTCTGTTCTAGCAATTTCTCCTTATTTGATATTACCTGCTCTTATTTCTTTAATAATTATTAGTAGGTGTTGCTGAACCCTTCTTAATGTTTCTTATTTAAACAATATTTATACATTTTATTGTTCATAGTTGCTTTCTTTACATTTCCTGAGCATTTTGATATACTTTTCTTTTCTCTCATTGATTTTCTTCTTTTCATCAAGAATCAATTAAGACTTATTTTCTTGGAATTTCTTCATTTTTTCACATTGTTGTTTAATGTATTGCTATTACTCAAATTACATGATTTGAGATTTCTTTTCTTATTTGAAAATAATCTAACTGTTTTTCTGAGCAAAGTAATTTTTCATGTCTTTTTTGTATAACTCCACCTTTGTTTAAGCCTAGGTTTCTTGATTAAATCACAAATACCTTTTAATTGCAATTTGTTCAATCTTTCAGTAATGGTTTATTGAAACTAATTCTCCTATTGTTTTCTTTTCTCATGAGCTCTTTCGGTGTAGTTATCATGCTTGAAATGCTTTTTTAGGAATCTTCCTTGCAATTATTCTTAAATTCTGGATTCATTTTCAATACAAGTAATTAGGTATAGATTTCTTTATTCGAATTCATCTGTCTGTTCGGTAGATTTGTTTTTATTGCCATCTCTTACCCTCAGTTTGGAGAAACTAGTTTCACTTTTTCTTAATTATATATTCTGGTGGTTCTGTAACTTTTAATTTTGTTTTTAAAGATACTCAACATTCTTCTTTTCCTCCTATAACTATTAGTAAATCAGATTTTGCAATATTTTTTCTCTAGATAAACCTTTTTTCTCCTTTTTTTCTTAAATAACAACACTTTCTTCGCTGATATTCGAGATACTAAAATCATTCAGAATTAATACTTATTTTCCTATTGATTGAAGGTTATTTACTTAAGTGATTGATCTCCTAATTTGTGCCTTTGTTTATTCGTTTATATCTCATTGATGATTCCTATTTTTATTTTGGGTGATTTTACTCATTACTCTATTCTTATAATGATTGTATCTCATCATTTGAACTTCTGGTGAAACTGATGGAAACTACTCAATGGATCTAATATATAGAGTTGAAATAGACTTATAAATGAGATCATTTGGATCATATCCTAATCTTAAACACAGTTTTTGAGTGGTAGTCGATTAAGGACTTGTTTAGTCAATCATCTTCTTAAAACTCTGGTCGTCAACTTGGTTTAACATTAAATTAATTATTTTGATGGCATAAATACAGGATAACACAGATATAATTCAACCTACCTTCCTAAAACTTAAAGAAACCTTCAATACTCACAAAACAAAGTGTCTTAAGTTTAGAAAGGCTTAACTCAAAAGTTTGTTAAGAGGTCTCGAAGAAATGGAACAAGAATTTCATACTGCCATAGAGAAGGATTTGGGAGTGACATTATTTAGCAGTTAAATTACTTCAACAATCGTCACTAAGGCAGATGTAGAAAATCAATTAACTCATATTGATGAATGGAGTAAAGAAGAAAATGTAGATACACCATTTGTAATATTGTGATAGTCTATCATAGGTAATTGGGCCTGGGTCATCAAAAATAATTTATGAACCTCTCGGAGTAGTTTTGGTAATTGCTGCATGGAATTATCCACTTTTCACAGGAATACCTCCGATGGCTGCTGCAATTGCTGCAGGAAATTGTGTTATTCTTAAACCATCAGAAATTGCTCCACACTCTTCTCAAGCTATGTACAATTTAGTTACAAAATATCTTGATCCATCCTGCTATGCTGTGATATAAGGAGGTGTAGAAGTCTCAAAAAAGATTACCACACTTCCATTAGATTTAATTATATTTACAGGAAGTCCAGAGAAAGGCAAACTAGTTGCAAAGGCTGCCAGTGAAAATCTAGTGCCTTGCATATTGGAATTAGGTGGTAAATCACCAACCATAGTGGATAAAGATTGTAATTTGAATGTTACAGCACAAAGAATCATTTAAGGTAGATTCACAAATGCAGGTTAAACTTGTGTTGCTTGTGATTATGTCTTTGTTCATTAAACAATTAAGGATGCATTCATTAATGAGATGAAAACTGAACTTAAAAGATTCTTTGGAGAAAACCCATAAAATTCCAATGATTATTCAAAAATAGTGACTGAGTTCCACACATAAAGATTATAAGAACTCCTGAAAGACCATTAAGGATAAGTAGTTCTAGGAGGTTAAGTGAATGTAAATCAAAGATATGTTGAACCCACCATCATTTTATAACCAAAAATAGATTCTAAACTAATGACTGAAGAAATCTTTGGCCCCATTCTTCCTATTCTCCTATTTGAGAATATTGATGAAGTCATTCAATTTATCAATGCAAGACCCAAACCATTGGCTTTATATTATTATGGAAGCAACAGCAAAAATAAAAAGCTAATTGAATAATAAACTTCTTCTGGTGCTATTGTACACAATGATTCGGTCTTCCATCTTTTGAGTAAATTACATTTTTATTATAGATCCACATTTACCTTTTGGAGGTGTTGGAAATAGTGGTTATGGTGCTTACCATGGAATTACTGGATTCAAAGGTTGTAGTCATGCAAAACCTGTATTTGCTAAGTCAACTTTGAATATCTATCCATTTAATATTAGATACCCTCCTTATACCAAACATAAGTTACAAACCCTGTCATTATTGTATTGATAATAAACTTATCTGATAGTTTCAAGTTTGCTGAGTTACCCTAAAGACATGTTGTTAATGCTACTCTTTTAGTTTCTTTTGTAGTAGCTCTCAAGTTGGCTTAAAAGAAAGGCTATTTGAAGAAGTTATTTGAAATATCGAAGCCCTATGTTGAAAAGGTATGGAAGTAAGTAAATTTATGAATAAATCAAATAATTTATTATAAAAATGTCTAAATCAAATTAATATTAGTAATTTGGAATAAATCAATCAGTTTTTAATAGTGAGTCACCCAAAAAAATGACTCCTATTTTGAGAGTAAGTCCTTCATCATCAGATGGCGATATTGATATTAGAAAAGACAGCTATGGCAATTTAATTAAACATGGGGAGAGAAAACATCGAATTTAATTTAGGGAGAAGAACGAAGTTTTTATAGGTATGAGATGAATTGATTTCAATAGTTGAAAATTGGAAATAATACAATACTGATATGGCAACTCAAGAATCTCCTTGTCTTTGCACAATTTTGTGATTGATATCATTTATTTCGATTAACTTATATAACCTACTGCTTTTGTAATTCTAGAATCTATCGATGTGCATGATATATCAGATTACATTTTTCTAAGGTGCAAATCTCATTCTTATTTATTATAATTTAGTTTTAATTTTCTTTAATAACATTTATATAATCTGAACTTAATATAATTCATTTTGCACGAGCTGGTTATTTGACTGCGCCTCTCAAAGTATTTTTATGTTTAAGATAAGAATCGAAAAAGGTATTCAAGTCATTCTTCATCAAATGATTCTTGATGTTTGGCTCATTGATCATCTCCTTCATTGTCTCATCAACAACTATACCATATGTGTTGATCAAATACCATGATATGTTCTGTGTGCTGATTTGTGTTAAGCATATCCTGTATGAGTTTTATCCTCGTAATCTTTAATGTGATCAACCTTAAATAGAATTGCTTGAGTGGCTTGATCCTTTTCTCTCTATTGTTTCAATGGTTTCATCAGTTCCTCCAATCGCCCTTCCTTTTTGAGTTATTTATAATGGTTAAAATCGTCTTCCCTTCTACGATTTACATCCTGCATCTGAGTAGTCATTGTCCCATAATTATCAAGGCCTAATGAAATCATAGCAGATGTAGTCAAAACTGAAACTGGAGGTTTAGGCAATGATCTCGTTAAGCTGTTAAGATTAGCAGGAGGTTATTATGTCGCGAACTCTTCAATATGCTAATCTAAAACTGGTTTGATTAATTTAGTATGTTCAAATTCGGGGACTTCCTTTTCGTACAGTTCATCCTACACTTTATTATAAAGAGCAGCCCTCTCTTACAGAATCTCTATTTTATTTCGTTTATCTAAGAAATTCATATATTATTTAATAATATTTTCTATAATTTATTATTACAGAAAAATATCAATAGACTTAAAAAGTTAATCTTAAGTGATGATTCATGGAAGATTACAATCTCTATAATTATTAATGTTTATAAATGATCAATTTTTTTAAGTATAATTTCACAAAAAAGATATATGAAAATATTGATAAATCTAATATAAAAAGAACAAGTCTCTAAAAACAAGTTATATTTAGTTAACATAAATGAGTGAAATTAAATACTAACATGTTAAACCCATAAATTATTATAGATTGTTTAAATAAACTTCACATTAATGATAGAGATGTCAGTAAAAGATAATTAAAATATTGGGAGAAAATATGTTTCATTATTAAAATGCTCTAACACCTACTGTTTGGATTTTGCTGCTGAAAGGTCTAGTTCGTTATTAACCTTTGATTTGCCTACTTACACCAGTTTATGGTCTGAATCCTTGTGATGAAGTTTTTGTAATTATTGGGCTTTTGTTAGAGTTTTCTTGATTAATAAGTTTCATCAAATCGAGTAGGTTATCGTATAATTAGAAACCAGGTTGTGGTTTGCTTTTCTGATTTTAATTTTGAGAAGTGCCTTTTATTAATGCTAAATGCTGATAAAACCCTTCTGTTAATTATTAGACATCTCTATCATTAATTTAATGCCTTTGTGAAACAAAAGTTGGTGAGAGCAAGCGATTTTTAATAATTTATTTTTCAATCAAATTGCGATTTTTGATCTCTTATTCTTCAATATTATAATTTTCACAGTCGCCTCCCAATGATACTTTTTTCAAGGCTGAATGATTCCTAACAACATTCTAATTGGCTAATCAATAATAAATAATATGAAACTTTTATCGTATTTTTTTGTGTTCCTCCAATATTTAGTCTCCGAATGATATGGCAATTAAAGCATTTCTTCATTTTCGTCAATCTTCATCATTTATTTGGTTTATGTATTGAGACCAGGGGCTGTGATGGGTCTTTATCTTTGTGATGAGCTCTGAACAGGTGAGATTAGAGCAGTCATTGGTCTAAGTGATTTTTCAGGAGTTATTTATATGTTTTCTAGTTCTGATTCTTTTTTGGCTTTGAATGATTATTTAGAAAATCCTTAAAGAATATGGGGATGTGAAAATACCATAGTTCTCTAAGTCTTCTTAATAATCTTAACGAAGATCCTCAATATTAGGATGTTGTTTCTTGTGTCTGACAACCGGATCAAAATGATCTTCGATCTACTTTTCTCGAACCATCAATGCTTGGTATTTCTTATTTAATAAAGTAAGACTCATTAAAAATAATAATAAATATATTCAAACTTAAAAATCTTTGTTGGTCATCCATTTATCTTTTTAGATAACTCTAAAATGAGGTTGAGATGAATTTCTAGGCATTCTCGGAGTAGTGTTTTACTTAAATTCAGTCAAAATGTGAGTATTAGATGGGCCATCCTCACTAGTTGTATTCTGCTTCTTGCTCATTTGACTTTTCTGAAGACGACACTAAGACAAATACCCTGGAACCCAAAAAGGCTTATTTTACGTAAAAATGGCAGTATCAATGGAGGGATGGAGAATTTAGATGATCTCTAGATTCGTTTTTTGAAAGGCTTAAGGTTTTTCTTCAAAATGATTTGGCTAGGCACTGTAGATGCTTGGTTTCCTTTCAATCTCTTATTACTGAGTTGATTAGAATTTAGGGGAAGAACTCTTTAATAATATAATATTTAGTACATAGAATAAGAGTTAATCTAAGTCTTTTGGATTAAGTTTCTATTGAGTCTATTTGAATTTCTTCTTGCCAATAGCATTGTTTACAACTACATCAAGTTAGTTGGATTTCTTGGCTGCAAATCCAGCATGATGAAATTCTGTGATTACATTAAATTTGATCGTTTTTTAATTACTATACTTACTCCTACTGAGTTGTTCCAAGTAGATGTCCATGGCATTATCATTTTGTTTGATTGAGGCAACCTCTATCGGTATGGTTTAGGCTCTTCCTGAACATAGTTTGGCTATAATATAGAAATTAAAGAGATTACTAAGCTAGTAGCCCATAAAGTTTCTTAACATCTACACAGTTTCTTTATATTTGGTTCTGATTGAGAATTGAGTAGCCACTATGTTATCGGAAATGCAAATCACTAGAGGACCTAAGAAATAGAATAGGATTGTCACCTTTTTCACATTCAGCCATGGTTTGAAATGTCTTTTTTGGATTCACAAAATTAAATGGATGGACATCCCATGAATTCTTAAATGGAACAACGAATTCAAATGGTAAATCATAGAATAAATAATTATGCATAGAGTTCTTTCGCAATGAACAAACAACCTCGTTTTCCTTTGAAACATATAATTAATCTATTTCTTTCATCCTCTACACTTTATATTGAGGGGCCTTTACTATATACTTTCCAATAGTCTTGAACTCCTCTGCTGCTCTTCTACTGTGCAGCCCAGCATTGCCTTTGCCCACCCATTCGCCAGTATCGTAATTGAAACTGTACAGATCCCCAGTTACATTATCAAGGAAATAGTCACTCATACGAATTTCGTTCATTGATTTTTTTATTTTAGACAAGTCTCCTAGTTAACTTCCGTTCAATCCATTTATAATTGAAATTTACTAAAGTAAAGCATGAATGTACACACTCAATATTAGATGCTATCAAGAACACCAAGCCTTGCATAGCAAAGGAAGAAGCAAAGAGTATTTTGTTACTTCTCATGCACATTCTCAATAGAATTAGAAATTTATATGCATTAGGAGACCATGGTCTAAGATTGGCATCTCCCTCAAAGAATATCAAATCTATTGAATCGAACATCTTGCCACACTCTATCCTTACAAACGAACTATCAATCTCATATAGAAAATCATCAATTGTGTCCCTGTCTGCAATAAAGAACTCTAACTCTGTGTCTATCATTTCCTTCTTTCCTGTAAGCAACTGAATTTAGTACTCATTAATACATCTTTTATGATTTATTTATAATGTTCGGAACTTCGGAATCCTTTTAGACATTTGCCATAACCATTTACAATTAAAATTTTCATTAATTATAAGTTTATTCATACATCAATTAAGTAGTCATTCGAAAATTTACTTTATTTGAAAGCAACTATCGGTTCCATCTCTCCTTCCATCCTATCGTTTTTCCACAACCCAACATACTTCTACCCATTCTTCCAATAATAAGTTCCCTTCCCTTATCTCTTACCATCCTAAAAGAACCCCTCATACTAATCTCCGTTTGCATACTCATATCGTCCCTAACCATTCTTAGTGCCATTAGCCCATTCTCCCATAAACACATCACCATTAGTCAACATCAACACTCCTTACCCATTTCTCACATCATTCCTATACTCTCCCTCATACTTATCCCCACTCAAATAATAATAGATTCCCTTGCCACAACGCTCGCCATCAACAAAAGTTCCCTCATATCTATCACCATTGACATAATAAAATATTCCATGTCCATTCTGATTCTCATTTTTCCATTCTCCTTAATATTTTGCTCCATCTGCATAAAAATATGTTCCTTAACCATGTTTCTACCCTCCAGCCCATTCTCCCTCATATCTATCCTCATTCGAATATTGCATAACTCCAAACCCATTGGCTTTGTCTTCTAAAAACTCTCCTTCAAATCTGGAACCATTTTAGTATTCAAAAACACCTTTACCAGACTTTTCCCCATCTCTCCACTCTCCATAATACTTGTCACCACTAGTATATATGTACATACCAGTTCCATGTTTCTCTCCATCTAACCATTGCCCATCATATTTCTCATTTGTTGCAAAGTAAGTATAAGAACCCTTTCCATTCTTTTTATCATTCATCCATTCTCCTTCATACTTATTTCCATTCACATACAAATAGACTCCTCTTCCATGTTTTGCACTCTCTCTCAATTCCCCATCATACCTTTCTCCATTTGCAAATATATAGACTCCTTTTCCATGGAATCTAATTTATTCAATCTACATTACCTGTCATCCTTCCATTCTCCAACATATTTATCTCCATTACTATAATGATAAATTCCCTTTCCATTTCGTTTCTCATTAATCACCTCGCCTTCGTACTTGCTTCCATCAACATAGTTTTTGATTCTGATTCCTTTTTTGTATTTACCCACTTCATCCAAATCCTTAATCCATTATTATTCAAATCTAAAAACTATCTCATCTTTCTCTTTGAGTAACTTTTACTTCTCCTACTCCAAAGTTTTGGTTGGAGGAATTTTGAATTTTAGATCAGCCATTTCAAAATTTAATTATTAATACTACTAAAATTTTCTGTTAACATTATTACATTAAAAAATAAATTTATTCACTTTCAAAGGCAGAAGAACTCATATGTATTGATAATAAAATACAGTTAAAATTCTTATATAATTATAGCATATACTTAAGAAAAGAAGTGCAATATTAGATTATTTCAAACTTATTTATATATATTTTTATGCAATTCGATTAAATAATAATAAAAGGTTTTTCATTATTTTTGTTGCTATTGTTTCATTTATTATTTTTTTTATTAATTTAATTTTGCTATTTGCTCTCTCTTTTCAACCTCCAATTGAATATTTAACAATGGTTCATTATGATTTTATTTCATCAAATTCACTTCATTTAAGATTAATATTTTCAAATCCTTTAATTATATGGTATTATCATTCTCAAACTAAGAATCTAGATTTCCTTCAAATGAAGGTTCATCATCAGGATCTCTTATAGATTCCAAATATGGATGATTTAATGCCTGAAAATTATTTATAAAATTATTACTTAAGCACTTGTGATTCTCTTTTTAGGATTGATCTCAAGCATTTTGTCTAATAAATCAATTGCATGTGGATTAGAATACTTGATTACACTTCCAATTGTGCACTTTTATTTCGTCTAAAGACTACTCACATATTTCTTGGCATTACTATTTGTGATAAATTATAAATCTTCATCCTATGGCTTACCTAATGTATCAAAGATAAGCTTTATCATTTATATATAATTAGTTCCTTTGAATAAAATTTACTTTGTAATCAATTCAGCAAATGTACATCCCAATGACCAAATATCAATTGCAGTTGAATATTCATGTGATGATAACATTACTTCAGGAGCTCTATAATACCCTAAATTTATTATATGTTTAATACTTGTTACGACATACTCTGTCAACATGTTTTGGCATCTATTATCCTCTGCTTCCAATTCTTCTATTTATCTTGCCAATCCAAAATCACAATAGCATATTTCACAATTCTCAGTAGCTAAAATATTGCTTGGCTTAATATCCCTGTGGACTATGCTTGCAGAGTGCAAATATTTTAACCCTTTGAGTAATTGATATCTAAATAGAAGTATGGTGATTACATTATATATTGATAGTGCTAATCGGTAAGATTTTGTCCACTCTTAATAATCTTATAGAGATCCACTTCCAGGTAATTCGTAACTAGGTAGATTTCTCCGAATTCTAACTCCTTATTTGAATCATCATAGATTAAGTTCTCCAGATGTAGAATATTTTCATGTTGCATTGTTCTCAAAATTCTAATCTCTCTCAACACTCTTTTTGCGTCGATCTCATCTCTAACCAGGTGTAGCTTTTTAATAGCCACTTTCTATTTCTCTGGATCAGTTTGCTTCTTGTCAATGGCAAGAGCTACATGTCCATAGGCACCAGCACCTAACAATTTCTTTACTTCATATCTAGCACCTACGTTGAATTGAATGCCAGAAACTATTTGATTCATAAGTATATAATTAATAAATCAATTCACCATTTTATGTTATGTTTCTAAGCAATCTATCTTAATTATAACTCAGTCTTGCCGTGTTTCCTTACCAACCCAATCCGTTGTTAATACTATAATACTCTTTAAGTCTATGAATCTGTGGGATCACTCAAAATCTATTAATGTTGCACTTATTTTTATTATTATTACTCATCATTGATTTTGGTTTCAAGTAACCTCATCCTAGAACCTTGCTTAGTGCCCTTATTTAAGATGAAATTATTGGGAATTCTCAATGGATTTATATCTTTTTAGGATTTAACTTTGTTCCTATCCAAAAGTTGCCTAATATGGCCCATAAACTCATTATATTTTTATTCATTTTTCATAGAGGGCAATGCAAATTCCTGATCCATTATTTTAAACATAGGGTGTCTCTCCGATTTGTGTACATTAATGCGTGAATCTTTATTTTGTCTATCCGTAATCTGTTACAATAAATAATTAGTCATTAAATATAAATAATATTTCAATCATTTTTAGATTTTTCTAAGTACAATATCATCTGTAGTAGTCTATAGGGAACTTTGGGAGTTCGCATACAGAATACTAGCATTTCTTTGTGGTCTGATTTTGAAGACAAAATCTTCTAATCTTTTCTTTTATATTACACGTTCATCATAATTAAAAAGATTGCTCATTGAGGCACTCTTTACTGATCTAGTCTACCCTTTCATTCCATTGTAATGGATGTCACTGATATTCGATAACACAGGGTTAAATTGCTTTGGTTAGAGTGTTCTTCCCAGTTTGATTGGACTACACTCTTCCAAGGGAGTTTAGAACAGCGTAGATCTAAGAGATATCTTCTGTGGATATAATTAGAATTTTTGTTATCTTATAGGTGTTTTCAAAATTAGAGACGATTGCTGATATTTGATTGGGGATTCCACTTTTGTCTGTGGTTCTATAGCTGGTTTCTTATTAGGTGAATTTGGCTTGCTGCTTTCGTCCAATTTTGGCATAGAAGTTGTCCTAAATCTCATTCTTGTTTTTGGTGATTCTTAAGATGCCAAAATGGCAGGCTTTTCAATTTATTAAGATTCCTACCTCTTTAAACATAGAGGATTTTATATTAGATTCTCTAAGTAGTGTTCTTCACTTACTTCCCATCCCTAATCCATTTTGCTTACAAAATTATCAATTTTTTATATTATTTTATCAAATAATAATAAATTACATTAGCCAAACTATATAGTATAATTTTGTTTTGATTGAATTAACTTTGGTATATATTAATAGATTTACTAGTTACATAATTTTTTCTTTGGTAATTACAAGTTAATTGACTGTTCATGCGGGAGTCTTCAGTAAGCATAATAATTTGTATGTTTTATATTTATAAATAATTATAAATGGATGTAATAGATAAGATGAGATCAACTTAATAATGAAAGACATTTTTAATAGTAGACCTCCTTTTGTGATTCAGCAAGAACTAATTCTTAACAAATGATTTCAGCCTTTTGATTGATTTTGCTTAGCTCTTCCTTATTTTGTCTAGATTTTAAGAAATAATTATATACATGTTGTTAATTTTGATCATTTCTTCAAGAGAATTTAAAATGGATTTATTTTCCATCTGAACACTTTTAATTTTTTCTGTTGATAATGTTTCAAAGGATAAAATTAAGTTTTTGATAGATGAAAAAGTTTCCTTAATGAAATTTTTGAAATCATTCTATTATTGTTTGAATGATATAATTTAGCTTAGCAGATTCTTGATTTTAATAATGTCATTGTTGTTGGATACCTTTAACATAGATGGTTATTGCGAGCTGAATTGGGTGTTTTCGTGAAATTGAATACCTAATTTGGGAACCTTTACTGAGCTCATGTATTAACTTTTGGGATCATTTTAATATAATTTAGCTAATAAATTGGAGCAATATTATTTCTGAGATAACAGTTCCTATTGTAGTCTATTAATTTTGAACTCCTACAATCTGATGACAGAGTCCTGTGAATCTATTTTATTTCTCAAATCATTGACTAGTTATTCTATTATCAACAGTAGATCATACTTGTGATAATTTTCTCTGCTGTGGATGTCTGGGATTATTTATACAATATCAAAGATAAACCATCATTCTCTTATTGCATAAGTCGCGGATGATTTGTTTGCAATCTGTTATGAGTGTTGTGTTAAACTTACTTAATGTGAAACTTTTTATTCTGCTTGAATGCCGTGATTCTCTCAGTTTTAATTGATTTACTACCGATCTCTGGATCCGAATTGCCTGTGGTTTTATTCAACATATTAGCATCTGGCAATTGTATAGGCTACACATGCAATTTGAGATGCTGTTTTTTTGCAGGCGGTGGAGAGTGTGAATTTTATGTAATTTACATATTAATATTTAATTCTCATCAATCATGCCAATCCCCCTTAATTTAATTTGTTTCTAATGACTGTGCTAAATTCAGCAGAGTTCACAAAATCTTTAGCATTCCTAGTAGTTTAGAGTTGAATTTAATATTGAGCCTTCAATTCATTATAAATTTGGGTTTCTTGGGCCTAAGCATCCTTGTCCTATTCTAATTGATATATACTGTTATTTACATAGAGATTCATTGTAATTTTGTAAATCAAGTTCATTTTAGGTTAAGGCTTCTTGAGTTGATTTCAACTTATCTGAAATATAAATTTGTATATGTAATTACTTTAATAGGCAGCTAAAACGTAGGTAGCCTCAAGAAGTGATCTCTTGAATTCTTAATACTCAGTGTTTAATGTTTTTTATCTCTCTGCCCAAGTCTCTTCAATCTGTTTTTCATCAGTATTTTCCTAATTTAGACATCACCTCATTTACTACCTAATTCAGACTAGCAACCAATTGATTTCTGGTGTCCTATAACAAGTCTCTAATCTTCTTGGCTTGTCCTTGATCTGAGAAGTTTTGAGTCAATTACAGTAAGGCTTCAACAACTGGGTGGATAGTGCTGGTTTTTGCGATCTTGCTATTGACTCTTTTGACAGCCTAATGGATTGTTGCTTTTTCAGTGAATGCAATGTTTCCATTGATTAGGGAATTGATCAATTACAAAGCTTCATCCACTGCACTAATGGCACCTTGATGTTCACTCACTACAATTTTTTAGTAATATTACCTCTGTCCAGATAAGCCTAATGTTAATTTTATCTATTTAAGGTTTCTCTAGCCAATGAGTCTCTGTTGTCATTAATGAACCCATTCAATCTATCTATCTTTTAATTAGTTTAATCTATGCTTGGTAACAAAATAGCATCAATAAAGTCCTTCTCATTAAAGATGTTGATTTCTGTTTGACCTATGTTGATGTCTAAGTTTTCTTGAGTTATTTGATGCTAATTCGTTGATCTAGTAAAGTCATCCTCTAATTATTGCAATTCAGCAGTCAGTTCATTTTCTAAATCGCCAATTGCAGTCACTAAATCATCTTTGATGTTAATTACTCATTCATACCTAAAGGTCCTCTCATTTCTGCATGAGTCTGAGCCATTTCAATAATAAATCTCCCCAAATTACTTTAAGAAAGCTCATCAATTTTCTCAGTGCTCAATTACACCATGCTTGGATCTACAGAGCAGACTAAATATATAGTCAATGTAAAAGCTAAGAATTTTTACATTAGGTAATTTAATATATATAAATATAATCCGTTTTAATATAAGTTTTCATGATATATTTGATATCAATATTTAATTAGTCAAATGATGATGATCAAACTAATATTTTGCTTATATGTCAGTATTCTAATTAAATTTTCTATTTATAATTGTTTAAGACAAATTTAGAGTTTATATATCAAATTAATGAAAGAAAATTATTATAATTTAATTTTTTACTATGGATTTTCTTGCATCTTTTGATAAATTTGGAGCAGTCTATAAACCCAAAATAAAACAAGAATAAAAGAACTACCAGACAGTGTTCGGTGGAATTATTTCGATAATGATTTATATGGTAAGTTTCATATACTTTTGTTACAAAATCTATTAGTTTGGAAAGAATGAAGTCAACCCCATCTAATCGATTGCTTATGAATATACTTAAAATTTAACCATGGCTGATAATAAAGATTTTTTAAGCTTTGAAGTTCTTGGAACCTAGATTAATCCTTTCAATAGGACATCCCAAATTCTTGTCCCAATGATGATTTTCTAAGGATATGAGTAAATGGAATAGTAGGGTAATTTAGTAATTAACCTTAGCATTTTTTACTTAAGATGACATATACAATAATAATGAGGTTGACTTTGATATTCAAAAATACACTCCTAAAAATATAAGCCTTTAAAATGGAGTTGGAGATTATCCCCATAAAGTTTTAATTGTGTTGCGAATATGTGATTCGAAGACTCAAACTAATTGTGCTGATGATGCTGTAATTGATTCCTTTTTTAAGTATTAGTATTATTATACCATTAGCCAAAATAATCTCTTGATTAGGACAACAGTTCAGACTGAGTAATACAATTCATTTCACAGAAGTATCAATAACATGTCTACTGAGATGATTTTTGCTCTAGATAGATCAGCAACTTTTTATCAAAGAGTGATTATGCAAGCTCAACTCTTAGAAATAGATGAAGCTCCTCTCTTCCCTACTTACGACTCTAAATGGATTTTTAGCGATCAGTTTATTTAGACTTAAAGCTTAGGGTAAAGTTTTAAGAGCAACTTTCCTGCATTGTTTATCACAGAATTGTCTATGTCCTCTGTAACTTAAAAAAAAGTTGTCTAATATATTAAGGTTTCTCAAGTTCTAGCAGATGTAGGCTCAATATTTTCAAGTCTTATGCTATTCAGTATTATAATCTCTACTTTCAATGAATTTTTAATGGAATAAGAACTCATTAAACAAGTCATTGAGATTTACTATCCCTAATTCTCTAAATTTGAATTCAGACGACTATTAAATTTTGGTCCTATATCAGAAGTAAGATTCGAAGGGAAAACAGTGGATTTAGATTAGTTTTAAAAATTCTATGAGAATGCTAAGACTATTGCCAAAAATAAACTAACTGTGCACAATAGCATATATTAAACTTCGAGATTGTAGTTTGCTATTTAAGGGTTAGTTGCACGAGAGGCCTTGAAGAAATTAAAATCCTAGGGGATAAAATTAAATTTGAATTACGATAATAATTTTAAATCTCCTCGGGAAAATTAAGTTCAAGGATCCAAATCCTCAGTTATAGAATATCAGGAAATAGAGGATCATGTAAATCTCCAATTTACAGATGGAGATTTTAATTTGCTTGATGAAGAGGATAATAGTTAGCATGAAAAATAAAAAATAAATGAAGAAAACTAAGAAAATCATTGAATTAATAGATATTTAATAAATCAACTTATATATAAATATTTAGTATGGATTGGAGTTATGTTAAAAGAAAGATTATAAATAAATTTCATTTTTCATTTAAATTATTAATTTATCATTTAGTATATTTTTTGAAACCCTCGGTAAATGATGATTACCCTAAATTATACTCGATTGGCTCATCTACCCCTACATAGACTTTGTTCATAGCATGACTAATAGGAGAAGGGGGAATATTAAAATAAACTTATGGTGGAACAATAAATTACACACTTGGTTGCAATACTTTACTATTGTTTAAGGAATCCATCTATTTTAATAATGAAGATATACTCTCTCTTTGCTGAGAAACTTATTGTATTGTTCACTTAGAAAACTATTATTTGGTTTGCTATTATTGATGCCGTTGAGTAAACTGTCCATTTTCATGAGTTTAATGGGGTGAGAATTAGTAAACATTGATAATTGCTACTTATAATCTTGATGATCTTATTAGGAATTGGATTGTTCGTCATATTGATTGCCACATTAATAGAGATCATCAAAGTTTCTAGCTTATTGATTATCAATAATGTCATTGACTAATATTTCATCATTATTATTCATCTTATTTTTAACTCTCATTTTAGATTTCTAGATATCCTAGTCTTCAGGTTTGTTCTCAATTTTAACTATTTTTCTTGAATCTTGTTAAAATTATTATTATTATTGTAATTTTTCTACATTCTCTAACATTTTATTTCTTAGTCTCATTTACTAATGTGCAGAAGTTGTTTATTACTGATTGATTTATTATTATTATATTTCTTATTATTTATTTGAAGTCCTCGTTCTTTTTTATTCAACACTCTATTCGCTCTCAACTTCAGACATAGAGTCTCCATCTTTTTTCTTCTGAAATCCTGGATACTGAATGGATATGAGAATTTAATGTACATCCTATTTGGTGAACTCCTTTTTATGAAATGACGAAATCAATTCCATTTCAATATTGTCTGTCGATGTAAATTGATAGACTGTTCCATTTAGATCTGTAAAACACAACAGCATTTTGATGTTACACAATACAGCCAACTCACATGCTTTCTTCAACAAACCATTTTTCCTTTTATTGAATGTGATCTAAAATAATATTAATTAGTTATATAAATTATATAGAGGTTCTAAAAATAGTAGAATAAGTAAATAAATTAATAAATTTACATTCCTTATACGATCATCTTTTAGATATTGAATGTCAATTTTATTTCTTCCCATTATCTATATATTAAATATTTAATTATTTAAATTAAACTTTTATAAAATGTCTAATTTTTGGAAAGAAATACAGAACTATTCAGGATGCACAGATTTCGAATAATTGCAATAGTATCTCAACATAATCTACAAAGTAAGCGCAATAACAATTTTAGTTTGAAATCAAATTGGAAGACTTCCAAGCCATACATCCAGTATATTTAGCCAAATTATTACATTTACACTAATTAGCGATATAATATTATGAACACTCCACTGAAGAATTGACAGAGTATGACAAGTACATAGCGAAGTCAACCATAGACATTTCCGAAGAAGTACTCATAAACAGTATTCCTAGATCCAACAAATAGAGAGGAGACTCCTACAGAGCAAGGTCAATGTCAAGGCAGCTTAAAAAAAATTGGCATTAGAATTGAGTCAAAAAGATAAATTCATGCAGAAGATCGTAAACACCCAATTAATCCAATGTCTGTATTGTGACAAAGTAGTCACGACTGACTCCTAATTTGATTTGCATATGCAATAATATCACAAAAGAGAATTTAACAAAAAAGAAGTCAACATCGTCAATCAAGCCATGCAGAATCAATTATTGACATAGCAATTAAGTAATAAAATTATCTAATAAAATCAACAAAACTACTTAGCCTTAAACTATCAACTTCTTTAATTCACAAAAGAATAACTCTCAAGAGAAACCACTGACTTTCTTTAAAATACAATGCAGGTCACTTAAAAAATTAACAACATAGATTAAACATACATCAATAAAATTAAAAGTTTGGAAGAAGCAATTTAAAATAAATTAAAATTGATCTAACTCAATGCTGAAAAAGAAGAATAAATTAGGGAATAATAAGTGAAAGATAAAGTTGCATCATTGGAAGAAAAAATTTAATAAGAGTTTGAAAAATCAAGATTTCAATTCATGAGAGCAAGATCATAAAATAAAATGAAGACAAATACATTCGTACAGAGATCATAGGAAAATCCACCCAATAATTCATAAATCCCTCATTCTGCCATCTTTCAATCATAACCAGGATTCCACAGAGGATAAACCACCATGAATATCGCCAGTCTTGCTAATATCGAATAAGATGAGTTAATAGGAGATGATGAAAACCAAAAATCCAACTTGCTACAATTCAAAAAACAAAATATACAAGGTTCAGACTAAGAATCACCTCAAATTGACCAATCTTAATAGTTATCTGAATCAATATAAGCAAGCTAGGGATTATTAATTAAACCACCCCCAGAGATCTAGTAATAATAGTCGAAATTCTCTAAGCCCGCTCAGAAGAATAGTTCAGAATCTGAAGGAGAATAATAGATTGGCAATAATAATGCATATCATTTTGACAATGATGATAATATCGATTATGTAGCATAAAGCCTGGAAACCTTTCGTAATGCAATTGAGAGCTAGTAAAACATGCTATTTGAATTGTACTTTATTTATTTTAATCATATTTAGGTTGTTAAATCGAAGTAGGGGCTTAAGACCCACGTGCACAGAACTATAAAAGTAATATTATAGAAAAATTTTGGAGAAAAATATCGAATAAGATATCAAAGGAATCGAGTAGAATGATGTTAAGACTTTAAAGAAGAAATACGATGAATTAAATAAACAATTAAAGGATTAATAGACAGATGTTGAAGAGAAATTATAATTATACTCATTTAATGAAGAGTCTCGTAGTCCAGAGGAAGTCGATTCGAGAAGGGCTACGCAATTTTTAAATATTAGATCAAGAAGAAATACTGAGAAGCATATTAGGAATTTATCTTAAAAATGATATTTTATTTTTCTTCCCAATAATTAAGAGTAATCTAAATATTTAGAGAGGTAGCTTAGAGTTATAATTTATTACATTTTAGCAAAAATAATAAACAATAAATTAATTTAATTCTGCAATGAATTTAACCTTAAATTTATATTAGTTCAATTATAATTTATTGGATTTACAAATAGATTGTGTTTACTATGTGTTTTTAATCAATTAGAATAAGTAATTAATGCAATAAGAAATAAAATGTTTTTAATAAACAGTTAGACATTTTTACAATTTAAATTTAATTATATATATAATGTGATGATAAATATATTCAGAGATTTTAGGAACAAAAATATTCTGATTGTTCTTCCTCCTAAGAACAGCTTTCAAAATATTAACTAGTCGAATCTACTTTATACCAACTTATAATCGCCTAAACCTGTCCATTCAATTTCTCGTATTTAATTTCCATTGACTCCCTCTGTTATTGTAAATCTAAATATATTTATTTATGCTGTTATAATATGATCTCGTGCTAATTAATAATATGAGTGAATTATTATTCATCTTATTTTAAATTTTATTTTATAGAAGTGATTTCATCTATCAAAAATGTTTAATAGCATTAATGATCAAACCTCTGCTTTTATTGCAATTTGTTCTAACTTCTTTTCAACAAAACTTAGAGATGTCTAATTTTTAAATTAAATAATACTCTTTTCCTTTTAAGAAATTTTAATGCCAAAACACTTGTTAATTGTTCTGGTTTCGAATCTTCTAAAAGTCATACATATTCAACTATCGCAAGAAGGAAGTAAAATGATTATGTTTAAAATGTTAAGGAAGTATTTATTGTTCCAATATTTCGGGATTTAAAACAATAAAGGCATCTCCTTGTGGTGTCCATGTGATTATTAACGAATTATTCTTTTGCTATATATATTACTCATTACTAAGTCTTCTAATATGGCATGCAATTTAATAATGAAAGACGGAATAGTATATTTTGATTTGTTTTAATCCATGGAATATTTGAGGAATTTAGAAATGTATATTAATTAATAAATCTTTGGAGATAATTATTTATATTAATAATAATTAATAATAATTCTTCCCCCTAAAACAATAATAACCACACAATTTCTTCTCGATTTCCTTCTCCTTTTAATAATTTTTAATGACTCATTTTCAAATATCTTGTTCAAACTTTACATCTCTTGATCCGTCAACCCCTTAATGCAATCCTAATTAATATTTTATGATAATTATTAACACCTGTTTTGTTAGTTTTATTTTCAAATATTAATAGTTTTTGGTCATTGTCTTATCACAGGTACGCAACTTATAAATTTTTTGTTTTGGCTCAATCATCTAAAAATTTTATCAATAGGCGATATTGAAAAATCATATAATTTATTTAATAAGCTTTATTTTAAAATATCAACGATTGATTTCCCACTTATTCTAAACATCTAAACTCTATTTTTTCCAGAACTAACTCATTTAGGAGATTCTATGACACCTGTTGAATATTTACGAATAAAATAAATAATGAATTTTAAGAGGACAAAAGATTAACTAAGCATTGCGAGAAAATTTAAATCACTTGCTTATTTTTCAGATCTTTAATAATTAATACTAAAAGAATACTTTCAAGTATTATCTAAGTAATATTTTAAAGAGAATATACAAAAAATAAAATCTTACAAAATATTTCCGCCTTAAAGAACTTTGAATTAGAAAATTAATGAAAAAGGTTTATAAATTCTTCAAAAAAATTGGAATATTTGATTGGTTCTTCTATTCAATTCACTCAGGTATGTCATAAGTTCTATAAAATTATTAAGGAAAAATCAATAATGGATAAATACATAATTTCTTAAATCTATGCTTTTTAATATTTAATGAGAAATTAGAATTAGGTTTTTGATAAAAAATAATCAAAATAATAAATTACAAGTTTATTAACGAAGTTAAGATTATTATAATTATAGCGTTTGTATTTTTGATTAATCTTCTTTATTGCGTTATTGATTAATTTACTTTAAACTACTATGATTTGGTTATGGAATATGTGCGTATTTAAGCTTAAAATTTTCCTTGACTAATAGTTAATTGTCTATAATCTTTTATCATACAAGCATTCCATTCAAACCCATATTTTTTAATTTAGAATTAGTTTATTTAATTTTAATAGTAATCTCTAAATCACAATAATGAGGAATATTTAACAGTTCTGCTTCTGATTTAAGACGATAATTCAATCAACTGATTATAATTATAACATAATAAATTGTTTAGAATTTTTTAATCTAGAAATGGTGGGATAAATCAACCACTAAATCCCTGGTTTACTACTAATCAAATATTAACATGTAGTTTTATTAGTTCCTCTTCGCTAATATAAATAGCTAGTTCTATGACTTATACCTGAATTACAACGCTTTATTGTCAAACATTAATTATTTTATTACATATATATACATGCGATGAAAAACTGACATCTCATGATTGATCCTATGTGCATTGATCGGAATTCAAAATCTGATTTTTTTATTTAATCGCCATTAATTTTTTCAAACAATTTGTCCAAATATATAAAATTTAAGATATTATTCATCAAGCATTGAAGGAAAATAATATAATATTATCAAAAGTATTAAATTTATTTAATTTTATGGATATTATGAATTTCAACAATTCTATAAATGTTGATAATTTGGTAAATTCAAATTTGTAAAAATCACATATTCAACTCATATGGTTAAACGGGTCTTTTTCTTTAAAACTTACTTTAATTAATAGAGTTTGAACGAGGTATATTCTCAGACTCAATTTGGGCTTTTTATCCTTGTAATTTGATGAGATCCTCAATAATTTGCACTTATTCTGGATTTAGTGATTTTATCAATTCTTGATGACAATTAGTCAAGGGTTGTTATTTTAAAACATAACTATCTATTAATTACAAAATCTATCCTATTTAATTTTAAGGTTCAATCGATTATCTATTTCTTTAAAAAAAATCTTCATATGTAGTATATGTGTTTCTTTTTTAACTTTATTCAACATTATCATCTTTATTTAGATACTTTTTGAGATCTAATCTTTTTGTATTTCTTCGAATTTAATTGGTAATAAATTCATCATCCTATCCTTTCAACTTGATATCTTTCACAATTATAAGTAACCCAACAAAGCAGTAATATCTTCTAATTCAGAATAATTCTTATATTTAAAAATGCGATCAAAAATATAAATTATGCATGGAACCTGATAATATAAATGTTAATACATTGAGATAATCGATAAATAAACTAGATAACATGCTGTTGGCATATTTTTCTAAATATTTTCTGAAAAAGAATAAATCGGTTTGCTAAATTTAATGATTTGTTTTTCCAATCTCTTACAAAATATCAATTTCTGAACTTTAGAGTTGTTCAGCATTTTCTAATAATCTTTTTAGACATCCTTCTTTTCTTAATATATTGATAAAATAGAGAACTAAGGGTTGGGAATGGAAATACAATAAAAACTAGGTTAACTAAACCAAATTCTAAAATTTATTATAAAAATAATCTACATAAGTACATTTAATAGAGGGGTTATCATATATAAAGCATTGCAACACTTAAAAGACCAAATCGGTTATAGTATTATCCAAAGACTCTTTAATCTCTGCTTAAGTCTTTTCTTTGATCAAATCTTTGATCAAATATTTAGTCAAATAATAGTCTAATTCTATAATGGAATATTTAAATTAAGAGCGTATCTTGGCTTAATGAATAATCTTGTACTTGAATTACATAGGGTTTTATTAACTTAAGATTCTCATAATCTAGTTGTGATAAATTATTTTTGCTTTCTTCTAGTTTTATATAATAATAATCGTTAATTATTTTTTCTTTAGCTCTAAATCATTATATCTTATACTTATCAATACAACTATATTGCAGCCATTCTTTAGTATTTAGAGAATTATTATTGTACTGTAATTTCTTTTCGTTTATCAGCTTTTCTAAGTATTCTTACTCATCTTTGCAAACTAGGCAAACTCTATGTTCTTATTTGAGATCAAAATTTACGACCTCAAATTAATATAAGTAAATACTAATCCCTTATATTTTCCACATTCAGAGCAAATAGCTCGCAAACACCTCTTGCATTAATGCTACTACACCGATCTTAAATAAACATTTAATTTACAATAAAAAACTATACATGCATATTTCACAATTAGGCTGCTTTTATCGAGTTTAGGCTTTGGTATTTGGGTTCATTCTATCAAATTTAATTATAAAATAAAAAATTTAATTTTGATGAAATATCATAATTCACTATCTAAAAATTATGGAATAGGATCTTAATCAAAATAAGAATTCTTACGACTTGGATTAGGCGATTCTGAATTGACATAATTATCTTCGAATTTATGAAAAAAATAAGGTTCATTATAAACTATAAGTTGATTTTCTTATTTTTTATCTTAAGACTCTTGTTTCAAATCCATTTTCTTTATAACTGGATATTCATCATCAAAGCTAAGATCATCGTCAAACTTTATATTATTTTTCTTTTCCTATTTTTAATTGTTTGTAATAGCACTCAAAAGTACTTAAATAATTTAAGTTTTTGATAGTTTTTCGATCTATTATTCTAAATTCTGACTTATAATTTGAGATGGCAGTTAATCAAATTGCAATTTTTCAGTTTCAAAATGTTTTTGATTTTATGCTTCAACTTACATTTCATCCTCGTTTTCACAGGTTTATTTCAACATCAATAAATTATTTGCTTACAAACTGCTCTTAAGTTTATTGTTTTATTTGGTTCCTTGTAAAGATTATAAAACCCATTTCATAATTTATTCTTCTGAATTTTCATTCTTATGCCTCTATATTAATATTTATCATACTTGTTTTTTGTCAATTCACTCCATAAGTATTTATTTTCCTTCATCACCTTTTCATTCTACTTAATAAAGATTTTGATCAATTTTTCTAATTCCAATTACTTGTTTTACAATTTTCCCATCTGCATCAAAATCTAACAATAATGTCTAATTTACATACTTCAGGTGTCTCACTTTATTCACTCCTTATCTATTCGTTTTTTATTAAACTCAAAGAATTCTATTCCTTTACTTCATTGGTCTTTCGCTTGATCTAACTTAGCAGATGTCTGAAATATACATAAAACTTACTTTTTACTCCTTTAAAACAATTTATGCTTGAATTCATTCTCGTTATTATCATGTCTGGTCTTGTGAAAATCATACATATTCAATTATCGAACAAATGAAGCAAAGTTATTGTGTTTAAATGATTTCGGCAATATGATATCTGAGAATTCATTAACCTTCTTAACAATAAAGGCACTTCCTTCTTCATTCCAACTAATTATGTCTTTATTTTAAGGATTCTAATTCTTTTAAATTACTCGATACATCTATTATTTCATAAGTCTTCAACAAAAATGCAGGTATGGAATCTCCATTATCCTTGTTTTATTGAGATCTCACCTTCTTCACTATTTATTACTCAAATAAATCCAATTGCATATATTATAAATAATTTAATCATTAGAATTATTAATAAAGTCATTATTTTTTATTATATGATAAATAAACTAAATCTCTTCCTAATTCTAGCATCTCTATTGCTGCTAACATCCCCTAGAAAATAATAGGAGAGTAAACTTAACAGCAATGACACTCCTCTTGAAATCTTAATAGAATACTGCACTAGTTGATCTTACAAGGAATCATACCAAAAATTAGAAAATGCTCTCTTAAATTAATACCCAAATAAGATTAATGTGATAGGTTAGCCTTATCCAATAGGGGCCTAAAAGCAATTGTTAGTCTAATGTTTGACATACATTCAATATGGGTCCCTAATTGTCTTAGTGCTTTTTGACTCAATATTAAAGAGTAAGCTTTCATTATGGGAGCAATACATTAGTCCAAATAAAATGAGAGTAGGAATTTTAATCTATATTGGATTCAATTTCATAATTTAGAATTTGCAATCCACTGGAGCATTTGAAGTAACAATAAATGGATAACTTATACACTCTAAACTAGCAACTGGGTAGATGCCAACTATCAATTAAATTTCGCACTTTGTTAGTTCTTATATATGAAAACTAAAAATAGAGCATATTTAGAATGACAAATTTTAGGAAAAATATCGATCTTAAAATTTTGAGATATAATTTTTATGCAATATTTAGTTTCTCATTTAATGATAATTATTTTTCTCTATAATTTGATTTGGGCAAAATTACCAGTAACAAATTTCAACCCTTCACAACACTAATAATATATTGTTAGCCTCAATATAAAATATATTGAATTATTTATTATAAATACTATAAGATGAATTAAGTCTTGAAATATGTTCCAAAAATCAAATTTATAGGCAGCAGAGCGAATTTAGTTCCTCATCAACACAGTACATAGACAACTAAGTATGTACACAAAGTTGTGGATTATTAAAGAAGAAAGATGACATAAGAAGAAATTGATATCATAAATTAAGGAGGATTTGCAGATATGAATTGGAAGAAAATCAAGCCAATCAAAATATGATCTTATTATCAATATAAATATATACATATTGATGCTAAATGAATTGCAGATAGAATATCAATAATTAAGAATTACTTCTATAATTCTAATAACCTAAGATGCAGAATATTTTCTGTCTAATAAAACCTATTAATAGTTTTGTTATAACCTTATCCTTTTAATTACATCATGATTTAAGAAATTTATGATTCAAAGCATTGCTTAATTTCCTTCAAAAATACAGCAAAGTTATACTGTGATACTGTAGGGAATGTGTTATTTAGTAAATTACAAAAACATTATTGCATAATCAGAATAATTAATGTAATTAGTATAATTTATATAGTAATATATATTAGATATAAAATGTAATTTATTTTATTATTATAATTAATTTGATCTAGGTATTGCATAAATAAGGGTAGTTCCAAATATCTGTTATTCTATAGCTATTTTGAGTGTTTAATCAAGATCTATTAATAGCAGGTTTCTTATTGCCTAAACTGAATTTCTTACAAGGAATAATAGAGTATTTTTGTTCTTACTTATTATCTCGAATTGTAGTATTTTATTCCTTGTTTGTTTTTTTGAATTTGAAACCAAAAAAGTTTGAGTTTATTTGAGATTATAAGAATTCTCTTTTCTATTCTTTTTATTTAAATTGCTATTTCTTAAATAACTTGATTCTTTTTTGGCAAGAATGATTAGATATTAAGCAATTATATGATATTATTTTAATACAATTTTTTATTGTTTTCGAAATTTCTCAAAAATGAGTAAAGTAAAAAAATGATTAGAATTATATAAAACTGTAAATTATAAATTAATTCATACATTATTATGATCATTATAAATGAGATAATATTTGTTTGATCGAATCTTTACTAATTGGTTTGATACATACAGATTTCATTCCAGCATTCAATAGTTCATTGATATCATCAGTTGCAGAGAATGCTGTGCATCCAATAATAGTTGGTTACACTTATTTTAATTTATTACATTCTTCTATAATGGCTTTTGTACTTTCCAATCCATTCATTATGGGCATTTGATAATCCATAAATATTGCATAAAACAATTTACACTCATCAATATCACATAGATCATACTATTCCCTATATAATTTCAATGCCTCCAATCCATTTTACGCTTTGACAACTTTAAAATGAAGAGACTTCAAAATTGACTCTAATACAAGATTATTAAAAGGTTCATCATCGACAATCATAATGCACTATAAACAATTACACTTATTTTCATCTTTCTTTTAAATTCTGATTTGTTATATACTGTCTTCTGATTCTATTGATAATTCACAATCTTTGATCTAGTTATGAATCAGAAACTTTAAAGTCACTTCTGTTTCTTCTTTCTCAGTTGAACGAATGTATATATTGACTTTTGACTATTTATTTAATTTTTGAAGTAAAAGATTACATGATCTTAAACCTAAGTAGAATCCGTCAGATGATGAAGTGGTAAATTAGTAATAATTGTCATTATTTAAAATTTCTTATATCAATTTGAGTTTCTAAACATTGATTCCAGATCCATTATCTACAATCTTAATATTCAATGTTGTCTCAAATTAAGGGACATTATAATCCTGTAAACTTTGGAAGGATGAATAATGAGACATCTTTTACAAATAGGTGATATAAGGATTATTTTAGTTTGGAATTTAAATTGCAACAGGATGTGTCTCTTTGCAAATTGAAATGGATAATATTGATTGGCTCTGCTTATCACAATGCTTTATGGAATTGCTTATTATGTTGGTTATTATCTATTCAAAGATTTCTGGATCAGTGTATAAGGTATGGTTAGTTTCAGGATGATAATTGTCTACGATTGCTATTTGTTTAGATTTTATTTCATATTTAAAATTATCTATAATTCTGTCCAGAATGTCATTGACTTTAACCAATTGGTATTTAATAATCACTTGATCATCTAAACACAAATTGTAGTTTATAATTGAACTAATGATATTGGATTCTATTTTTGAATTGTAGTAGGCTTGACAAATCAACTCTTTATTTTAATCGTCATTGTTTCTATCCAAATATAGTTTTAACAAACCTTAGATTATATTTTTTCTGGTTCTTAATTCATGCGATAATGATTTAATTAATTTGCTTTTGAGAATTGTTCTTTCAGAGAGTTTAGTTTTCTCAATTATTGCCGATATATCTGATAGACAAACCAAAAGACATTTCTTATCGTTATATATTATATTGTTGTGAAATCTCACATCATAGACTTCCTTGTCATTTAGTATAAACTGATAATTCACATTTTGAGTAGTTACACCATCTTAGAGTTTGATAATTTAAATGGTTTCAAATAAATTTAATCTTTCGGAATCGATTACATTAAATACTTATTAATTACCATAGGACTAAAATTAGGTTAGCATCCTCTTTGTAGAAGTGATATCCAATTCATCTTTTTGAGAATTCAGATACTATTTAAACATGTCATTGTAGATGACGAATTCCAGAGTAGATAAATTGATTAGAAATATCGGCTATGGCAATGAGCTAATTATTTTTTTAGGAATTATTTAATTGCAAATCAGTTTTCTGAATTTCTCCTCTTCTTGCACTGCGTAAATTATAAATATGAGTATAACTATACAGAAATCATAAAAGGCATGCTCCCAAACTGAAAGAAAGTAACAAATCGCGACATAATGAAATAGAAAGATTATTACCTTACACATGAAAAGAGGTTGTGTACTAATTAAAGCAATCATCCACATAATCTTAGTCAAAAAATGTATTAAAAAGTGTTAATTGAATTAGACAAATTGATTATCATTTAAAATTTTCTCTGAAATTCCAATATAAATGCCTTAAAAGAAATTTAAAAGAATGATTACTACAAATTTTCTTCCCTTACTCAGTCTATTTAAACAGCATCTATCAATAATATTTATAATTGATGATATTCCAATATCAACCAGCAAAGCTTTGTAATGATTATTTGATCCAAATAAAAAGAAATTGACCAATAATTGTATCAAAGCCAAAAATATTTGAAGACGACATAAGTTTATAAAGTAAGGCCATTTTGTTTTAAGCAATTCCTTTTTTTTATACTTCAAAACTGAAATTTTAGCTTAATTTATCAATGTATATTCCCAAATATATGTCTTAAAAGCATTAATAATATGCATTAGTATTATAAAAAATTTAATATATTAGATCATAATCCAAAGCTCAATGATTTTCATAACTTTATTAGAGACATAAATTATTCTTCAAAGATCTTAGCTGTCCACTCTTGCAAAGCAATAAGAGTTTATAAAAAATATTTAGTTTTTATTTTTTTATTAATGGATACATCTAACATGTAAACAACATCTTAAATCTAATAGACCAGCAGCTGGATCCAGACCCACCAAGCAGACCTTCGATCAAGCTCCTATTACAAGATAAGTGTAAACTATTCCTTAATCTCAAGAATCTAAAATAAATCTGATATTTTTGGAGTCAATTCTCCTGCTCCTGTTCAATAACCATCAAGACAGAGCGCTCGACCAAAAACAGATATATTTAGTACTGAAACCCAAGCAACTAAGCAATAAGAAGTAAAAGATTATCATACCAGAAGGTTCGACAAAATAAAACCTTTCAATCTCAAATTTTCTCATCAGAACCAATTGAAAATGCCCCTCCCCCTCCGAGAAACACATAAACAAATGAAACCTCAAAATAGGAAGTTAAAAGATACTAGAAAAAGAACAATGATAATAGATAAGTTGATCATGGAAAAGAATTCCTATTTGGTAAAAGTGGTAAATGAAATTTAATATAATGAGACTTTGACGAATACAAATCATTAAAGAGAGCAGTCACATTAAACGAATTCAAGCCAAAACTTGCTTATGATCCAAATAACAGGAGAAATAAAGAACTTTATGGAAATGAAATAGCTAGAGAACATCTTCCAACCAAAGAGGTTAATCTAGAAGTTTCTAGTCCTTAAAAGCCTAAAAAGTCACAATAACAACAGTAGGATCAGAATCCAAGTAATAGAAAACTAATGGAAAATTAATCGAGTGTTTTTGGTGATAGTGCAAGGTAAGTGTTAATGAAATTTGTTTAGCAAACCAATTTAAGGCTAAAAGGCAGAAAAACTAACAGCTTCAACTCAAAAATGGAGTACTGTAGGAGGACAGAGTAACAATCAAGTAAAGGACTTTGATCCAGAAACATATGCGAAAAATAGAAGGGAGGCTGAATTGCAATCCAGTGTGTTTGGTGAATAGTCAGTTAAAGTTTAGCCTGTCTCAATTTCAGAATCAAAAGAGGAAACTGAAACCCTATAATGTATGATTATTCTATGAATTTTAGCTTAATCACAAGAGTAATCATAAAAATAGTAAAAGCCAAAGGAGAGATTGATTCCCAATAATTAAACATGGTAATAGACTGACTCTGTAAAGAACAAGAGGGACTTTGATCCAACACAATCTCAAGCAAATAATGAAATAGATCCATCATAAAAGAAAATGGATATTCTTAAATCATCTATGGACACACACTAATTTGAAGCATAATAAATTCCAACAAATTAAAAAATATCCAATAAAAGTCTTAAAGTAAGAATTGAATTTAATCAATCTTAGTAAAAGAAAGACATAATTTAAAGAGAGGAAAAAATAACTAAAGAAAAATCAACAAAAACACAAAGCAAAAAAAAGTGAAATCCCTATAAAATAAGAGATATTTTAATTTTATAAAATATGAACGCTAAATTCATTAATTCTTATTTGGATTTACTTGTTTTTGATATGATTCCAAATGAGAATTTTGATATTTCAAAAATTCTATCTCTGTCTTTCGCCTTTGTTCATTGGCATCCTTTTTCTCCTTAATTGACCTTTCAAGGGCTTCTTTCTTGTTTGTCAAAAATTGTTTCTAATATAAGATCACAAAAATGAAATACTTTTAGTTCTAATTCTTGTTTGGTTTCGTTCAATTTAGTAATTTATTATTCTAATTTATTAAGTCCATCCTCAGCATTCAATTGCTTTTGAAGACTAAAAGGCATAGATCCCTCATACAAGGTTTTATACGCTACAATAGTCTTATTTAGATCGTCTCTAACTCTTGCCAATATGACTCCTTGAGGAATAGCTTAAGTAAATACCTCTTTCTTGGCAATCGATAGTGACTTGTCTGATAATTTCATCAAAACATTAACCAAACAATTCTTCTCTGATTGGACAAAGGGGATACTCTCGAGCCTACCTAGAAACGAGTCGTTCATCTAGAAGTTTTTGCAGATTGGTGATGTCATCCCTTGAGGGAGGGACAATTGAAACTGTTTGCATTAATCGTCTTCCATCGATTTCCCAGTCTCTTGGTTTAATTAGGGAGTTTAGTAGTTCCTAGGATAGAATTAATGGGGTTACATCAATGGTAGGTTTTGATTCTAAGGTGGGTACAGGCAATGATTGTTTTTTTCTGATTTGTTGTAGAGTGGCTTCTTATTAATTGGAATATTGGATGAGGGATTCGGATGGAGTTTTCTTATTTTCTTCTGCTTTGTTTTCTCTTTTGGATTTGAATAGAGAATTGAGTTGCTGCAATTTGAAGATGTTCTCAGACATTAATAAATAAAATAATAATGATCAATTTTATTAGTATGGCTATTACATAAATATCATATAGTATTACAAACTCTCTTGGATTCGAGAGTAGTAATAATAATTAAATTTAATTTAAAAAGTGATGTCTGAACTCTAAGTATAAGAATGTATATAATAAGATCATATTTAATGTGGGCAAGAATGAACAAGGGAATCCAAATCAAAATTACAAGAAGATACTGAAGAAGTACAAGGGATAATATAAGGTGAGTTCTGAATTTTTGAATTATCTAGTTTGGATTACATAAGGATGATTTAGTGTATGAAAAATTAAGGAGTGCAAATTTAGTAATTTTAGGAGGTTCCAGAGCTCCATTTACAGAGAAAGGTTAGATGTTTGATTGATATGATTAGAAATAAAGTGTCTTGAGGAATATCTCAATAATGGAGGAAACATATTGATCATGTTTTCTGAAGGCGGAGAGAACAAATCCACAAGCAATTTAAATGCATTAATAGAAAAGTATGGAATATATGCGAATAACGACTGCGTGGTCAGAACATGCTTTTTTAAATATTTTCATCCCAAAGAAGCCTATATATAGTAGGGAGTGATAAATCAAGAGGTAATCGATTCACTCATTAAATTAATAGATAGTTAGAGTTATCAATGGAGATCAAAAGGAAACACGAAAAACCAAGGGTTCCACTCCTTATTTGTAGGGAGTCATTGAACTAGAGGAATCAGAGATCAACAATAATGGAGGGTTGGATTTCGTGTATCCCAATGGAGCCACTTTGGTTGTGAAGGACAAAGCGTTCGCAGTTCTTTCGACTGGACCTATGTCTTATCCGTGTGAAAGACCCATAATGGCCATCAATTAAGAGAAAGGGAAGTTGGTGGTTGTAGGTTCTACGGACATGTTTAATGACGAATACTTTGAGAAGGATGACAATCAGAAGATTTTCGATTTTCTGCTTAAATTTTATTTTAGTAAAGATGTCGAATTTGACAAAAAGGCTCCATTCAATGAGTCAGAAAATAAGAATGCTCCAGACATTGCAGAATTGTCAGAGAAGCTTAAGAGTTGTCTATAAGAGAGTGAGGAATTGCCTAAGGATGTGACTACCTTGTTTGATTCCAGTCTATTTAAATTTGATCTAGATATGATTCCTGATGCTGTTAAATTATATGAAACTCTTTGTAATCCACATTTATGTATGTCAATTAGCTGTCAAACATGAACCCTTAACTCTGATTGTACCCCAATTTGAAACTCCTTTGTTGGGATTATAGCCTGCCTTGTTTCCTCCTATCCCCAGAGAGTTGCCTCCTCCTCCTCTCGAATTATTTGATTTGGATGAAGAGTTTGCATCCGAGAAGTGATCTTCCCATCTTATCATAATTAGAGTGAGATTAGCCTAATTGACAAACAAATGCAGCAACGACGATTTAGAATACTATGTTAAGGAAGCAGGGGACATCATTGGGATCACAGACAAACTCAAGAATAGACAGAAGGCACAGTCAGTCATTCACTATGTTCTAGAGAATTTGATCAATTTTAAAAAACTAAATTAGGGTTGAGATTTATTAATAAATATACAAATATGTTTAATACATTGATTCTAATAATCAATGCTATTTTAATAATCATTCTATTTTGTCCTGTATGGATAAAGTGGTTGGCTCGGTTCCATAAGAAAGTCCTTGCTCTCCAATATTCATACATACCCTTTTCGCTTTACAATATGGAATTAAGATATTAATACAAGAAACATATAATAGTTGTTGTAAATATAGCACGTATACAAATTTCAAAAGTCCCCAATCAGTGGAGATTTAATGTCAATATCGCTGATTTGAACTTAAGGTTCATTCCCAACCAACCTATCAAAATCGGCTTTTAATTTGAGGAATAATTGTATATGGAAAGACTCAAATCCAAATTCCTCCCCTACACTCAACAAAAAATTCAACATCGTAAAACCAAACAAATCCCATTCCTATCCTTGCTTTTGGAATCTTCAGCCATCAATTGTCTTTTCCTAACCCTCTCTCGCCTCGACATCCATTTCAATGCAATCAATGTCACCCTGCCAAAACTCAATTCCAAAGAGAAGGATTTGCCAGATATGACCTTGAGATTGGGCTAGACATCAGTATCTTTGCACCTAAATCAAAACGGTCATCTTCAATGGAAACTCAATAGCGAAGGAGCCAACATGCATCAATGTTTCACAATTAATACTATTAATTTAAATGCAATCACTAAACCTGGACTTTTGGTAGATCTATTAGAAGAACACAGCTACATAGATGTCAACATCCAGGAGGTCCGTTGGTTTTGTAAAAGTGAATATTTCTACACTATGGACGTCTTAGCCAATGAATTTTGGACCAGACCAGATATTAATAAAATTCTTAAACGACAATTCAATGAAAGAGGATTCATGTTTTTAGGAAAACCCAGAGAAATGAATCTTAATTTCGCCTCCTTCAAGATTGAATTCAGTATCTTCAATGATTCCGATAATGAGAAAAAGAATTCCTTCAACATCCTAACCTAAAAGTTTTTTAAGTATACTCAAAACAAACTTGTGTTTGAATGGCAACATTTGAAATATTATGGGTAATTTGATATCGTCGATACAGATTAAACCAAAAAAGGCATTATCTAATGTAAACAGTTTACTGTGAATACTTTACAAGAAGATATTAAATTCTAAGATATTTCTTGGAACCTTGAATCCATATCCAGCAATACTGTGCATTCTAATGATCACACAAAACATTTCATCAGATTTGGAGATCTTACCATTAATTTATCTCCTTAACTGATTAAATTTTTTACTCTTATTTAAACTGAATTGGCATCAGAATTCAGAGTTGCATTTGTAGAAAACTATGAATAAAGCAAATATTTTAAAAAATACAATCGTATAGCTAAGGAGATGTGCTGTGAATTTCTGAATATTGATCTCAACAGTGCATTAAGTACTTCTTTTGATTTTTTAATTACTAATAAATTTTAAATTAATTTAATCTTTGATGGTGCAATTATTAATTCAATCACTATTAATAAATTTCATTATATTTCAAATGAAGGAGATGTTAATGAATCTTAAATTTCATTTGACAATTGCCAGATTACAAGCAATATTAGCTAAACAGATGGATTAATCAAAGATTTCAAAATGCAAAATAATGCTCAAATAGTGAATTACACCTTCAATACATTTCAATTATTGGTAGAGTAAATCAACATTGAAAAGATATTAAGAATTTATTAGCTTTAGAAAATATTCAGATAATAATTGTCCAAATTTACTTCATTCAAATTGACACCTTTAGAAAAAAAGAAATCAAAAGCCAATAAACCAGTAATCAAAGATAAAATCGTCAATTGCAAAGAAATTAAACTCAAATATCTGGCTAAACCCTTCTTGGCTGAAGTGAATCTTCTGGAAATCAATACCAAAGATCCTAATAATATTGATTTAAATTAATTCTCAATTAAATTTCAGGAATAATCCCTATTTGTAATTGATCAAATTCAAACCAAAAGTAGTGCTGAATTGATGTAAATTAATATTAAGTCTGCCATCCTCAATTTTGAAGAGGAAGTTAGAGATATTAATGTATTCCTATAAGGTATTAAATAAATGAACACTATTGTGTCTAGAAAGTAGATCTTTGACATTAATCAAGAAGAGATTGACACGTCCTAATTGAAGAAGAGAAGATCCTCTCATGATGGGGTTCTTAAAAAAATACCTAACGATTAAGATGTCACCACAAAGGTTAGATCGATCTTTGGAAAAAACACTAATCTTAGTATCATAAATTTTGAAGTCATTATTAAAGACACAAAACTAAATGATGCGATGTGTAGATACAGAAGATTTTAAGAGAAGTTTGAAACAATCAAAAGCAGACAGAATGAAAGTAGAGTATTGGAAGGGTTAAAAACATAATAATCATATCCATTATTGCATTTGAAATTCTAGAATATCAATCTAAAATTAAAGAAATAAAATCTGACTGTCAATCAAGTACTTGATAAGATTACGAAATTAGATTCTCATCCAACTTAATTAGATGAGTCTTTCTTTGAGTACTTTGAGTTGGCCAATTGTGAGATTTCATTGGAATAAATTAGAATATCTCTAAGGGATTATAAGTTAAATATCCTCGATATAAGAGGTATCAAATTAAACACATTTCTATGTATTTCAAGATTGAACACCTAAAATATATAGATTGGGTTTAGAGTGTTTTATGATTTAAATTTGGAGACCAAATAATTATAAATAGCAGCAGGATTGAATTTAGTATTTGCTTTCCGAGAAATCTCCAATAGAATTAATCAAATTATGGGTCAAAGTGTAAATTAATAGCAAAATAAGATAGTAATAAAGGAGTAATTGACATTTTGGGATAGATTCAGATTAAAATTCCATGGGAAATTGCACTTTCAACTTGATCATTTAATTTTGTAAATCACAACAGACATATTGCCTTATTCAGTTGATTGCATTAAGTTTTCATCGAAGTTATTAAACGTTGAATTTTTAAATTGGACCTTAAAAGGCTAAGCTGATAAACTTAAATTGGGTAGAATTCCAAAAATCTAAAAAGTACTTTACATTCCAAGAATCTAGATGATTACTGAATTCAACTGGTTTGCTCAAAAAGATCAATACGATCATTACTTTTATATGAGAAAACCTTACTTTAATTAAATAAATAGTAGCTTAAATGATTTTATAAGTCAATAATTGCAAATCGAAGTTAAAGTCGATTGCATTCAATATGAACATTATAAGGAATCTAATTTTAGAGATCAACAAAAGCATTGTTTCTTTATCCATTATTAGAACTAGTTTATGAGATGGTTGAAGAATAGACCCATTTTGAGACATGATGTATTGAGAATGTTTTCAGTGTAAATTAATAAATTGCCACAAGTGATGGACAATCAAATGTACGAGATGGAATGGAACATGTATGCTGATTATAAGACTTTGGTTAATTATACATACATAAAATTGATGGAATCCTTGATGATTAAATAGTCATTATTTTAACATACAAAGAAGGTTAACATTAGAGTCTATTCAAATAAATTTAGAATGTTCTTTACAAACTCAGAAAAACCAGTATAACACAATGAGACATTTCTGAAATATAAAGATGTCCCATTTATTGGATTTTAAGCCTTACTTCAATCTTTGAAGGTCAATGTCCAATTAGAACCTAATAGAATTGATAACGAATGGAGATTCGAAGTCCAATCTATCGCAGCAAGATGTGACCAATTGGTATCTTCTATGTTTGATGGAAAACAAATGTTGGACATGGAATAGCCAGAACCTTTGGGTTAACAATAATAGTTTGTAAACTTCTTTGACATTCAACCAGTAGACTACTATTAGAGTGAATTAAATCAATCATAGAACTTGTAAAACATGACTTTCCATGAATTGAAGAAATTGAAGAAGTTCCTTAAACAACCCTTCATCATTAATACTACACTTACTCCACAATATCACTTATTTAATTTATAAACTGATGAGTCATACTTGGAGGATTCACTCGAAGATGTTAAAGTCAGAGGCAGAGCATCAGGCATTCAAATAAAACCATAACCAAAAAATGAATTTAATGCTTTCGACATCTTCTTAAAAGCAAAATCATTAGAGTATAAATAGAACTAGAAAATAGATTTGTTGGATGAAGATGAGGAGAACAATACTAATACTGTTATGACCAAGAAAATAATAAAGAATTTCATTTCTGCTTTGGATAGTCAGTTTCTATTTACATTTTACTTATAAGACATCTGGGGTAATGTGTTTGAGAGTCTTGAAATACCTTAGAATAAAGAGGCTAAATAAAACTTTGATATGCAATTAGATTAATCCAAACCCAAATCCTATAGTAGAGAAGAATTAATATTGATGGTTTCATTGGTCAATCCTCAATTCAATTTCTAATATCACAATGCTAATTGTCAAATGATCCTAACCTCACCCAAAGATTGCTAGATTATAATGTCAGAGTATATTCTACCATTTGATAGCCAAGAAATCGATAAAAAACTAGTTACCAAATTGATATTCAATGGATTAGATTGTCAAGTATTACAAAAGCATTTAGATGCCAAGTAGACTGTAAGATTCACTAGTCAAGATTATGAAAAGATTATTAAATGTGATTATGCTCTATTTTAGATCTAAAGTTATCAGTTAAGAGAAAATACCAGAGATTTCACAGAAATATCCTCATCAAATAATAAGAAACACAATCCTAATTATTGGAATTAAGAATTAAGGAGACCTATAGTATAAGTAAAGGTTGGATAACTCAATGCAACAATGAAGAAATATTAATTAGATCAATTCTTAGATATGGTAACTTTTATGGAAATGGCAGTGACTACAAAAAATGAATTTGAAAACAAAGAGAGATTCTGTAGAAATAAATTAAAAGAATTGAATTAGTATGGCTTAAAATAACTTGATCAAATGATTAAGAAGAAAATCTCAGAAAATCTAGAACATTATGGGGCTGAAAAATCAAAACTAGATTATGCCATTAAGGAAACAAGTCTATCATTATTGGATGATCAAGAAATCAGCTTTATTTTATTCAATATCAGATAAATTAGAATCATTGAAACTGTTTTTGAGAATGATAGTCACAAAATTGATATTCTACTCTAGGATTTAGATGCAATTAATAAAATTGAGTAAGATCCTGATTACAAAATGGTATTAAGTTAAGAGATCAAAGAATCCAAACAGTAACCCTTTTTCAGAATGATCAAAAAGTTTTATCCTCTTCAGATATATTAATAAAAATGGTTTATAATTGATTAACATGACATTAAGATGAATCCCTTAACAATCATTTTGACCGATGAATTGTATGATCAGTTTTATAATTATTTCTTCGGAGATGAATCTACACAAAGAAATAATAGATTAAGCATTGAAAAGAAGGAATAAATGAAATGTATCTCTTATATTATTATATATTAGCTGCAATGGAGAATATATCTAAATAAATCCCAGATTATTTCAATTCTTTATAAGTAAGCGAACTTAAATTAGTGGCCACATTCAAACACCCATCCAAAATTAAGAGATTTAAAGATGTCACTATATAATTAGAACCCTATAAATCACCTAAATAGTTCACCACCACAAAAGATGTATAAATTATATCTAAACCTTAGCAATTTGATGAATTTGCCGCTTTTGTTCTTAAGCAAATTTCAACATAGATATTTTCGATTATTGGGCAAAAGCTTTTTGGATGAAAAATATATTAAAATTATATAATTTATTATTTCTATCTAAATAAAAAAAATTTAAATATTCTAATATGATGAAGGAAGGCGAATTTATCAAGAAATTTTTAATAATTAAAAAAGCAGCACTCTTATTAAGAGTAGAAATATAAGTGAGCATTGCTCTCTATAATTTATATTAAAATTTTTATATTAATTTGACTCTTTTAAAATTACAAAATTAAGAACTTACTATTTTAAATGAATATTATTATATCAAATAAATAACATCAGGAAATTTATTCTTCAATCTCTTCCATCTGATTTTCTTTCGAAGTTGTTAGAGGCCATTAGAATTTGAAATCGGCTTTATTGGATTTTTATTACTAAACAAGTGATTTTTGAAAACCTTAGATTTATGAAATTTGCTATTTATAATAATTTTAATTTACATGATAAGTGTATGACTTTTAAGTTTATTATAATGAAGTTTCGAAATGCTATCTTGTAATTTGAGGAAAAGAATCTAATTATTAGTAATTTTTGGATGTGCCTTTTGCGTTTTCTTATGCATCAATCATCTAAATCTAAACTAATATATTACTTCTTTCAAAGCAGCCTTTTTAGCATTTTAACAAATTTATTTTATATCATAACATGAGAAACCATCAGTAAATTAAGCAAGGGAATTTAAATCCACATCTTAAGAAATTGGAGTATTTTTTAAATTAATTTTGAATTCAATTATCCTTGCTTGAAATTCTGGTAATCCAACATAGATAAAATAATTGAATCTCTCTTTTAATCTAATATCATCTTAGATGTCTGGCTTATTGGATATTCCTATAAAGAATAGATTGTCTTCATTAAGGACATTATCCAATTCACTAATGAATAGCTAATTAAGCTGAGCATCTTGTATATCATCAGAACTCTATTTTCTGAAAAATAAGTCGAATTAATCAAATAATAAAATGCAAGGTTATTATTGTTTTGCTGCACTAAATATCTCCTTTAAATATTGACTTGACAAAGGTCTCTTAATTTATATGAAATTCATAGAATTTTCACCTGCCAAAGCTTTAGCTAGAGACTTCTTACGACATCCGGAAGGACCATATAGTATAATGTTTTTGGATAATTGCAACCCAAATTATTTCAAACCTTTTGAATAGTTTTGTTTCAAAGCAACTATTTCTTGAAGCTACTTTTTAATGTCCTATAGATCTCCAATATCTTTCCATCTCAAATTAGGTACTTCAATAGAATACTTATTTAAATCATTGAGTTTCATTGTTCTTAATGCACTGATGAAATTTTCATTTGTAACCGTAATGATTTCTTAGGTCATATCATCCAATTATTGATTATCTATATTTAGATAATCCATTTTATCTTTTAAGCACTATAAAACACTTTATTTACAAAGTGCAGCAATATCCCCACCAACAAACCCTATAGTAGCTTTGGCAATATATGCTAAATCAATATCTTAAGCCAATTTCATTTTTTTAGTGTGTATTTTTAAGATCTCCATTCTTTCCTCTTCATTCGGTACTCCAAGTTCTATTTCTTTATCGAATCTATCAAACCTCTTTAATGCTGGATCAATGCAATCAGGTTGATTTGTTTCCCCGATAACAATTAACTTTTCAACTCCTTATAAGTGATCCATTATCGTTACTAATTAAGACAGCAGTCTTCTATCCATCTAAGATTTACCCTCACCTTTTTTTATAGCTATACAATCAATATCTTGTATGAGTATAATAGCAGGTGTATTTGTCTCTGCAAGTTCAAATACCTTTTTAACTATATTCTCTGCCTCCTCTTGTTTTCTACTTACTAGTTCAGATCCATTGAGAAAATATATGTTTGCACCTGTTTCAATAGCCAAAGCTTTGACAATTAATGTCTTTCCAGATCCAGATGCTCCAGATATCAATAATCCATTAATAGTTTATAATCCTGATGCTTTTAAAATTGAAGGATTCCTTAACTATAATTCAACAATTGTTTTGATTATTGTTAATTGCTTATTCATTCCCCCAATATTTGCATAACCATCTTTGACTTAATTTTCATCACTTTAATTATCAAATTGTTCTTTATTTTCAATTTCTCTTTTGACTGTTCCTCCTTCAGTGTACAAAATAGTAATAGGTCCAACCACTCCCATATCTTCTGGTTCTGTTGCAATAATTTTGAACTCTATTTCCTTAGCCATCTTGACAACAAAACAATCCCCTTTTGAAACAGGTCGATAAGCATCCAAAAAATATGGAATTAAATAATTCTAAGTGAGGTTTTTCTCATTTGTTCCTGAAATTGAATCTTGGAATGGTAGTATGTGAACTTTAGTTAATTAAGGCAGCTAAAGTTGATAATTCATAAGATACAGATGCTGTTGGTTAAATTGTAATAAAATCACCAATTTAAATCCCTAAGTTCTTTCTAATAACTGAATTCATATGGACTGATTCTTTATCCTATCGGTTTGAAATTGCTATTGCTACTGTTTTCTTATTGTTTTTCCCTTCCAATAAAACCATATCTCCTTTAAATAATTTCAATTCATTCAACTTATCTTGACACAATTAAACAACAGAATTATCATCCGCTGTAGATTCACATACCATCAGTCTATTATTCATTTTTGCTGGAATTTTATTTTTTGGAGGATGCCTAAGCAACATATTTATATAATTGAAATAGTTATAAATAAACTATTGAATTTAGCATTATATAATTTTTAGAAATACCCTTTATCTTATTTTAGACTCAATATAATAGATTAAACATCATCATGATATCTACATATAAAATTAAAGTTAAATTTATTAGTATGACTTTGACTGTTTATTAACAATTAATAGTTAAAAGACACAATGCTTTATTATTTGTCTATAGAATAATTTTTTGACCCTTGATATCAATATAATAATATAATTGTCAATATATAAGTTGATTCATTCACCATTGTTACAGAAACAAAAAAAATTTGTTTTTTTGCTACTTTTTTTTTATTATTCTATCATAGGAATACGTTTCTCTTTATTCAATGAATTACAATAAGATGAACGAGGTTCAATTCTTTATGGAGGAGTGACTTATCTTAATAAAAAAGTAACTTTAAGAGAAAATTTAGTTTGATCACAATCTTTTAGTTGAAGTTCATTTCTAAATGCTACAAATAACATTAAATAATACATGGAAAATCTTCATTTGGTTTGCCTTGTTTCTTTTTAGGCAAATATAGTTTAGTTTATTCAATATCAATCTTTGGTAAATTCATATTCTTTAACTTCAAAATTGCCCAATTACAAATATCACCAAGACTCAAGATTTCACTGAAGCCTTGGGAAAATTCATAAGTTTAATCATTTTCTTAATCGTACCAATATATAGTAATTACTTTTTCTGTAGCACAATCGATAAAACTTTTTGAGTTTTTCCTTAACTTAAGTAAACTAACTTTCTATTCAGGACTGCGATCTATATAACTAAAATTTCTACTATATGGTTTTATTGATTTCATCTTAATTGTAAAATCAATTGATTCATCGATTTAATCTAACATTATATAAAAATTTTATCATAAATACAAAATTAATTTCATTATGATAAAATCAATTATTTATGGTTTTTTTAAGAATGTATTTTGTTTAAATTGCAATGGAAGTTTCACGGTATTGAGAAATAATATTATTATTTATAACAGCATAGAATCATTAGGATATATGGTATAATTCCTACCTCTATAATAAAATAATACATTAATTATTTATCCTTATATCATAAAATATATTTATCTAAAAATTTTATCAGTAATTTGGTTTCTTTTTTGTGAATAAAAAGGTATAAATCTATTACATAACAAGAATCTAATGCTAGTATTTTAATTTAGAGAAGTTATAAATATGTTCTTTATAATTAGCAGAATAACAAAATTCCCCCTTCTAATTAGCATAAATCAATGATAAATAAACCTACAGATTTAAGCAAAGAATTAGCTTAAATTAAAAATACTCATTCATATAAATTAGGTAGAAGAATGATACTTTGATATTTGATGATGGATACTCTAATCATAATTTTATCAGAAATTCTGAGTAAATTGAAGAAATCATGAAAGAAAAAGATAATGAAAAAATAAATAAGTTGACCTCTCAAATTAATATCAGACGATAATAGAAGGTATGTAATATTTTTAAACAAATCTTATTTAATTCTCCAAAAGAACCTTTTATGATATCTTCAATACATTGGTGACTCAAAAATATTAATAGATTTCAAAGAGAAGATAGCCTACATTAATTAAATAACTACTGATGATAATGAAATAATATTAATAATATTTTTAAAATTGAATAAAAGGAGATACATGATTGGAAACATCTAAAATGAATATATTAATTGGTTCAATAATATGTTTATAAAATAAATTTTTAATGAATTAATAATTAAATAATGTATATATATATATAAATCATAACTATAATTTTCAATCGACTTGATCTACTGTTGGTTTGAATTCTGATCCAGGTCCTCTATTCATATTAGGCATAGATGCTCCAGCTCCAGCAGCAGCTCCAGTTGAGGCATACACTCTTTGCATGATTGGATGGAATTTAGATTCAAGTTCTTTCAATTTGTCTTTATAGACATCAGCCTCTTCATTTTAATGCGAATCCAACCATTTTTGAGTTTGTTCAACTAAGTCAGATAATTATCTCTTCTCATCAGAGGTGAATTTATCCTTAAATTGCTCATCATTCATGGTATTCTTCATATGATAGGCAGTGGACTCTAAGTTATTTTTGGCTTCAATTCTTTATTTGATTTTGTCATCATCAGCCTTATACTTTTCAGCCTCATTAACTAATCTGTCAATATCCTATTTGGAGAGTCTTCCCTTATCATTAGTAATGGGGATCTTGTTATTTTTCTTAGATGCCTTGTCTTCAGCAAGAATGTTCATGATACCATTTTCATCAATATCAAAGGTGACTTCAATTTAAGGGACACCTCTAGGAGCAGGAGCAATACCATCTAATTAGAATTGTCCTAAGTTATGGCAATCTTTGGTCATTTATCTTTCACCTTCAAAGACTTAAATCAAGACTCCTGGTTGATTATCAGCATAAGTAGTAAATACTTGACTCTTCTTAGTTGGAATTGTTGTATTTCTTGGAATCAATACACTCATAACACCTCCAGCAGTTTCAATACCCAAAGATAATGGTGTGACATCCAATAATACCAGGTTTTCACATTTTTGTGATCCAGTTCCAGTTAAGATTGCTGCTTATACTGCTGCTCCATATGCAACTGCTTCATCTGGATTAATTGACTTATTCAACTCTTTGCCATTAAAGTAGTCCTTCAATAATTCTTAGACCTTGGGAATTCTAGTTGATCCTCCAACCAAAACTACTTCATGGATTTGACTCTTTGACATTCCACTATCTTTGAGCACTTATTCAACTGGTGGAATGCATTTCTTAAATTAATCCAAACATAATTCTTCAAATTTAGCTCTTGTGATTGAGCAATTGAAATCTTCATTTTCAGCCAAAGCATCTAATTCAATAGTAGTTTAGTTGGCAGATGATAAAATTCTCTTAGCTCTTTCACATTAGGTTCTCAATCTTCTCAAAGCTCTGGCATTTGTTCTCATATCTATTCCCTTTTTCTTCTAGAATTCAGCACAGCAATACTCAACCAAACGATTATCGAAATCTTCTCCTCCTAAATGAGTATCACCAGAAGTAGCTTTAACTTCAAAAATTCCCTCATCAATAGTGAGTAAACTGACATCAAAAGTACCACCTCCAAGATCAAAGATTAAGACATTCTTCTCTCCTTTTGTCTTCTAATCTAATCCATAAGCTATTGACGCTGCTGTTGGCTCATTGATTATTCTCAACACATTTAATCCGCAAATTAAACCAGCATCTTTAGTAGCCTATCTTTATGAGTCATTGAAATATGCTGGTACTGTAATAACTGCATTCTTAACTGATTTTCCAAGATATGCTTCTGCAATCTCCTTCATTTTTGTAAGAACCATTGAGGAAATTTCTTCTGGATGGAATTTCTTAGTTTCTCCCTTGAACTTAACAACGATCAATGGTTTATCATCTACACCAGCTTCTACCTTAAATGGCCATAATTTAATATCCTTCTAAACTGTTGGATCATTGAACTTTCTTCCAATAAGTCTCTTTGCATCAAATACTGTATTTTAAGGATTTCTGGCCACTTGATTCTTTGCAGCATCACCAATCAATCTTTCATTCTCTGTAAAGGCTACATATGAAGGAGTTGTTCTATTTCCTTGATCATTTGCTATGATTTCCACTTTATCATTGATAAATACACCAACACATGAGTATGTTGTTCCTAAATCTATTCCTATTGCTGTTTCGTTTGATTTTGACATTGTTTTTAAAAGCTTGCTTGTTTTTTATTAATTAAATCAATGATTCTACTCTATCGCAAGTTTTAAAGGACCTAACTTGCAAATTTCTGGAATTTATTAATTCTCGAAAACAGAATTTTCCAGAATTAAGAAAAATTAATTTTCCATATTATTTAACCAATATATATTAATATAATTATAAATTTAATTTATACTATTCTATTAAATCAGCAATATTATATCTATCAATATGAAATACTTAAATAGAATTATCTAATTTCACTTAATCTAATGACTGATGTTTATTTAAGACTTTAGATAAAATTAAGACGATTCCTTCACACAGGTTCAATATTTTATTCAAAGACTTAAGTCATCTAGGTTGAAGAGTAGAAAATTATACTCCAATAATTGCAAAAGAAACGATTCTCTATTAAGTGTGTAATTTTATATATATTTTTATTAATATTAAATTTTTATATGAGTGATCAGGAATTCGATCCAAGTGATTTTGCCTTTCTTTATTTCGCAGTATCTATTATAATTGTTGCCATGATACCATTGACTTATAACCTTATCAAACAACCCTTTCAATCCATGAAATTGAACCCTAAATACAAGAAAGCTCCAGCCACCGCAAAAAAGGCTGTTGAAATTGATATTCAAAGGAATTTGTTCTATAAAAAGAAAGGATTCTATTGGAAATTGTTCTTTTGGATCTTATTAGTGATGATCTTCATAAACACGTATTAATAATTACCTGATCCAGAATTGATGAAGGGATTTGATCCCTATGAAGTTTTGGGTGTTAAATCATACACCCCCGTTGATTAAATTAAAAAAGCTTATAGATAATTAGCAAGAGAATATCATCCAGACAAACATCCTGATGAAACTCAAAAGTACTCAAAATTATTTGATACAATTACAAAAGCTTATCAATGTCTCACCGATCCAAGGAAGATAGCCAATTGCAAAAAGTATGGTAATCCTGATGGTTTTACAGGATTCCAAATTGGAATTGCTTTACCTGAATTTGCAGTGTCAAAGGAAAATCAAGGATTTTTGTTAGCTGGATTATTTTTCATTTTTATCTTGATAATCCTGATAACATTTTGCACAGCGTTTTCTGGATTTGGTAAATATGATGTAAATGGAATTTTGATGTCAAATAGACAGTATTTAGCTGAAAGAATCACCGCAGGCAAAAATAAAACATATGAGGAATGTTTAGAAACCATTTCAAATTGCCAAGAGATTGATGGTAAAGAATTCATCAACACAATTCAATGTGAATATGCCCCAGGAATCTTATATATGAGTATAGAGATATGTTTACAGATCCTTACTCAATTATGGGCACATTATGAATTAAAGTAAATCAGAGATGTTACTGATCAGATTGTTGCTCAAATTGAATCCATACCTAAAATCATCTAGGTATTTTTTAGTTTATATTTATTTTTTAGCATAATTCCAATTTAATATCATCCAGGAAAACCACAATTAGATGCCAAAATAAAAACTGCAGAGGATACTCTTACTGAGGATGATTATAGAAATACTGATTTGTTTGATGTTAATTGTCATATTAGCGGATTGATAGATTAATTTATTTAAAGTCAAACATTTCCAGTTTTGAAATAGAATTAATGGAATATATTGTTGTTTTATAATAATATGATTATTGGATCAAGATAAATTAAAGAGGATTAAGAAAGTAAGACAGTTGTCTTTCGCGTTATTCCAGCTTAGTTTGAATAGAAAAATATTACTGAATTTGAATTCAAAGTAGTTGCCTATGCTGACAGTTATCTATTGAAATTAGAATAAAAGATTAATTTAAAGTGCTCTTTATATCATGAAGAACAAAAGAAGAAAAGCAATAAGCAAAAAGATGAATGATTTTTTATTATAATCAAATTTAATTAATCAGCAAAATTATCATCTTTATTTAGACAGACTAAGAGTTTGTATTTTCTTCTCCTATCTTTGTATGGTCTATTGTAGAATGACCTTTTCCTCTCTTAAGTCTTACACTTCCTTGGTTATTTTATCTACATCCTAATTTAACTATTTGTTTGTTCTCTACAAAGCTGAGATTTATTCTGACATAGTCTTTTATCTCATTTAGTTTAATTCCTTCTGTCTTTCAACTTATTATTGTAATTTTTCAATTTAATGAATTAAATCCTGTTCTCTCATTTACAGAGCTTCTTTGTTTGTAGAAGTTGCTTAAAATTTTTGTTTTATATTTTGATTTTCGCTCGATAAATTATCTACTTTACTCTATAATTCCTCACAAGTTTAGGCGTTAATTTCAGATTCAATTCTACGTATTAAATTAATAAAAATACTTAAGTAAATCTAAATCGATATCCTTTTTGGAAATATTCAATTTCTATAGGATATCTTTAACTTCTACTTTGTTAGCTACTTTATTAGACAATTCTTCATATACTGATTCACAAACTTTTATTATTTTTGTAATTTGCATCTGATAAAGCTTTTCTTATTGAGCTATCTTTAAAGTAAGTTCTTTTTCTTTCAGCTTAGAAATATCAGCTATTTATTGTAATTCTTGTAATTTATTTTGATAATCTTCATCTTTATTTTTATTTGACATCTACAATTAATAATTCAGATCTTCGATGGTTTAATATAGTTGCTAGTTGTTATATTTCTATTAATCAACTTCTGACATTTGTTTATATGCATTTAGTTGATCTTCTAATTCTTAGATATAAACTAATTGTCTTGTTATTTCTTCGCAGTTTGATTCTCTAACTATTTTATGTTCTTCTAAAGCATTAGACAATTTAATAATGTCATTTTATAATTAAGCAACCGTTCTTTCATGCTTTTTGAATTCATCTCTTTTGAACCCTTTTTAAAACAATGTAATTGTCTCATTGTTCATACTCTAGTCCTTTTTTAAGTTCTCATTCTAGTGTTTCAACTATGATAATGAGAATAAGCATTTACATGAGAGTGCTATTTTTCTAGACCTCTGACTTTCATTCTATACTTTTTGAATTCTTCTGCTTGATCATGGACTTTCTGATTCAATTCATCTATCCTGTTCAACAAAGAATTCTTTTCTTATTTTAAAATCTGAATCTTCTTTTTCTTATGAGCCAATGATGCCTATAATTCAGTAATACTTTGTTTGCTATAAAAATCGCAATCTGTTAACATTTAAAATAAATTAAAATTTTATCATTCTTTCACTAATGTAATGGCATTGTAATCTCTTCCTCTCATTTCTTAATCCTTCAAATGTTGAGCTCTATAAGTATTCACCTTACGATCGTTATCTGTCTTTCCGAATATTCTATTTGAAGTATCAGCATTTTAATTGGCTGTTCTTTTCTTCATCCAATCCTTATGCATCTCAAAATTCATAGAAGGGAACTATCCTGAATGCAAAAGAGGGTCTTCTGGATTAGGCTTATTTTATATATGTCTCACATTGTCAAACTCAATTGATGGATTACTGCAATTAAATCTCTCAAGTGCTACACATGTTATATTAGCATTTTACACTTAAATCTCTTGAAATGTTAATTAGACTTATACTCCTCTTATTTTTTTAGTTTTTCATGTTCTTCTCTATATAATTCAGTCTAGTCGTTAGTTGGATTATCCAAGGCAAACAAACCAGACTTGAAACCCAATTTTGCCTTCTTATAGGCTTTATTGACATCTTAAAACTAAGATCTCCATTAGTGGTATTTGGCTTAATGTTATTTAGCTTCTTACAAGTCCTTACGATATTACTCAGGTTTCTTGAGTTCTGCTTCAGTTTAATAATTAATTTTGGCTTCATCAAATAGTTTTTCTGGAATTTACAATAGTTTTTTTTTCAAGAATGTCTGACTAGTGGATTGTAGTGGATGCTATGTAATCAAATGATTTATGGATTGCTAGTGTAAATAATCTATATTATCTTCAATCAATCTGGGCTAGAGACTTCGAAAGTAATAGCTTTAATTTTTCAGAGTCATATTTTATTGAGTGTCTCCTAATTTCATAGTTCTAGCACCTAGTGAGGCAAACTGACTATGTTGCAAGAACTTCCCCAGGTGCTATGCATCCCAAGTGTTTCCTAACATCTTAATTGAACCATCTAAGGCTGATGGAGTTTGCCTTGATTAAGTTTCACAATATTTACGATTGCTTTGTTTAAGCTTGAATTGTGCTATTCATGAAATTTGGTAGGATATTTTAAGTATTTGCACATGAGTCATCTTCTCTTCTCATAAATTCTCTAAAATTGTCTTTCCCAACATCTGGCACTCTTTCCTTTTATCTAAATAACATATATTTTATAATATAATATAATAAAATGATTAACTTATTTCCTAATAAATAATCAATATTTAAAATTATAAGCTTATGCTAGAGATTTTTCAAATACTATTTACTATCTTTTTAGTGAGAATGAAATTTTGATTTTCATTTATTTTCTTTGTTTTATGATTTGAGTTAACATATTTAGAGACCAACATAACAAATTGAATTTGATTTCTGGTAGAGCCTTTTTATTTTATTTTTATATGAAATATTAGGTTTCCTCTTGCACTTTTGTGAATAGTTCCTTTACATTGTTTAAATTCTTCTTGTAAAGCAAAATTATCAAAAATTTAATCGATAATAACTTTTAATATTCTAATATAATAATATAATTTGTGAGTATTATAAATGGTATGATCGGCTTTAACTAATACTTAATGTTTAAATCAAATTAATTACTAATTATAGTATTATTTTTAAGATTAGCCACATTGAATATCCTATAAATAAGACAGAACTTATATTAGCAATAACTATTACCAAATGAAGATTGAGTTATAATCCTAAATGTATTCTCAGCTCAGAGATCGAAAGTATAAGTAATTATAAATATTATTCATTAAATTAGAACACAAATTTATTTCACCAAAGTTACCATTATTAATTATAATGTATCTTTTACTTATAGAACATAGGTAACTTAATTTCTTTTGTCGAATTTACTAATTGGTTGATCCATCTAAAGCTCTCATTATTGATGTTTCAGTTAAGAGTACAAACATAGCAGTAATTATTTAACATTTAATTTTTAATGAATTAATAACTTTACAATTAGGTTCTTATCTTCTTATCTACAAATACTAAGGTTGAGTTTATTAAAGAATTTAATAGAATTTCATTTGTTTTAGAGATTCTAATGGTTTGTGCTAATTATTCATTATTTAATAATATTTTACTATGCTCTGGAAATATTAATTATATGTAAATATCGCTTGTTGTTTAATTAAATATGATAAAAATTTTGGTCTTATTTTATAAAAAAATAACAATTAAATTATCAATTCATTTTTTAATTATACTCTAGTATTATCACTCCAGTGATTTCATATTAAATAAATTAATAACAATTATCTAAAATTACTTTTGATGCAATAATCAGCAAATACTAGGTAGATATTAGATTTGGATTTTTAAAAAGAACTTTATTAAGAAGACTTGAAGAAACTAGTGTCCAATATTCAAGATAAGCAAAAGTCATATAATGACATAAGATTTTAGCAAAATGAACTGGTACAAAAAATCATAAGAATATGTTATTAAAAATTTGAGGATGATATTATTAAGAAGAGGATTGATTTATAAGAATTAAAATAAAAGTCTGAGTAGCAAAAGGCTATATAGGATGAGGAGTATAGTAATTTAGAATTAGAGCTTAAAAACAAAATAGTTAATGTGTTCATACGTTTTCAAAAATATTATGAAAAAATAACACAAGAAAAAAGTAAACTAGAAGAGTATATTGTGGGAAATTTAATTGATAGTGAATACAATCTAATTTTGTAAAGTGTTCATCAATCATTAACTGATTTTGAGTTGGCCAAAGAGAATGAATGTATTAATTAATAAACATTTTTATCTTTAAAATCTCCAAATGTTCACACTAAATAGCATTAGAAAATGTCTCATTTAAATTCATATGTAAACACTCTTATTACTAAAATTGAAAATGCAGATTAATAAGTGTTAAATATTAAATCTGAAAATACTTAGGTCTAAATTATTTTATCATAAAAACTCACCTCCCTTAAACAATACATCAGATAATTATAATAGTTTAACAATGATAGTGTGCAAGAAGTATTTGATCTCTAGTCAGATTTCCTGACAAATCATAGAAACCTTAAGAATAATAGATTAAATATCTAAAACTCCTTCTCTAAAGATGAAGAATTGATATGTGCAGATATAATTTAATTAGAATAATAAAAAAGCGATATGGATAAAAGTTATAAATCTTATACCCAAGTCATATTATAAGGAAACAATTAAAGAAAAGATTTTGAAGAAAATGTATTCAGATTAATTTCATTATCTAATTCATTAATCTAATCATTAAATAATAGTATTGAATAATTTAGATCCTAATTGGAAGCATTCTCTTTGACTCCAGATTCAAAAACACCAACTACTACTTCAAACAAAAAACATAATATTTTGAATCCTTACAAGAAAATTATAAACGATAAAATCTAGACAGAACCTTCAACTTACAACTTATAAAAGTCAATGTACTTCAGAAGAAAACCATAAGTTGAAAAATTAGGATCGATTAAAACAGACGAGAATAACGTTACATCATTCTAATCAGTTTTCAAATAGACTTCTCAATCCCCAAACTTCAGAAATTAAATATTGCCTGAGAAGTAAACCGCATTGCCTCTAAAATGTACATGTCCACCTGAGTGTTAATGCTAATAATATATATAAGAGTAGATGCACTCTTGCAATAATTAATTGTATATCAATTAAAAAGGAATCCTGTTATGTTAGGTTTGTTAAATATCTTTTTCAATAAATGAACATTACTTTTACTGTTAATTTAATAAGACTAAAAATAAATTCAAGTAGTTCCAAGATTTTATCCATAGTTTTTAGAAGTACATCATAAGTTTAACATTGAACTAATAAATTGTTGATTTTTGGATAGGCCTGGTAATTAATTGTAAATAATAATGGTAAAATGGATCTCCTAGATTGCCTTCAATAAAATAAGACGAAATTATTATCAATTTCTTATCAGGTTGTCCAAATCAAAGTAATTGTAATCATAAAAACATTCTTCCCTAAATACATTCTATTTGCAACACTCCATTATAATTATCCAATTATGGAGAGGTCATTTGTAAAAGATGTCAATACTCAATATTTATTTAATATCATTTAATTTAATGTCCTGAAAATAATTAGTTTTATGCTTTTTGGAGCGTTGAAGAAATCATATTATCAATTGATCCGTACATAAAATAATTAATGAGATAAGAAAAAAATGATTGTAATTAATTTTTATAATCATTGATTATTAATTTGAATAAAAAATGGAAATGATTTATTTTATAAATAATGTTTATCACATAAAATTAAAAAATTAAAAATGTATGCCAAGAACATAATTGACTCTGATTTTCAATCCAATGTTATCAATTAAGATTTGAAACCCTTTGTGTAGAAAATCTAGGATAGATAGAAAAGATTATAAGAGTTATCAAAACAGCTTGAAGAAAACATTTAGAAATCATTGTCAATCAACTCCATTATTTTTGAAAGAGAATTGAGAAATAAACAAAAAGAAATGAGGAAAATTAAATTGGAAAATGAAAAAAGAGTGACTAAAATTAAAAAGGAATATGATCTTACTGAAAATTCAAACCTATCAAAATTATTACAAAAGCAGCAAGAATACATTTCAAATTATGAACAATTATATTAAGAGGAAATCCATTTTGTTAAATTTATAGATCAACAAACAAAAAATAGTAGTTACTATACAGTTATTAATTCTATACTGAATGATAGTTTAATATTTTCAGGATTCAAATTAGATAATTCAAATGTATTAGAATACTTAACAGGACATAATAAACAAAAGCTTCCAAATTTCCATAACTCTCTTAAATCAACAATTTAGCAATTATAACATATTGAAGAAAATTTATTGATAGTACTCAATTCTAACAATCATGATTCTCAATTGCAATTACTCTAACAATCCTTATCTAACTTTATTAATATTCTTAAAACTACTCAAACTCAAATAGATGAAATCTTATTGGAAATGGAATTAATCTAAAAAGAAATATCAGATTCAGATAAAATTAGGAAAAATAACATAATCTTAATACAATCAATAATTAAAGAGAATCAGGATTAGAAAGAATTAGAAATCTAAGAATATATAAAAACGAATGACAATTTGATAAAGCACCTTTTCTCTTCTATCGAAATAAATAGAAAGTATTCAATATTTTTACTATAATCAAATGAAGATCTGTAAAAATTATCTTAATTATCGGAAATTCAATTGTAAAATAAATTCTAAATAGAAAATAAAAAATAGAATAAATAAGGGTGTGTTTAATTAAAAAAAGTACCCACAGTTCTTTTATCCAGATCAAGAATATATTCTGACCACAAGAAAGATATAAACGACATTCTAAATTTGTCTAATGATTAATCTTTGGAGATGATAAGTAGAAAGGATATTATGGCAAAAGAGTCATCATTTCTTTATTAATCTTAATAAACTATCAATTTTGAAAAGTCTACAGGCAATTCAACTTTATAAAAGCAATTTTCACAGATATATGTATAAAGTCCCAATAGTACAAAATATATAGAAAAAAAGTCTCCTTATATTTCTCATAATGCTACTTATAAAACCATTGCACATTCTGATAAAAAGACAGCACTACCTTTGAGATGTGCTTGTCCTCCTTAATGTCTATGTTCTGCATAAACTATTGTGTAGATTCACTCATGTAATTGTTAACTTTATATCAATTCTAGAGGTTACATCATGTGTCAATAGTGTTAATTTTCATAATAAATTTAAGATTACGGATTCTACTGTCCTCAAAACAGGTAAAAAAATAAATTTAAGAATTATCAAGATTTTTTTATTTCATTTTGGTTACATCTTATAACCTTAACAATTAATGACCAAATCGTTGAATTTTGGGATAATTTGTAAGTAAATTGTCAGTAATAATGGATTTAATATAAACAAATAGACTTTAATGATTTAACAGATGATGTTAGTTTTATGAACTTTATTGCATACTGTCCTTTTAATAGTAAATGCTATCACAAAACTAGTCAACAATAAATTCACTTTTGTTAAAGTCCGTTGATTATCAGTTCATTAGGAGAATTAGTTTGCAAGAAATGCAACTTTTATGGAAGTCCTTAATTTCATTTTATATAATGCCCTGAACAAAAGGAATTCTATTGCTATTAAAATGCAGATTTATTTCTCAATTCAATCGATCTAAATCATTCAAACTTTGAATCTGAAAAACAAAATTTAGAATTCTTGTCAAAACTAAGAAAAAATTTAATAAAGAAATGGAAATGACATTAATTGCAATTTTGATTTTATTTTTTTATATATACGCAGTCATAAATTTTCTAATGCTTTATCAATCAATTTTCTCACTTTTTTCTTATATTCATCAGGTTTATCTCTGAATTGAATTCCAGCATCAACATTTGCAGGTGAATTGATATTAGGCTCAGACAACATTGAAACTATAGATATTAAAACATCTTCTGGTGTTAGAATTGGTCTCCATCTAAGATTATTCTCTCAAAACTATACCTTGTTTCTGGGGGTTCTTAATCATTTAATTCGTCTTATGCATGTAAAATTGAAATGCAAACTCTTCCATCAGTATAGACTACGGTTAATGATAATCAAAATACTATTTGGATGCCACATTTCTGTTTAAAATCTAAAAGTTGGTGGGGAATTGGGATAATCTTCTGGAAATTTCATAAGGGCTTAAAAATATCCGCCTTCATATAAAGTATCCGAAGGACCTGCAAAGCTAATATTCCAAGAATACAAACTATTTCCCTCTAAACCAACAGAAACTCCTTCAATTGTTTTGCTCTCTTCCAATTCTAAAGACTTAAGATTAATGAATTACATCTAAGTTGTTTTTTTAAGAGAGTGACTGTGTAACTAGCAGATTGAATGGGTGCTGTGTGAGTTGATTGTGATTATAACATAAAATATTTAAATTAAATATTACAAAAACTTGATTTAATTTTTATTATCAAAAACTCAGTCTTATAATAACATTCAAATAAATCCTGTAATTATATTGAAATATCATGAAAAAGAATGAAAAAGGCTTTGCTCATGGAAAAATAAGAGAAATAAATTCATAATTCATTACTATATGAAATAGATTAAAAACGATAAATGATCAATTAAGATCATTGACTATAATTATTAATATCTATATTTATTTCATATTACTACCTTATAGTTCAATAATATTTATAGTTTATGTTAAATAATAATAACTAAGAATATATTTATAATATTTGATATCATTTTATTTTATTTATAATATTTTGATTTTTTATGATAGGATAAAGCAAAACTGAGTTACATTAAGTCTTTAAGAGCTTCGATAAAGATGGAAGTGGATTTGTAGATAAGTCAGAGCTTCATGCAATAGCCTAATAACTCAATTAAGAACTCAGCAAAGAAGAGGTTGATAAGGTATGGTTATTTTTTATCTTCTAGTTAATGTCAGTTGTAGATATAAATAAAGATGGTCAGATATCGTTTGATGAGTTTTGGAATTGGTGGCAATTCGGAAAAAATGGACATTTAGAAAAACTAGTATTTACTAAACTGAAGCTAATGAATTTACTTAAGAAGGTTAACTCATAATTCACAAGATTTGGGATTTCTATCTTTGAGAAATAAGATAATACATTTGATCATCACTATTGGGCAATAAATTATGGTGATTAACCCTGTCATTTAAGAGTTGACAGCACAATTTTATATAATGGTAAAGGAATTGCAGAAGCTTTAAATAATGAAAATAAGTTATTAAAAGGAATCTAATTAAATCCAGGAAAGTTTTTCGATGTGACCTTGATAATTCGTGCTCTGTAACCTGAAACAGCTAAACAGAAGTTTTAATAATTATACGCTGAGTTTTTGTAAAAATTATAAAAGGACGAATCTCCAGAATCCTAAGAAATGGTTGAATTTCTTTCAAAGTGTGACTTGTAGGTTTCATCAAATACAGATAGTGTAATTAATTTATTTATTATTCTAGCTCATTATCCAATTTACAGTCAAACATCCCTTAGTCTAAGACTTTATTGAGACCTAATATACTCCTTTTTCTGAATAATTGGGTGAGGATGTTGAGGTTTAGGTTGAGTTAAGTGTTGGTGTAAAAAATGGATTGAAAAAGATGATGAAAAAGAATTAAATTTTTATCAAGTATTTACTAGAAGGTTTCTTGGTTGAATTCAAAACTAAATTTAATTCATCTCTTGCTAAAAAGGTATTCAATTTGGGGCTTTTTATGCTTTAACAAGCTCAATCAAAGAAAATGTAATAAAAAAAGGTCCTTTCGAAATATAAATAAGCCTTTACATTCCCACTCCTTTTTAAGCACTCAAAATTTCATTTACAATTTAAAAATATGGAAGATGTGGATGCTTTCCTTAAATCTCTAGGCCTAGATGAACTAGTCGAAGATTAACCAAATGCAAGGGATTTGTTACAGGAGCTTATTTAGCAAGATGAAATAGATGATTTTAAAAATCCTCATGACGATGCTCACATCGTCTATTAATTTTATTAATTTGGAAAACAATACTTGATTGCTAAAGGATCAGCCTTTGCATAATTTCCAAATGCACTTGCTAAATTTGAATTTAATTTTGAAGGATTAGCTGATGTTATGGAATGCATATTTAGAGAAGATGCAGATGACTAAAAAAAGAAATAGAAATGAATTGAATTCAAAATATATCTAATCAAATATAAGATATTATTATTCTCATCATTCTCATCTATAAAAAGATATGATATCAAATTTTCATAATATATAAACTAAATTAAATAGGAGTAGTTAAAATTATTAATAATAAATTTTTATTATTATATTCATGAACTTAAGAAAGTTTTCTTAATAGTCCTATTTCAAATAAAAGGCATCCAATTCAAATAAGAATGACACAATAAAAGAAGAATCAGAAGAGATTAAAACAAGTCAAAGTAAAAGCTTTAATTTAACATAAGACAATCTGCACAAAAAATGTGCAATTCAAACATCTGCATCACCTTATGCCAAGAATTCGTCATCATCATAATGTAAATAAGAAATAATCTATAGTATTTTAGAAATTCAAAAGCTTTACATCAAGTACCTCACCTTTATAGAAATATCAAATTAAGTAAAAGGATTTAATTAGCACTGTATCTCACTTTACTATAGAAAATAAACATCATCAATCACAATCTGAGCAGAAAGAAGTAGTGGAAAGACTCTTCAAATGGGAAAAACGGAAGCAATGCGTAATTAAAGAGAAACAAGAAAAGTACTAGAATGAAGAAGAGAAGAAACTTTGGGAAAAACCAATTTTATCAAAAGAAACCCTTAAAATTTATGAGTCGGGGTTGAAACATCACTTTGAACTTAACAACTTTATCAAATAAAAAGATCAATCCACTCAAAGTTCAAGCGATTATCCGCCTCTTTAGAAATTAAATAAATTAAAAAAAAAAACCAAAATTAAGTTTGAATACGATGAGGAAATAGAAGACAAACCAGATGATGTTAATGAAAAAACTACTTAGTATAAATATGTTAATGAAGTACAATCAGACTCTACTGAAAATTTTAATAGAGAAGTACGTAGTAAATCTGATTACACCACAATGCCTATTCATTTAAGATATGAATATGAAATAAAATTGAAGAAAGCAAAATTGAAATAAATGATTGATGAGAAAGACAAGGTGGTTTAATAGGAATTGGATTTAGCAAAAAGTATTATTTTATGAATATCTAAGAATATAATAGTACTGCTGAATAATTTGAGCACTTCTTAAGTGAATAAGAGAACTTCTTGAAAAAGAAACAACAATTTTATGATGCTAATTTAAAAAAAGAACTAGAAAAAATACAAGAAATCGAATCCCATTTCTCTTACAAACCAGAAATTAACTTTCCTCCTCAACCTACAAAAGTATCTAAAAACAAAGAATAAGATGAGAAGTTCAATGAAAAACTTCATACCCTTAGAGAAAGACAATAAAGATAAAAAAACATCTACTTTTTTAAATCTACTTTACCCGATATGAGGAGAAATATCAAACAAAAGTATCATGAAGTAAATTCTATTCTTAATATGCAATAGATTCTCCATAAGAGTGAAAACTTTGGAGTTTCCGAAGTTTAATTTCAAACAGAAAGTTGATAAATGATTACTTATATCAAGATAATGCATAAATATTCACAGTTTATTAAAATAGAGGATTGCTTAAAATTTATTCTATTGTAAATCTCTAACTAGCATTTTTCTATAAACAACCATTAATTAAATAAGCAATATCTTAATTCATGTCGTTTGGTAACTTTAGCTTGTTCTATTGTATTGCTCTATACAATTCCTTATCATTTTGTCCTTTAAATGGATATTCTCCAAAAAGAATTCTATATAACAATATCCCTAATGACCATATATCTGAACATAAGGGATTATGAGGTAGCTAAATTACATGCTATTCTTACTTTTGAAACCAATTCAGGAGACATATAGCTTGGAGTTCCACAAAATACATTGACCTTTTAATTATCTTATATGCATATGGAAAATCCAAAATCTATTAGTTTTACATAATTGTCTGTAAGGAGAAGTATATTTTCCATTTTAATGTCCCTATGGGCAATGTTTTTGCTATGTAAATATCTTATTGCATTTGCCAGTTATTGAAAAATGTATAATCCCTCTTGGATTGGTAGAAGTCTTTTAGGTTTTGATTTAACATAAACGGCTAAGGATTAATTAGAACTGTATTCCATCACTAAATTTATCTATGATATATAAATTCATACTGATTTTTTATCTTCAATAGCATATACTAATTTAATGATATTATTATGTTTAATTCTTTTAAGAATTGAGATTTCTCTTTTAATATTATTCATTTTTTAATTGTCATTAATTTTGCTTTTATCATATATTTTAATTGCATATTTAACTTTACTGCTCTTCTCTACACATAATCTCACTGTTGCAAAAGAACCTTATCCCAAAATGGATTCTAACTTAAAATTTCCAATAGAGATTTCTTGATTACATAACTAATTTAAATCTAATTGGTTCTTGATTGTTTTATTAGATTATAACTCCTATTTATCTTCTGTATAAAGTGCTAAGATGTTTGTAATTTTGCAGAATGGTTATTTTAACATGGTTTAAGAATTAAATTATATTTTAGTGTTTGAATTAATCCTATTATTTTCTTTTTCCTTTATAGCTTCTTAACTCATCTTCTTGCGATTTTCAAATGCATTAGTTTTCAATTTGCTTACTAAAGAAATCTTACTTTCGATATTTGATAATATTTTGTTTGCTACTCTATTCTCTTTATTTTCAATAGATTATACATCATAATGATTCATAGATGTTTTACTTTAATTAAATGGGTGCTTTGATGTGTGTTTCATATTTAATTTATAACGACACTAATTTAATAATGATTATTAAAAATCTATAAAAAACTACTCTACTCTTTAAATTGCATACATGAATATACTATCTATATACAAATACATCTTCTTAAAACATATATGCTAGACATTTAAATATCTCTTTCAGAAACCAGATTTTTTAATAAAAAACTTTAATTTCTATTATCAACAAAGAGAAAGTGTAAAAGTGTAAAGGAAGCAGAATTGAAAATAGAAAGGAAATGACAAATAAACTTTAAGAAGTATTATGATGATATAAATTAAATTATTATGAATATTGTGGATTTAAATGTAAGTCATTATACTTAGCTTAAGAGTTCTCCTTTGGCCTCTAATTCTTTCACATTTGAACAGCCCCCAATAAACTTATTCTTTATGAATACCAAAGGGATAGTATCATATTTTAAGCCATTCATCAATTTCTATTTTTATTCATCATATTCTTTATTCTCATCTATATTCCTATAATCGATCTGAACTTTTAATTCTTCAAAAATCTTTTTCACTTTAAAGCAATAAGGGCAGTTGTCTGAACCGTAGACGACGACGTTTTTATCTGACTTTATTTCTTCTGGTTTCATTGTATTAGATGAATTTGCTCCCATTGAAAATTTATTAATGAATTAAATTAAAGCGAAAATAAGAATTTAAATTATGAGTGTAAATTAATAATGCATCATCTTCATAATTCAATTAAAATCCTTCAAAGTTGCTCCGATTTCATCCGATTTCGTATCCAATAATTTGCTTGAATAAACTGGAGTTATTAGTTATCTCGAATCTGGTATCTTTCCAAATTATTGTTATTAAGCCTATGTTCTCAGGCTATTAAGTTACTATTGGTAATAAAACAGTTACGGAGTAGGAGTTTAAAGAAGACTTTGCTATAAGTATTAGTTTCTAAAGTAATAGATAAAATAATTACTACTGTAGAAGTAAAAATGGGTTCATTGAAAGACTTAATAATAATGTTTGAAATTATTAGGCTTGTAATTATTGGAAACTCATTTGACTTTGATTCATTGGTTAAGGTATTTAGAGAGATTTTTGTTCATTTTTTGAATCAATTGGTTATTATTTCTCATCTTGCTTTTCTTGCTTTGATTCATTTTTAAAAATGCTTCTTCTAGACCTCGTCTTTTTCTTGCCCACTCTCCCTTCTCTCTTGTAGGTTTACAATATAGCCTTTGATGTACTAAACTTTATTCCAAATTCTTGAGCAGCCTACTTGATCGTTGACTGTCTTGATTGAACTCTTTTTATAAATGCCATCCTAACAGCTGGTGTTATTACGGCATATTTCTTTTTGGTTTAACTACCATCAAATTAAGGCTCCATTGATATATATATTTATAATGAGATTTCAAAAAGATTACATTTACATAGTGAGTTATTATTACACATTCAATAAATAAATCTTATCCTTTTTTTAAACATAAATTTAATTTATTCAAGAATTATTACACATCGTTCTAAGCAATATTACAATTCTGTATGGATAACAATATCCATGTGGAAAATAGATACCTAAACCATCTTTAACCCTCATCCGTCTTATTTTGAAGGATTTTTAAAAAATTAAATAGCCATCATTTAATCAATTAAATATCATCATTTCTTATTAATTTTATTAAATCTTGTTGATGTCATAGATATTCTTACTAATTCGCTCTTATTCTAATAGAGTTGAGTTTATGATTTTATTAAATTTAAAATTCAAGTCACTGAATCAGAATCAAATTAACACAATTCTAGACACCAGTATTTCCTAAGAATTTATTAGCAATGCAACAACTGCTTACTGTTTTATTATTTTTCGTACTTACTATCAATTTTATTCAATATAATCTTAATTCTGTAAAAATGAAATGGTTATTCAAATCACATGTAGTTAAATCATATTCTTGCAATATTTGATTATCTAATATGTTGTTAAAACTTATTAAGGAAATCGAATTCAAGTATATTAAAAATATAATAGAGGGTTTATTACTCTGAATTGTGAATTAAGACTTTATTTTTCTTTTAAATTCGAAGGGAAAAATTATTTAAAAACTATATATATCCTAAATGTTATCATCCAAAATTATTATGATTTATAATGATCATAGGCGAAATGTGTTTTAATTGTTTAATCGAGGAATTTTTTATTTCGATATTCTTATCCTAATAGAACCTTTTAATCAATATTTAATTGGAGTGACAAAAAAATGGTTAATAAAATTTTAAGGTTTTGATAAAAAAAAAAGTGGTTACTTAATAAATTGTGTTGGTGGTATTAATTTCTATTGACAGCTCAAACGATTTATGTTCATCTTAGATGGAATATCTGTAATCTTTATTAGAATATCATTATTAAACATCCATTTTCTAATCTATCTGATTGGATAATTCATAACTGAATTTAATTAATATTGAAAGTGACTGATTGTTAAGAGTGATTTCTTTAGCCTTTTTGAAGAATTGAAATGTATTTTGATATTATTATTTTATTAACTAATATACAGAAAAATAATTTAAGCTCATATGATTACAGTTTGGTATCACCTTGATTTAAAATAATAAAACTCTTATGGCTTTGCAATTTTATTAAATATTTCTCCAATTTAAGATAAATATTTTAGCTTATCAGATAAATCACTTCGCAATATTTAAGCATAAGCATGTTTTGAATAAAATTCAATAGAGAGTTTTTGAAATAATAGTTTGAACATATCTTGGCATTGTTATCCTTTTGGGATCAAAATGACAATGAATGTACATGTCTTAGATGGCTTTTATTTCTAATTATTTTAGCCAGGTCCAAAAATGAGGTTTTAGGTTAAAGTTATCTAAAAAGAAGTTATCAATAATCTCCTTTGCATCATCGTTTTCAAGTATAAAGTTCATGTGGTTTGATAAGAGGATGTTCTACAATTTTTGTTCCTCTGTTATAAAATATAATAATATTATAATACCATCAATTGGGTAAATACCCTTCTATTGGATTTCAATTTATTTTATTAACTCTTCCACTGCATCATTCCTATTTTCTTCAATGCGAATTGATGGGTTATTGATAGTGCGTAATTATTTATTTGAATATGCCTATTGAATTAATTATTATAGAAAACTTAGAGGAATAGTAACATTTGGATCTTAACGAGTCTACTTTAAATGAAAATGTTACTGTGATTTCATCAGCTGGTTAAAATCGCAAATTTAATTGAGGATATTTTCGTTTCTTCTCACAGTCTCCTACTTTATTTTGAATAATTTTAATTGGAGCATATTTCAAACGCACGTGATTGTTTCCATTGTGATTGCACTAGTTGTTATCAGATTCAAAATTTGATTTCGAGGAATGATAGCGTTCAAAGCTCATAAATAAAGACGATAAATTATAAATAAATTATTATATAAGAATCAATATAAATATTGAAAATTATTTTATAAAGAATAAAAAGAGTTAATATTATCCAAATTTATAAAATTCATTGGATTATTCTATTTTTATAATCTTTTTAGCCAACCTCTCTTGATTAGAATATAGATTGTTATTGAACCAGTTGCTTTAAAGTATTATAAATTTTAACTGCCTTCTCTAATTTATTATCATCCTTTATGATTTTCTTGATTTCATCATGCACATCATATAATTTCTTTGGAACCTAAAATAATTAGCTTCAATTACATTTTGTCTCAAATTGGTTTGAATATCACTAGACTCCTTTGCATGAAATGAATTATGCTTTTAAATTGGTTTAGTAAAGGCAACCTTGTTTCTCTCAGAATTTATTTTTAAAGATTATTTTTTAACTTAATGATTTTGACTTCTAAAAATTAAATAGAAAAATTTTTACGTCATAATATTTTAATGGCTATCTTGGTTTTTTGTTGTTAATACGTTTTATTTAGGTATATCAATAATTTTAACTTCAACCATATTATTTTAGTTTGAACTGTTTCTCAAAGATTCTGCTAATTTTGAATATGAACCTTCATTGTTTTTATTTACTTTATAATGATGGTCATTGGACTTTTTAATTTTATTTATAAATGAAATTTTAAAATCTGACTTCGATACATCTGTTTAATTTTATTGGGAAACAACGGCTTTAAAATTCAATAATCTGTGATTCGAATTCATCATATAAGTTTAATTGGCAGGAGTATGATACTCCAGAGTCATTTTTTAGATCTCCAAATCTATAATCCCAATATCCTAAAGCAAAGAACTATTAATAATATTTCTATCTTATTTTGATCTTGAGTAGTAATATTAGGATGAATTCAATTTTTCAATGCAACTTTAGGGTTTGGATTGTTATATGAGTATATGAGAATAGGATTATTTTGAAGTTGATTTACGTAATTGATTGATCACATTTTCCAAAGCCTTTTTCTTTCTTTAGATAGCATTCTTAGTAATACCTGTTCTCAGTCAGAGCGGAGCCTTTCTCATCATAGAAATTACTCATTCAAGAATTAAGTAAGTATTATATAATTTATTGAATAATTCATTATTATGATAAAAACAATTTACTAGCATTGGTTACTTGGAGCTATTGTGTGAAGAATGAGTTGTTTTCTTAAGTAGACCCAAAGAGAGAACGTTCCATTTCTTCTAAGGGAATCTATTTAGGACGTTGAGGTTTCTCTACTTCAAAAATTCGAAAGATTACGTCCTTCCGATTTTGTCTATTGGCATTGGCAATCTAAGAACTGGTAGTCATAACATCGTCATCAACTGATGTTTTATTAAGTTTCTTTTAGAATATTGAAGAGATGTTCAGATCAGAATCCTGAAAAACTCTAAATATTGCTTTCTCGTTATGGGACTCCAAATAGACCTTGCCGAGAGTGTATTATTATATCTTTTTGTTGAGTTGGTATTTCTTCTATACTATAAAATTAGAGGGATGAATTTACATAGGCTCTCTAGGAAACTGACTTGAGGTTTGATTTCAGTAAGATCTATCAATGGGAAATGCTTGCTGCTGTTCTTTTTTTTGATTTCTGTAAAGCAGACTTCTTCACTCATTAATTTTAATATTGAAGTGGTGTTTTCGAACTACTTCAAATTTTATAAATATTCTATGAACAAAAAATATATACTAATTTATTTCTGATAAAGTCCTCCTCAAAGATCCAAGTGATTCATATGTGGGTTGTTTATGAATGGTTTGAATGAGAAAATTTTGAAATATTATTTAATTTTAATGAGATATTAGTAACTAATAACCCATGCGATTGATCTAATCAAATCCTACAATCCAGTGATATTAACACCTGACTCTCATTGTGAATAATACATATAAGAAAACTGCAAGAAGTTATTCGATACTGAAATCATGTTTCTGAAATAAGTAAACATTTGATTTAACTTTACAGGTATTCTCCGGAGTGCAAAGATACGAGGAATTCCTTAAAATCCTCACAAAAACGATGTTTACATTATTGTCAAGTACAACCAATCGCAACGATGGAACTCTCTATCAAATATTTTCATACCTAATCATCTTTAGATTGGATGAATTACCTTATAACGAATTCAAGAAAATGGTAAGTGAATAGGATCCAGTCAAAATGAATGTGCTCTTGTAATTCCTTTTTGATATTGAGAAAATTCAAACTCACGTTAAACCTCTTTGGATTGAAATATACGATCCTCAATACATTTAAGAAACAGTTATTGGTGGTCTCGAATAACACTTTCCCATGATGAAGGATTTATTGAGCACTTTAAGTTCAAGGGCAACAGGCAAGCAAAGTGAATTGGTAGAAGAAGATGAACGACCTCAATCAGCCACAAAAAAATAACCAACAAAAACACTCCCGTTTAAATTAAGTGAAACCAAAAAGAAACCTGAACCTCCTCCTCCTCCAAAACCAGAATAATACAAAAGTAAACCTGTTCCAACCTATTTAAACAAAAGAACCCTCTCGTAGGTTGAGGAGGAGAATAAACAAAGACTAGAATAATCGAAGAAGAAAGTTTAAGATAATTATAAAGAAGCAAAATAATTTGAATTCAAAACAGATCAGAGACCAACCAATTACGAGACAGTCAAAAGAGAGGTTGAAGACACACTCAATAAGCAATTATAATTTAATATGAAGTATGCGAGGCCAGTACCTACTGAATTGGAAGCTGCTGAAATTAAATTGAATGCTGCTGCCATTCTAAGAGAAGAAATGTTACTTAAGAAGAAGTAGGAAATTGAAAAAGAAAGAGTCAAGAATCTGGAAGTCAATCTTAGAGATTCTGGAGAATTTGAAGAATGGAAAAAACAATAAGATGAAATCGAATAGATTGCAAAAATGGAACACTAATAATAAAAGAAAATTGAAATGGAATTAGCAAGAGAAGCAGCTATGAGAGCTTAGGAAGATAAATTTAAAGAAAATAGAATCTTGGCAGAAAAAATGAAGGAAGAAGCCATTGAAAGATTGAAAGAAAGATAGGAATTGTAATTAGAATAAGTGGAACATAAAAAGTAATTGATTGAGCAAATTATAGAGGCAGAAAAGAAAGTGCATATTCAAGTTGAAAAAGTATAAGAGAGGAATAAGTAAATGGCAGAAGATCAAAAATTAGAAATGGCCAGAAAGTTAGAGTTAAAAAGATAAGAAGATGAACAAATTAGAATTAAAAGAGAAGAACTCATTAAATAAATTAGAGAATTAGAAAGATAACCAATCAAGAGAACCAAAGGATATGATCCTACTGAAACAATGGGATATGGGTTATTGGAGGAAATGTCATTAGCTGAATTAAGAGATAGGTTAGAAGTTGTAAAGGCTGAAAGAAAGGCAGAAGAGGAAGAAAAGAGAAAAGAGATAGTCTAATCAAAAGATGAATATTTATCTTCAATGTAGAAAAAAGTATAAGAGATTAAGGCACATAGAAGATCAGAGTCTTAGTAAAAAAATATGGAGAGAGAAGCAAAGAAACTGAAAAAGTAAAAGGAAGAAGAATTGAGGAAGAAGATTAGAGAAGAATAATTAATTGAGGTCTAAAGTAAGATCAGCTAAAAGAAGTCCATTAAAAGTGCAGAAGAGTAGAGAATTGCAGCAGAAGTAAGAGAAACTAAACTCAGATAACAGTATATGAATGCTAATAAAGCTATGGTTGAAATGAAGGCTTGGAAATCTCAACAAGATGGTAATTATTTCATTATATTCATTCAGGATTGGAAAGAGAAATTAAAAATAGACAAAATGAAAAGTTGATTGTTTAAGAAGGAATAGAATCAGTTAATTTAAAAGACAGGAAGATTCTTGCAGAGTAAGCAAAGAGATTAGTAAAGACTAAAGTGGATTTCAATTAGGCTTATGATAAAGAATTGAAGACAGCTTATCAAATGAATGAAGAGCTTCATAGAGAAGAGGCTGAAAATAGAACATAAATGCACAATATTTAAAGAGAATGGAAGGAAGAGCATACTAAAAATATGATTACAAGAGATGAGTATAAGTAGAAAATCTCTGAAACATCTTTATAAAATTCAAAAAAAAAATCATAAAAATAAAAAGTCCAATTCTAATAAAGCAGATAATTAGAACAACTACCCTCAGCATAATATTCATGATATTAATATCAAATTATTATTCTAAAATAAGTGATTATATATGTTATGAATAAAAATTTTCATTTCTTCAAATGCTTTTATTGATTTAATTTATTAATTAATTAAAATTAGGTGTAATTGATTATCATATTCAGTTGATATGAAATTTATTTTTGATAATCAAATATACAATACAATATTCGCTCCTTAAGGAATGAATATTTTTTCTGTACTTTATGACTTATTCATATTATTAATAATAACTATTATAATTAATTCTTTTGATTTTTAAAATTAATTAAAATATTCATTTTAATGAATTTATAAATATTTTTTTAATCTTTTTTTTTAATGTGCTCTTAACTTTATTGAGTCAATCGAAGGTTAAGAATCATTTTGAGATCAATTACTTCACTTTTGTAAACAATTGAGAAGAGGAAATTATTATTGGTATTTTCTTAAAAATAAGAATACTACTTCAACTGTGTCTTATAGGATAAATATTTATTAAAATTAAAAGTATTAAATTCAATAATTAATTTTTTCTAGGAAAAATAGGAACTATTCTCTCACTTTTTAGTTATATTTTGATTCTTAGAAACAATTGTAAGTTTTATATTTCAATTCTCAAATAGGGTATATCTTGAAATCCATCCTTGGAGTATTGTTTCTAAATCTAAAATGTTATATTTTAATTGTGTACTTCTTCCAATACAATTGAGTAATTATTTCATATTTGAATTAAAATTAAATATAAAAAATAGTAGTTTTATTTTTGAATTTTCTTGATGGTTACCAATATTTGATTATATAAGATTTAGAGATTAATATGGTTTTCGAAAGGCTTTGAATTTAAATAATTAATTTATATTCCTAATTTATATATATATATATATAATGCAATTAAAAACAAAGCTATTGCTGACCTAATTGATGTTATAAAATTTAATAAGTTTAATACAGGCTGGAAATCAAGAGACTAAAGAGATGCTGGTATTGACTCAGAATGCAATTGGAATATTATTGAATTTAATAATTTTCTGTCTCATTTATGCAAAACAGAAAGAGGACATCATTAACATAGTGGTTCAATTCTAGATAATTATTTAATTGGAAATTATATTTTATAATGTCCAAAGCATTAACAATTACTTCCTCCTAATCTATTTACTTACAATTGAAAACATATTGAGAAATAGCAATAAATGTTATTAAATTTTGACTCATTTACTCTACCTGTACATATTTTTAAGGATGATGATCTAATTTTATTCACTATTTGCCTTGTTTGAATTCATTTTGTTTGTTCTCTGGTAACCACTCAACCATACTCTGTTGCATTTAGAAAAATAACCCTTAGAAAAGAATACAACGAGTCCCAACACTCCTCCATAAAAGTAAGCAAATCCCATTGCTCACTTGAGTTACGGGGATCAAGTCTAATAGGATCTGCTCGAGGAGAAATCGCCACACCCAGAAAAGAACGCCAATGTTGCTTTGGACGAAGATCTTCTTAATTGTCTACCATATGGATTGGCTTTGATAGATAAAAATTATCATGTGCTTCATCACAACAAAAAGCTATTACATTACTTAATGGTGTAATCAACCGATTAAATTGTAAATTCGTTAGATTAATTGTTATCCAAGTAAATCTTTCCCGTATTTATATAGCGCTGAGCTCAACTCTTTTAAAACCCATCTTCATGCCAAACATAAATCCCCCATCGTTCCTCTAAGAAAACTAAAACAAAATTCTGCCAATC